TACGCTTTCCGTAAGAGCTTTGTTCACTTAAAGAGGAAGACCACTGGCGCACTGTCACTTTTGCTTTACTTGGAGCCTTTAAAATCAAATTGCCGTCTAACGTATCTTGTTCGGCCTCCTTTGGGTTAGGTGTTTTAATGTCCTCGAAGTCCTCCCTATCATCAAGGAGCCTGTAGAGGTCAACAGAAAGTCGCTTAAAAGAGTCTTGTTTGTCTTCCTGGTCAGGAGACTTGTGGACAAAGTAAGCTTCATTTGTAATATCGTCGGAAACAATATTTCCATCCGCAAAGCAGCAATCCAAGATAATCAAGAATTCGCCAACAAGGCCTTTTAGATGAGTAAATTGGTCCTTCAAGTCGGATACTGTGAGGACATCATCGTACGAAGAACATATCAAATTTTGACTATTGTCACTGTGACCAGTAAAGTAAAAATACAAGAAGACATCCCTCTTTCCCTCCTGCTGTAGATCTTGTTTTAATTTCGCTAGTGCTTGCTTGACTTCGGTGGCTTGTGACAGCTGACAGGATGAATGCGGCTTAACACAGTAAATGTGGTCTCTCCTATGATCAAAGTTGGAATCAACAGAAGACATGAATATTTTCAGGTTTACTATGGTACACTTATTATATCCATTCCATTTGATTTTTTAACAAGCGTTACATCAGTCATGTTGCTGGGGGCAAAAACATAAGAAATTCCCCTGTGATTTTCAAGAAACTATTCCCAGAATACCAAATTTTACGAGGGCGGGGGGATCATCAAGCTATAAGATCTTGAAATCCATCGGCCAGAATATCACAAACACATTGTCTTGATAGGCTATATTAATGTGTGGTGCACGATAATGACTTGTAAATTGGGATGTCGACCATACAAGACTATCATAACCAAGATCTTGTGGTTTGTGTGCTATAACGTTTTGCAGGCGACAAGAGGAGCCTAACATTTTTGCAAGCGACAAGAGGAGCCCGCAGTCCTAATCTGCAGGTTGCTATTAACCATGTACGACACGTATATAGCCAGCTTTGTTTGGATTTCTAAAAACAAAGAATGGAAAGCAGGGAACGCAATCGAATCACACGCGTTTGGACCTTCTATAACTTGTTAATGGAATCAGATCACGCGTAGTGTGACCATCTATCACGTAAACCTTAGGTAAAGCACAGTGTTGGAGTAAAAATGTTTGTGACCTTCCATCGTTGTCGCCCACGCTCGGTAACCTTTGGTTACTATTTACCCCACAGTTACCAGGGTGGACGACAGAATGACTAAATCGCGAAAAAGAAAACTCACCGTGAATTCAAGAATATGGAACAGGAGTTTAAAACACCTACCTGACTCCAATGATACGACAGTCTTCAATAACATTCTTGAATTCATACAGATCTCTATCAAAGACTGCTGCATTTATTTTGTCTTTGGAGTCATTTCCACAAACCAGGACTGCATAGATATCAGATCCTCCTACAAGACAAAAAATAAAAAGAAATATTCTTTTTACAGGTACAGTAGACACCTAATCCCAGCCAAAAGCAGAGATTCGGTGGTGGCTTATTAGAGTTGGACCAAGGGGTGTTTCCATCAATATGTATCTTGCTTCAAAGTACATACTGCAACACGTCGTGAAGGCCATAATTTTTATAGAACCTGATAGAACTGGAGGTGCTTACAAATACAGATACAAATCCAAAGGGGTATCCCTGTTTTGGACCAAAATCCTAATTTAGAGGTTCAGGTTGTTTACAAAACTCTTTTGTATCCAGGAAAGCCGGTCAACAGTAGTGACGCTCAAAAGGAAAGTGTGTGCGACCCACTGGATCTAATCCTCGTCATCACAGAATTGAGCAGCCTGATTTGCGATGTTCTTATCAACAACTGCTTTGCACTTTACCGAGAGGAAAGTCATAGCTCTTTTTAGAGCAGCATTGTTAACAGTCTCCCTTATGCATTAAACGATATTGTCATACGCAGGTGTAGACGAAGACAAGGGAAACTGAATTTGTCAGGTCAAGGAAAACAAGGCGAACACTGCGGAGGACAACACAGATCCCTGAGAAATTTCACACGTAACATTTAAGACAGTTGAGTGCTGGCCATTTACATGTATCAATATTGAGAGGGGTCTTCTTGGTAGGGCAAATGTTTATCAGTAACAAAAATTGGAGAACGGCATAGTATAAAAAACAAAGCAATCGCTTTACGGCTACTCTTCCTTGAGGAGCACATTCGCACCTTCAACCCTGCCAGCAGCAGGATTGAGGTGTCTGGTACACAAGGACTGGTAGGCCCTTTACGATTTTTAATAAAAAGGGGATGTAGTTTGTTACTAGTTTGTTCTAATGGAAATTACAATAAAAGCGTACGAGTTATAATTTTAGGTGAATCATCACCATACACGCATGAAATGGTACAAAATAAAGCTAAAGGTCTGGGCATAATGCCGACCAAAGCGACCAAAGACTTCCTTAGGTCAACGTACTCCCTAAGCTCTATTACCAGCCGACCGAACCAGAGAGAGCAGCGTTAATGGAGCCTTCTTTCTTCAGCCCAAACAGCTAACATTTCCTAGGACAATAACAGCTAGAGGAAGGTTTCAACCGCCTGTGCTGCATCTAACTGACGATAATGAAGACGATTATGATGATGATGATGATGGTGAAAGAATTTCATGTGCACATATTTATACGTTATACAAGTACTAAGGAGATTCATAAATTAATGGAACTGAAGCACTAGGTTTATACACCAATTGTCAGACTAGTGGCGGGACTGGATCTGCTGTAAAAGGTGAATATTTACCTATAAGAGGTTCCGCTGGTCCATGAGAGGGACATTCTAGTGGGTTACGCTGAGCTTGTGTTAAACACGTCACACAAAAGTAATTACATCCTTCAAAACGAACACTATCACAGCCTGAGGATCTCACAGTCAAGTACTTTGCTAAATCAAAAAATGGAAAATTAATTATTAAGTACTCATTGACTTTGTGAGCAATCAATAGGCCCTTTGCAGCTTGTGAATCACCTGGTACAAACCGCCAAGTTGGAGAACGGAACGCACTGAGAGAAGAAAAAAAAAAGAAAATAACCATTTTCAGTGATGTAATAATAAAAGCCTTTTGTTTGTCTTGTCTCAGTGCTTCCCTTGCTACCGAGAATGGCAATTTTATACCACGGCAATGACTACATGTAGCTGTAAAGGACCAGAAGGTAACATTTGACGTTATATACACCTCTGTAAACCCCAAAACATATCAACTGAATTGATGAATGATAAACTGCAAAATGAACTTTGGAGGGGATCACCTGCTCAGCTGAAAAAGAAGATCAGGGGGAACTACTTGTATTTGCCAGTGCTGTGAAGGGCTTATTATTTTGAGCCAACACATGGAAACGTCTATTTTTTTTAACATTTTTGTCCAAGATTGTAACCATAGAACAGAAAATGATCACGTGACCTCACCTGGAGGGTTAAGCAAACAAGACGCACAACGGCTCACTCCTTCTTTTGGCTTTGCAACCTTGTGAATTCTTTTTCTCTCTAGTATGGCCTGAGCGAAGAAAAAGAAAATTACACTGTAACTACATGTGAATGCCGGGCCATGCATTTCAAACCGTCTCTGTGTGCTACAAGGCGGGTTTATGGTTCTATTCATTGAAAAAAGCCAATTCATTTTACCGTTTTTTGTTGTTTAGTTTAAAGCAGATCACAGAAAACACCAAATATAATGTTGTTGCCACATGTTGACACCATCAAGAAAGAAAAACAAGAGACACAAACTTTGCAACAAAATGGAATCTATTTCGTTAATAATGGACGTCTGTGTTGGTTGCACGCAGCCATGTAATATCCTCTATCTGGACACAAGTGCTTGATTTATAGACAGTACTATTGTCTATTTACCTCTAGCCTCTTGGAAATATTATGAATGCTAGCTCGCTCACTTGGTGGTTTCAGACAGTCGATAGCAATTGCAGCGAATTCTTTGGTGACATTGCTGTCATGAGCCTTTCCAGGCCAAACATTCTGCAGAGAAAATGATAGGATACCTTAAAATTCATATTTCTTGTAAAGTGCATGAATATATCTGTACCTACTCCATGGAGAGTTATTCCAAATTCTGAGGAGTAGAAGGTCTTAAACGCCAAAATTTGAAGGGAAGTATGACGAAAACTGACATTTTCAAAGAGAAGGGGGGTTTAAAACCCCCTGTGGGAAGGGTACGATCATTTTCTAGAATAACACAATACCCTTCCTTGTTCCAGACGTGTTATGAGAGTAGATACTCCAGTTCTAAATGACATAATGATCATTTGTTGAGTGTGCGGGTGAAGTGTTCTAATTAGCTGCTTTTTTTTCATCAAGGTCGTAAACTTCAAAGAATCAACTCACCTTCTTTGCCTTTGTCATCAACCTTTCTGGATCCGACAAAACTCCTTCTTTCTTTAAAACATGATGCAAGAGTCCAGTCTTTTCAACTGCCTTCCTCTGTGTAAGAAGTTCCAGCATGACTGAAAACAAATGAAAAGCGCTCACTTTGTAAAAGCTGAGCTCTCATACATTATAATTCAGTGCACAAGTTCTTGCACCATTAAGTATGAGATCAAGCGCACATAAAATGTTTCACACATTATGCACACAAGGATAAAGTTTTGTGTTCTGTGGATTGTTCACCCCAGGGGGGAAGGTGTCGGATGTTAACTAAGGTCACCTTTTTGTTCCCACAACAGTAGTCTAGTCAATCCTGTATTAAGTGGTCGGCTTCAAGAAATTCTACTTGGTTTTCACGATTGAATGACTTAATATCACAGTTGTAAGTGGGGTGCTTATGACCTAGACCTGAGGGAAAATTGCAAAGAGAAGCCAAAAGCAGAGTCACAAGCTCCCCGGAATCAATGCAGAGATGCCAAACTCTGGAGCTCTAAAATCTGGAGAGTCTCTTTTTTTCACCACCCCCCTGGAATTTCAATGCCCTCCCCAATGGGAATGACTTAGGACATTAAATGAAGTCTTACATGAAGTACATACTATCAAAATTCGCAATCATTTTAATGCCAGAAATAATCTTTGTCAGTGACTAAATACCTGAAAAAATGCCCCAGAAACTTCACCGTACTGTGAATAAGAAAACTTCTAGTTTTGAGCTAAAAATGGGCCAAATCTCAAACTAAGGCACAAAAAAGCTCAGAAGATGATTTTATCCGGGAGATATGGTCACCGGTACGGGAGAGCGGGAGATCGGTGACGTATCTGGGAGACTCCTGGATAGTCAGGGAGAGTTGGCATGTACAGCTGTATGTCAATGTGCGCAGACTGTTTCATTTTCTTCCAAACCACCTATAACTCTGTATACATGTAGTTACAGTCTAGTGAAAAACAGATTACCTGAGTTGGAAGAAAGTAGTAGGAAAAGCCAATCACAATGCTCGTACCCTTGTTTTAGGACTACATATAGTTAATTATTTCTTCTACTTCTATTTGCAACTCCAACAGCCTATAGTTTTCACTAGACCATAATCAATGGAGTCTCAGGGTGAAATAAAAAGCTGTTTTCAATGGATCATAACCACTCAATCTCCATTGTGAATGAAGTCAGGCCTTTTCATAGTTGACTTTTAAACGCTACAAATTGAGAGACATGATTTTCAGAACTTTGGCAAGAGACCATGCGATAGGGCAGATTTGATCCACTGTGCTGCTAGCTATAAGATGACCTTGTGATAATTAAAAACAAAACAATCTTGTAACCTACCAACTCCAAAAGAAAAAATATCGTTGATAGGTTTTAAACGCAGATCATGGCAGTGAACATCACTGTAACCCTCTGTTCCACGCATCTGGCTTATAGAAGCATATGAGTGATCTGTGGGTAACTCCTGTGACATTCCAGCATCTCCAAGACGAGCATTGAATTCTTCATCGAGGAAAATGTTTCCTGGCTTCACATCCATGTGTACAATCTCTTGTCTACAATAAAGAACTTAATACATTAAGTTAGCCTAAATTAATCTTTTCAGAACAATGGAGATGAAACTGAGCGAACAACCAGCCATCAATCTAATGTCTTTACAGACAGTCTAACTCCAATGTACTAATGACTGTTACAATTACAATTTGCCCTACAGATGTGGGCACAAGAATAGCTATGACATCTTCCCGTCATCAGGGTGCCGTGTGAAAATTTTAAAAATTGTTTGCCCTTTGGGCAAATGGTTGCTGGAGATTACTGGCCCTGAGCAGTCATGCAGGCCTAGCAGTCACCCCTTTTCACCACATGCCAGCATCTACTTTATCGGGTAAATATATTACTTCCCTGTTGAACAACTTGTGATAAATTATTAAAACATGCTTGCCCAACAGGTCGCTCTACTAGGACTGGGTTATTGGACAGCACTTGCCGCACCCTGCCGCACTCATATTAGCAAGCTCTGTAGCTCAGCTTTCTTTCATCTACATAACATCAGCCGTATTTGCAAGTTCCTAAGCCCCGAGGAAATTAAGACCTTAGTGCGTTCATTCATCACTTCTCGTGTTGACTACTACAATAGCCTTTTGTATGGTCTACCTGCCTCACAGCTTAACAAAGTTTGGTGTGATTTAAACACTGCAGCAAGGCTTGCTTGTTGCACCATGCGCTTCAACCAAGGCATATATTACACCACCGATGTATGGGCTACATTGGGTTCCGTAAAAGCAGTGCCTTCATTTTAAGATTTTGTTATTTGCATTCAATTCAAGCATAGCCACACATTATTTTCTTTGAAATCACAAGGCGCATATAACTTCAGATTGTCTGGTGGGACTTTTCTAGCATCACCAACATTTAGAACTAAGGTCATACTGGGCAATAGGTCCTTCCAGGTGGCTACGTCCAAGTTATGGAATGCTTTAAACGCCATCTTCAGATGTACCTTTTTAAGTGTGCTTATAGTCAAATGAATTTTAACAAGTGACATGTCGATATTTTAGATTTCCATTGTAGTAGAGTATATATTCTTATAATTTGTGTTTTGTATTGTAAATAGGCTTTTTTATGCTTTTATTAGCAATGTAATGCTCATTTAATCATTTCTATGAATACTTCGCAATAGAAGGGATTAAATTATTATTATTATTATCATTATTATTTATGATGAAATACAGCCCTCTATGTCTGCTACACAGCTGTTTTTAGTGTCGTCACGCAAAGCTCCTTGCGTGACGACACTAAAAACGGCTGTGAAGCAGACTACCCTCTATAGGGCTGTATTTTAAAATGCCCACACTCTCTTCGTTCCTAAATGTGGGGTTTAAAGTATGTATATTTTTAAAGAAAATAAAGTATTATAAGGGGTGTAACATTATCATACAGTCACTGCAGGACGAAGCATTTGAGGGCATCACACTTTCCAATGTTAAAGATGTAGATCTTGTGACAACACCGCTTGAGGATTGACATTGAAGTGGATAACTAGTTAACTAAGAATTTAAAATAGAAACTTCGTAATGGTAAGATGTTGAAACCAAACTGTAGAAGGAAGTAACAGAGTCTCCTACAAATACATTAATTTTGTGTTTTTAGTTAGAAATACATTCGTTGAGCTTTCCAGTTTAATGTGAGTTTGTATACACTTGAAACAGAAAATGTCATATTGATTCAGAAAATTAAAGAACAAAATAAGCCCCTCCCCATCCTTTAAATAATAAGTGCCCCCAGGAGGGGGCATACCCTCTTAAATCATGTTAAATCGTGTAGTATTGTCCAACATGGCTAGATGAATAATGATAACAAATTTTTGGACAACAAACCTGATATTTCTCTCAGTTTTTACACCTGTGTGTAAATACTGCAGAGCCCTAGCAGTGTGAAGAGCTATCCTTACACGATTTTCCCAAGACAACTTTTCCTGTCCATGCTTGTCCTTTAATAGTGCTGTTCTTAAGTCACTGTGCATTTTAGGATACATAAGGCAGCATGGTTTCCTGTAAATAAGAGACAATGTTATAATGAGTCTACATCATTCTCATCTTGCTCATTATTTTAAGGGAACCTTATTTGAAGGTCTCATTTCATAACCCTACTGGTGACTTGTCATTGTTGTCATCATTGTCATCATCATCATCATCATCATCAATTCGTAACAATGTATTTAACCCTTTAAGTCCTTAAGAGTGACCCGCATCACTTTTGGCCTATCAATAACGATACATAATCAAGAGAAGACGCTATGAGAATTATTAAAAAAATCACTACACGGAAAATTCTTCGATCTTTCATCAAATTCTCTCAACTAATTCTTGATGGAAATGTATGGAAACCAGGCTGGACAATTTGTTTGTGGATATATTGTAGGATAACCACATGGTCTTACAAAGAGTCATGTGAATAAACCAGAGTAAAATGTAAACTAATGACAGAGCTACATGTACTAACAACAGCAAACAACAACAACAACTTTATTATAAAGCAACAAAATACACTAAACATACACACTGCCTGAATTTAGCTAAAGCTATTCAAGGCAGGCAGTCTGCCGTGGTTATCCCACCTACGAGAACGGATACATTTAAAGGGAGCCTCCACTTCAACAAAAAGATAACTTTAAATAACAGGAAATAACTGTTACAGTCAAGTTAATCTAAAATATTTTTAAAGAAAGCGTTTGTATCCGAAAGAAATAACTTTTAGATTCGCCTATTTTTGTTTTCAAATTTTGCGGGCGTCGCCATCTTGAATAATTGTGACGTGTAATGGTTGCCCTATTGTTATTAAACAAAAGCTCTTTGTGTCAGAACAAAAGAGCAACCGTAACACGTCACAATTATTCAAGATGGCGCCGCCCGCGAAATTTGAAAGTGAAAATAAGCGATTTTAAAATTCACTTTTCGAACAAATTTGTTTATCAACATAATTTTATTCGATTTAAACTTATTCTGTAGTAAGAGTGGAGGTTCCCTTTAAAGACATTTTTACAAGAAAAAAAAGGGATTTACAACATCAAGGAAAAAGAGATTAAAATTAACATTAATACGAATGAGTAAATATGTAAATAAGTAGATAAATAAAGGTTACAATACATAGCATTAAGATGACTTTTTTTAATTTCATTAATAAGGGTGTTGAAGGTTAATGATCAAGGATTCTTCAATTTAGTGATGGTCAAATGTGTTTAAAAGAATTTGTCCATCAAATATAGTTTTTGAATAATCCATATGTTTGGCACATAAGGTGGTCTTGCTGCTTATCACCACAGAATATTTCAATAGAAAAGACCACAGAACTATTATATTTTCGAGGTAAATAGAAAGTGCAGATAAATTTTTAAATAGGGAGTGTGCATATAACCAGCCTGTGGTGTGGAAGAACAAAGAACTGGGGCAAGCTGGGTTACAATAGATTGAATGATGAAGTGCTATTAAATTACCCTTTTTCTTCACTGAATGCATAAAGAGGCATCAGGTGAGTATGTTTTACATAACCAACTCGTTTCTCCTGCAAAAGAAAACCATTGTTATCATCAATTATTAAAAACAATAAAACAAAATAAGACATAGTCACCTAGTGAATGCAAGGGAGAACACAGCTACAACCTTGAACAAAAACCTGTTGAGCCACATCGCAAAAATACCTATTTTTACCTGTCATCCTGGCAAAAATGTAAAACCGTCAACAAATGAATGTCCATTCCCCCATCCCCTCATCCAATATTGTTTAGGATAGCACGAGAATTACACACATTGGTTTTTAGACAAAGACAACTTTGAATAGGGGGTGAGGAGGGGGCTTACTTTCTCTGTTTAGAGGAGATAGTAGTATGGCGGGAAGATATAACTGTCTCAGCAGTTTTGTCCAAGGTTGTAGCCAGTCAAGTGCAAGATTACGCAGCCAACCTTTCTAAACTTAATAGTTGACCTTAAAAAGCAAAGAATACCTGACATAACACAGTCTGGTAACAGTTGTGGCTAATGGCACACTCAGACAATAATATGCTGTGTATTGATCTTAACAGTACGCAATTTAACTCCTATACTCTGTCCACTTTCTTTACAGCTTACCCTTCTTAACTGTTTTGTACTGTGAGATTGTCCAATGTGGGTACTGTCTTCCTCTTTGATAACTACATCCTGACCATTGTACTTGCAGGTACCTACATGTAAAATAGAGAGAACGCAGTCAGAAAGTTTAAAATGCAACAATGGCATACACAAAAAGCAATACTAGGAGAACATGAACACAGGGTTTTCATAAAGAATTCTAGTAGGAGGAGAAAGGTGTAACGTTACAGGAGAATATTTGGAAAAAGGCTCTACATCTGAAAAAAAAAATAGTCGTAGGCTACTGAACATTTGCCGAAGACTTACAATTAGTAAACAGAGAATTCTCCGATCTCTGATGCCTAATGAGCACCCAGTGAGGACCAAGGCTTAAGACTGAATTAGTAACACTGAATGTAATGGTGGGGAGCTGAGCCCCTTAGCTTTGCTGTTTGAGAGCAGTACTAAATAAATTATGCAGTTCATGAATGAGTCCTGAGGTACAGCAAATGGAGACACTAGTCAAAGCCCCGAGTCCTAATATTATTCCAAAATGGAGCTCTTTAGGAGCTCTTGGAGGCACTCTATTAGCAGGAAAAAGAGCTACATCATCATTACCAATGGAACACTCCAAGTGGGCTTCAGGAGGGCTCAAGGTGGGTGCAATTCCCTCTGGTATCAGCAGGTAGCTACAATCCCGGACAAAACTACTTGAGAAAGTTTTCCCCATCATGTCCACTTTCCTACCCAACAAAACTATTTCCAAAATGACACCTTTGCGGAAAGGAAACCGCTTCCTCCAAATCAATGTTGCTTCCCACAAATGCCCAGGGATCAGGCTTTCTTTTGAATACACAAGAACATAGCTTTCAGGGGAAGGGGGAGAGGGAAGAATTGGTAAAGTTATGATGTTTAGAAAAATGCTGTCCAAGTATACAATTTTCGCAACAGTTTTGTCCGAGATTGTCGCTAGCTGTGGGCAGGAAGCACAGGACCGGGTGTCAAAACAGCTTTACAGTGTGTGAACACACAGGGGGGTGGTAAGGACAATGGAAGACCTCCCTCAGGAGATAAGATGAGGTGTTCCGATCCAAATTCCTTGATGGAACGTTCAACCACAAAGTTTTTGTTAGTGTTAATTCTTAGGCTGATTGAGAGAGTGCCCAAAGTCTCCCATCATGCTCAGGCAGGTAACAACAATCCATAAGATCAGGGGTGTAGGAGGCACAACCAGCAGTTTTTGCACAGAACACAAGACAAGAATAGGCTGTCTGTCATCTGCACTGCAATGTGGAAAGACATTAACTGACAGGCATGGTTTTGGTGCCTTCTATGGAGCATAGCTCATTAAGGAGAGAACTGAGAGTCAAAAAAATCTTTGGCTTGAGAGAGGCAAGGGTCCTCATAACCATTCTTTTGCTTGACAAGTAATGGAAGTCCTTGGTTAATTAGTTGTAGATGCAGAAAAACGATAGTGTTTTCAAGTGATGGGGAAAGATCTTCATCTGCAACCACAGGATCCCCATGGTGGGTTATAGGCCACTGTTAACAGATAACAAGTTGTCTTTGAAGAAGGCCATGAGTTGCTGGAATAAATCCTCCGGGTGCTCATCTGTTCGGAGTTAAAAGTTCGTAAGGTTGAGGAAATGGGTTCCAGACATTGAAAACCATAATTCTGGCGAACTCTAGATGGCAGGGTAAAAGTTGGTGATCTGGCCAAGCAGGAGATCCAAGTGGGCATTAAATCTTTTGAACAGCAGAGGGTTAGTAGCTGTTTGCTTCTGCCATGTTGCTTCCAAATATGGTAAAAAATAATAATTGTTGCCTAGCGATTATGTACATAAAGTTCTGTCTCCAACATCCATAGGAGGAAATGATCTCTTTTTTCATGAGCGGCCACTGTTTTAAAGTTCTGGGAGATCTGCCATGATGATTTTACATGAGACGTTATGGCCAGCTCACAATGATCAGTCTAATCTAATACGTTTTATGAAAAATAAGTGTCACAGTCCTCAGCAGACCACAATAGTGTTAGGGTAGTCTTAACATGTGTGAAAACTGCTAAAACAAATCTAGGGTGACCAAGATTCAATAAAACAGCATGCAAATACATGTACCATAATAATTGTTAGGTTTTGACCTACTAACCTTCATATACAACTCCGAAGCCTCCTCTTCCCAATTCCTTTGTACCAATTCCAAAGTATTTTTTTATGCACTTATAGCTCATCTCAACTGGGCATTTCAGGTTGGTTGTATTACTCAAATCAGTAGCTGTGCAATTTTCAATTGGAACTTTCTCTTGTGATTCAACAAAGGTTGAGCTTGTAGTTGTTGTTGAACCATATGTTTCTGTTGATCTCCCTGAAGGAGCAACTGGATTGCCTCGATCTGGTTGATCTCTACTCTCGACAATTCCATTAACTTCTGGTTCATTAACTTCTGGTTCATGACTGTCGGTGGGCGCATGTCCCCAAGGTTTATGACTACAGTTTTCCACATCTTCCGTTACTTGCTGCCCAAATTTGTCTGCACTATTTCCAGCAAATGCATATGTGCCTGTTTAGAATTACACAAAAGATTATACAGTGTAATTTCTCACTATAATAATAGCAGACAATATATAATCACCGACAGAAGAAATAAAAACGTGTTCACTTGAAAGAGCCGGGACAGTCATTATTTTAACACTGTAATTATTTTTCCAATAATTATATGTCTCCATTGAGAGATTCATGTACTATTATCAACCGTTGTGGACCAACAAAAATTAGTGTTATTTGAAGAAAGAAAAACCTGTATATGCACTTATTAATAAAGCTATACAATGTAGTCATAATCAACTGTCTAAAACTTTGTTCTAACTATGGCAGAACTTTAGCGGCCAACCTGAGAGAACCTTAACTATAATACATGAAATCAGAGAGGAATATTGACTGCACCCTTGCAAACCAAGACACAGGAATACACCAAAGGTAAGTCTCCTTTATTTATTTTATACAAAAAAGGTAAGATAATTATAGTGATATTTAGTGCTTGCAGACCTCAGTATTTTTATTTCTCATACAACATCTCCACGGTCGCCTGTAATGCGACACCGCCTCTCTTGTGAGAAATTAAAATACATTAGACTCTGGTGACGTGAGCTTGGAATACCTGTGGTAAAAGTATCTTAACTACAACTTTGCCATCTGTTCAGTTAGCATTCTAAATTATGGAGTTGTTCTTCAACCATGCTTGTTTGAAGCCAATTAGCTGGATTTTTGTAGAGACTGGAAAAAAAATGCTCATGGAAGAGGAAATTATGAGAGCTTTAAAAGCCTTACAAAATGTATTTAGCAATTTAATAAAATGTTAATTTTATTTTATTAATCATCATTTGATGGTTGATAAAGGTAAGGTTGATTTATTCTTACCCATGTTGTTAAATGTGTACTTGTTAATTAAAAAAAACTTTTTAACAAAAAAATATGCTACAAAATTAAGGCCACAAAAAAACATTCCCATGCAAGCGTCATAATTTCTGGCAAGGCAGATCCCTCTGATCTCTTTCTCTGCTAATTATCCCACGAAAGCATCTACATATGGTACTGACCTTGAGAAGAGGTTTCGGCTGTGCTGTAACTACCACTTCCTGTCTGCAGTGGAGAATCATGATGTTGATGTATAAAAGAAGGTTCTGGCTTCCTGCCTGAAGTTCCTAATTGTAAAACGGAATCTCTACTTTTCAAAGAGGTTTCTGGTCTGTTACAGGTAGCAGATAAAGGTGGTGGGGCATTGACATTTAACTCCCCCAAGTGACAATCATTGGCTTCAACAGCTGCCATTGATAGAAACAATAAAACAGAATTTGAAATTGAAATGTTGCCTGGCATCCTATGGAAGGAGAAAGCATTCTAAATTATGGAGTTGTTCTTCCACCACACTTGTTTGAAGCCAATTAGCTGGATTTTGGTAGAGACTGGAAAAAAGATGCTCATGGAAGAGGAAATTATGAGAGCTTTAAAAGTCTTATTTAGCAATTTAATAAAAATTAATATTTATTTTATTAACCATCATAATTATGATGGTTGATAAAGGTACATGTATGGTTGATTTATTGTTATGTGTGTACCTACCTGTATTAATTAAAAACAAACTTCTTAACAAAAAAATGTGCTACAAAATTAAGGTCAAAAAAAGACAATCCCAAGCATCTTTTGTAAAAAATTTTCTGACGAGGAAGATCCCTCGGTTTCTCTGCTGCTTATCCCACAAAAGCATCTGCATACACCACTGACCTTGAGAAGAGGGTTCTGCTGTGCTGTAGCTACCACTTCCTGTCTCCAGTGGAGAATCATAATGTTGATGTATAAAAGAAGGTTCTGGCTTCCTGCCTGAGGTTACTGGTTGGAAAAGGGATTCCCTACTTTGCAAAGAGGTTTCTGGTCTATCATAGGTAGCAGGTAAAGGTGTTGGAGCATTGACATCTAACTCCCCCAAGTAACAATCATTGGCTTCAAGAGCTGCTATTGATAGAAATAAATACAGAATTTGAAATTGGAATGTTGCCTGGCATCTCATGGAAGGAGTATTGCTTGAGTTTAAGGTGACTCGGCCCAGTTATTTTGTGGGGGTACCATCCTACTTTGAAGCTCTCTGGTATCCCCACCTTTACTTTGATCATAAGTCCAACATATAGCATGGATAACATATAGATCAATCTACAACATAGCATAAAATTTTTGGCGATCGGAGTAAATGTCACGTGGTTATAGTGCCATGCCTCTTCAGGTCTTTTTCGTAAAAATCTCTCGGCTACATATAGTGCGCATTCTTGCCTTGCGTTGAACAGAGTTTTACCAAAATCACAAAGACCCAATTCGAGAAATTCAGCGGTTTGCAAATTTAGGTCATAATTTATGTGAAAATGATAAGCAAACTTTACACGATTATATCTAATAAACTATAAGATTTATCCCTTTATTTTGGGGATCTTTATAACAGATGGGTCCTAGCTTGCAAGTCAGTAAAAAGCTTTAGGGCCTTATAAATGCGCACGATTTCGAGCAATGCAAACATATAGAAATAATCTAGAGTTTTAGCTATTTGTTGACATTTGTCAGCGTTCAAGAGTCCTTCTCACGAAAAAAGCATTTTCTTAAAAATTCGTATTTTTTTCCCTTCAAATTTTTTCGAGGCCACAATTAACTAACTACCCAGATTCTGAATTTCATGGTTGTTGAAAAACTGTGACATTATCTTCTATGAGCCGAAACTGGAGTAAACATTGAAGATTTTTAGTGTTTTGGCTGAGTTCGAGTTTTGGGAGTTCTCTATTGTTTCTAGTCTGTCATGATACAGCAGTCTTGTTCAGCATGTGTGCAATGACCACGCTTGGCTGATTATCGAATGCTCACCGAGATAATTTATGATAATTTTGGTACCGTGAGACAGGCAATTGTGTGATACCTAAAGATTTAACTCATGATTTTTAAACAATTCTGGTGCTTCTTGTGCCTTTTTCACATAAATTATGAACTAAATTTGCAAACCGCTGAATTTCTCGAATTGGGTCTTTGCAATTTTGGTGAAACTCTGTTCAATGCAAGGCACGAATGCCCACTATATATAACCAAGAGATTTTCATGAAAAAAAGCCGGCAACAGCAGAATTTCGACTCAGACCTGAAAGAGGCGTGGCACTATAACCACGTGACATTTACTCTGATCGCCAAAAATTTTATGCTATATTGCAGATTGATCTATATGTTATCTATGCTATATGTTGGACTTACGATCAAAGTAAAGGTGGGGATACCAGAGAGCTTCAAAGTAGGATGGTACGCCCACAAAATAACTGGGTCGAGTCACCTTAAGAACACTTTCTTGCAGGACACCATGGTTAAAGTTTTGGGAGTCAACTTGGAAGAGAGCAAATCCCAATCAAGATGAAGGGGTGGATATTAATGTGGTCTAAACAAAAAAAGTAAATGGGAAAATGTGTCTAAACTGTGGCTCTGTTCCCAAGATATGATGTCAAACCAAAAAATTGAGTGGAAACTGTGCCTAGGAAAGAAGCGAGATGAAGTCAAAAATGCTGGGGACAAATACATATCTTACAACATGATCACAATCAACTAGAAAATTTCTTCATGGAAACCAAATGAAATGTTATTCTGCCATCTAAGGTCCCCCTGGCACTAGGATCTTCCTTCTCCATGTAAACAAACCCAACAATGTCACACCCACACTTTACTGCTGACATGACTTTAAGGGGAACAAGAATGATGTGTCCCAGCCCTTAAGGAAAAAAGGAAATGTAGGTACATGACTCACATAAATAAATGAAGAGCATGCCAAGTGTCATTGACTGACAGCCAGGGCAGCCATGAATAGAGTATGTTAAGTTTTACAAGCCTTGGTGGTATGGTGGTTTAAGGGATTTTATTATTAATAGGAAGTATATATAGAGTGTTTTCAAAATGACATTATTATAGCGAGGTCTTCTGAATTTTAATCTACACCAGGTTGAAGGTGACCGGGAAATAACTCAATATAGAAGTTTCCAGTCGTTATTGATTTTAAAGAAGGCATTTTTATTGCAAAAGTGAAATCTATCCAGATGTCTGTTAGTTTCTGGTCACCATAATGGTGTCCCATGTTGCAGAGATTCCAAACCCTTTTAAAGGAAAATAGGGAGTACTTTTTAGTGCCGAAGGCACTCACAGAAGTGCCTTAGGTGCGAGCCTCTACGGGGGGTCTGGGGATATGCCCCACCGGGAAATTTGGCTAATTTAATTTGTCTCAACTGGCATTTACTGCATTTTGACACCACGGCAGTATTCATTGGAGAGACTTGGTGAGTCATTATAGGATAGGAAAGGGTAATACGTAACATCTCACACTCAGATTGCAAAAAAATACTTAAGATAAGCAATTTTTTCCTTGTTTCCAGAATTCCAGAATCGGGAGACTACTGATCAAATCAGGAAGGTTGGAATTTCTCCATGCTGGTACACCAGCAAGGCATCATAATACAAATCTCTATAACATTGAATGAAACTTTTTGGGAAAATAACTACAACTTTGTTGTTTATTTAGGAGTCTTCTGTAACATTTCATTTTCTTGGCTTCTTTTGTAGAACGGTTTCAAATTTATTTTTTGAATTGTGTGACAGTGAAAACACTCTATAAAAGGGTGAAGTTATAGTGTACTAAGGGTGCCATGTTCCCATACTTTACCTTTTCATACTCCTACTCTCTGCTCCCCCTTAAAAATGTGCATTCAAAGGAAGCGAAACTGCTGTTACATGGAACAGAAGTTGCTATAATTTCTTCTTTTATCTAGTAGTCAAACTTGACAAAAATTGGATACGGATACTCTACCCGAAAAATACCCTTTCAAGCAGAGCAACCCCATATGACCATTACAGCAGGATTACAGTGATGACCTATCACCCCAAATTCCCCCACACCGGCCCCTCGCTGCGGATGTCATGTCTTCACTTTCGTTGAAACCAGCTAATAATTAATCGTATTTTTGAGCGAATAAAGTAACCTACCTTTTCTTGACTGTTGGAATTCTTCGACCTTTGACTTTAAATCTCTCCTACCAATTTCTTCAAAAAGTTTTTTTAACAACTCAAGCTGCTTTGATTCGTTTTCGACGACCTCCCCAATCGCTGATAAAAGTTGCTTAGCATTATCAATTTTTTCCAACCTTACTGGCGTTAGGTAATCACCACGAAGAATAAATTTCAAGGAAGCGAGGTTGTCTGCGATTATTTCTTCAGATAAAGAGTGATAAAGGAGCCGAATATGAGAAATTTTCCCAGCCTTTCGCATAGTCTACTTAGTGAATGGCGGAGATAAGGCGGAAAAAGACGGAACTGAGCTTCTTTGTCAAGCGGGTTGGGTGGTGGTGGGGGAGGGTGGGGGGGTTGAGGGCAGGGCTGACTGACTGTCACAATGCAGGGAAAATTGCCGTAAACCCAGGAAAATACTAGTTTCTCTCTAAAAATCTTATGAGTTTTGTCTGTTTAATAGCCTGTGTGTACAGACCCAATTGCGGGAGGTGTGTAGATGATCAGATTTTTGGTTTCTATTCACAGGAGTCCGCCATTCATGGTGGTCAGCTAACCTCAATGCGGTAGGTACTTCATGTATCATGGTATTTCTCACTTCCGGCCTCGTGAATTCTCCCTGTTACTCATGTTTTCGAGGCTGCAAGTTTACAGGCTTGTATTACTGAGTATGGCCGAGAGCGCTCCTTTGCATACAGGGTATGATTTTTCAATGATTTGCTAGTGAAATTTCCATAAATGTTTTTGACTTAGTTGGAGCAAGAGACCCGATAGAAATTCGCAACTGGAACAAATTGCAGACAAAGCGATTTAAGGATCTTAAACCGCGTTCTAAGTTAGACTTCGTTTAAATAACCGACCCGTAGTGAACAATCTGAATTCATCCGTTAGAGTTGACTGGCCGTAAAATACAGTAAGACGGGAAGGACTGAAGAATTATTAAGAAGGACGTGGCGAGCGAAACGAGCTGCAAGAGTGCGGGCTAGGCCGGGGTGACTGAAGATCTCGAGCTTTTCCTCTTTAATGCCCGCACCATCTCTTCCTCATTAGAAATTACAGATCAGTATGAGCTTGATTTTAATAATGTTTTTGGTTTATCCTTACCAGAAAGCACAAGTTAGATTCCAAATTCAGTGATGCTACCAAAGTGTCAGCAAAAGACAGCAAAATAAAAAAGCTAGAGGTAAGTAGTAGTGTCTTTCCCGGCATAGTAAATCGAACGTTCGAAAATCGAACTCAATCGAACTAAATCGAACTCAATCCGTGGATTGAGTTCGATTGTGTTCGGCAATCGAACGAAATCGAACACCACACTTTCAGTGAGTTCAATTTCCAAACAAATCGAATTCAATCGAACAAATCGAACTCAATCCGTCTGATTGTGTTCGATTGAGTTCGGACGCACACAATTTAATGGATTTCGTTCGATTGGCTCTGGTGAACCTATACAAAGCAAGCCCAAAGCAAACCCGTCAAAGCAAGTTTTTCTTGCGCTTTTTTACTATTTATTCAATAACACAAACCCCATTTATAAACTGTCCACGGCAGTTAAGAGAACAGAACAGAACAAAACAAAGCTATCATAATTCCACGGTCGTATTTCGAAATTGTCTTACCCTTTCCTTTTTTTAGTTTTGCTTCCCCTGTTTTTCATAAGGCTTGCACAATATTAACTACTTGAGGCAACTTAATATATTCGCGAATCCCTTACAAACATCTTCACTTACTAAGTTATCGAAGCATTTACAGGCCACAGGGAAGCAACCAGTTCACGTTGAAGGTGACCTAATTGTCCGTGCTCGTTTGCAATTCGGAAGGCACGGCCTTTCTCGCCTATTTTCTTTAAAACCCTGAAAACTTCACCATCCTTGACGTCAAAGCGGCATTCCTGGTAGCCTTTGACTATACATTTGAAGCTTACAATCCACAACGCATCTGAAGCCATTTCTGCGGAATTTCTTCGTTTATGAAAAAAACGAGCGCTACACTCAGGGCTGAAGTAACTCGAGCTTCTAAGATCTGGTAATGGATTTTCAACGTCTGTTTTACATAAATCACGAGTTCGAAAATCGAACGTTCGATTGCGTTCGATTGATTTTTTTTCTTTTCGGTGAGTTCGATATCGTTCGATTGCCGAACTCAATCGAACTCAATCCACCGATTGAGTTCGATTGAGTTCGATTGAAATTTAGTTCAATTGGGTTCAATTTACTATGCCGGGTGTCTTTGAAGAATCGCGATCTTTTAAGTCTTCAAGAGTCCCTATGCATGTAATATTAAGCGCCAACATAATTACGCCACCTTCACTCACAGAACATTGCTTTGTATAGGATACAGAGTTAACAGCGTTGACTTCAAATAAAGACGATTTCAGACTGAGGGCTGTTTCAAACGTCGTACTACTGCCGTGCTAAGCTGGCTCGACTGTAGCTCAACTGCAGCACGACACTAGCACCACTTGGTTTCAGATGTCAAATTTAATTCAGTCGAATAGAACGGCTGTTGCTGTAAACAAAACACAAAAATAAAGAAACGATTAAGCAAACTTTTAAATGTATTCTAATGTATTCACAATTTATGAATTGAGTTCAGCACAGCAGTGGTATGGCATTAGCGCGACGTTTGAAACCAAGTCGAGCTACTGCAGCTGGCGTGTAGCTACTACCGGCAAAGCTTGCCGTGCTACACGGCAGTAGTACGACTTGGTTTCAAACGTTGTGGTGCTGCCATGTGTTACGCGGGTAATCTTTTAGAGGACGGGTAGCTTGCAAACCAAACTGAACGCAGGGTTGTCGGAACAGCAACAAGAAGATCTATTCCAAAAATGAACGTAGTTTCCACGAAATAAAACTCCACAACAGCACGTAACTCGTTAAACTTACACAGCCTCCGCCAACTTCAATTACCTTAATAAACTTAAACGGCCTCTGCCAACTTGAATAAACACTGCCTTCATCACATTTGACTAAACACGACTAACGTCAAACTCTCTTCGCTTGTGAAAACTAGTTAAAGCTTAACTCGGGCTCGCCTACTTATATACGTTTACAATAAGATTCTAGCACTTTCCACCTAATTATAGAAAGATTACGAAATATACCGCTTTAGAAACGTTTACGTAAGATCCTAAAATAAACAAACTACGAACTCTCGTGAAGCTTCTAGAAAGTCACGCTAGTCATGCAATACAATTTTTCGTAACATAACCCCCTTTCAGAAGAAATTTCCTAAATTTCCAATACAATAGAAAAATTGTAACCTAATATACAACAGGGGTAGTCCGGTGTCTCTCAGGTTACTCTTCTACTCGACTAAGATAATCCGCTCTGACATTCTCTGATCCTTTGTTGGCTTCCACCTTGAAATTGTAACTTTGTAGAAACATCGCCCATCGCATTAGTCGTGCGTTGGTATATTTTGCGCTGTCCATGTACTTCAGCGGTTTGTGGTCTGTCTGCAGCACAAAAGGTACACCGTACAAATATAGATGAAATCTCTTGATTCCCCGTACAATCGCTAGGCATTCTTTCTCGATTGTAGAATAGTTGCGCTCCGCACTTGACAATGTCTTGCTTGCATAACAAACAGGGAATAATTTCTCTTCGTGACTTTGCATCAATACTGCACCAATTCCATTGTTGGAAGCGTCCGTCCGTAGGAAATAAGTTTTAGCTGGATCGGGGAGATGTAGAATAGGTTGACCTTGTTAGGTAGGACTTGATTGTTTGGTAGGCTTTTTCTTCTGCTTCACCCCACTCAACTTTATTGGGTTGGTCTTTCCGTGTGAGATCAGATAAGGGCGCTGCGATCGCTGCAAAGTTGGGAATAAAATCTCTGTAGTATCCTGCTAGACCGATAAATGACCGCACCTGTTTCTTTGTGCTTGGCCTTGGGGCATCTTTAATTTTTTCCACGTTATCCTGATGTAGGCCAATCATTCCTTCAAGCTCCAGTCGATGGCCTAGGAAATCCACACTGTTTTCACCGAATAGGCACTTCGTAGGTCTAATAGTCAACCCAGCTTGTACAAGGCGCGAAAACAGCTCTCTGATGGCTCTAATATGTTCTTCCCACGTACGGGTGTGTACCAATATATCGTCCCAGTAGAAGTCGACATCATCTAGATCTTCAGTGTTGCCGCTGAGTTAATCATTCCAAACAGCATCTTCAAGAACTCATACGACCCGTCAGGTGTTACAAACGCAGTTTTCGGTATGTCCTCCTCTGGTATAGTTATCTGCCAATATCCCTTGCTAAGGTCAATTTTTGAAAAGAATTTGTCTCCGCTAAGCTTCTGGAACAAGTATTCAGTGGTTGGCATAGGCTCAGGATCAAATACAGTTAGTTTATTCAATTTCCGGTAATCAACGCACACACGGTTTGTGTTGTCTTTTTTCTTCACTACTACAACAGGTGACGCATACGGAGAACTGGACTCTCTAATAACTCCCATTTTGATCATGTCAGTAATATCTTTTCTCAGTGATTCTCTCATGCTGTAAGGTACGGGGTAAGGTCTTGATCTAACTGGCTTGTCTGAGGTGAGTTTAATATGATGATGAACAAGATCTGTGGTACCTGGTGCTTCAGTAAACAAATCCGTGAACTGCCTAGCCAGATCCGTGAATTCAGTTCGTTGCTCGTCCGTAAGATCCAGTCCAGTTGTAACATCCTCAATTGACTCCTTGGCTACATATCCACCAAGCTCTAAGAAATCAACCTCTTCTTCCTCTGCTTCATCATCTTTAGCTGCACAGTCAACAGCATTGTCTATACTCGTAGCGCCTGCTCCAACAGCTACTGCTCCTTCTACTGTAGTCTCCTCTCGCTCAAAATACTTTTTAAGTAGGTTAGCATGATAAAATTTCTCCTTGCCTTTTACTTTCACCTTGTAGTCATTGAGACCTACCACTGAACTAACTTCAAAGGGACTTTGCACTGCATAAGTAACTTGTTATGGTCGGTAGGTAGCAGCACAAGTACTTTCTCACCTGGTTGAAACTTCCTAACCTTAGACTTGTGGTCGTAATAGTGCTTTCCTTTCTGCTGGGCTTTCTCCAGTTCACTATGGGCGAGCTTAAGGGTATCTTCTAACTTCTCTCGCAACTCGAAAACGTACTGGTAACTGTTCTTTACTTCAGGCTCCTCAACTTCTTTCGTCCACAGCTGTTTGAGTATTTTTGCCTCAAATGGCAAAAAACCAGTGGACTCTTGGGGGACTTCATGATAAGCAAACAACAGTGGGTTTACGTAGCAATGCCACTGTCTTGGCTGCTCACTACACAGTCTCTTCAGCATAGACTTCATCGTTCCGTTGAACTTCTCCGTCAAACCGTTACACATCGGGTGATAGGGCGTTTTTAAGCTGTTTAATGCTTAGTAGTCGAGTAACTTCTGTCATGCACTCCGAGACAAACTGTGTGCCCAGATCACTCAGGATTTCTTCGGGTATTCCTAGATGGCTAAAGATATCAACCAATGCCTCTGCTACAGTCTCCATATCAATGTTCTTTAGTGGTACTGTCTCAGGGTAGCGAGTCGAAAAATCTACCAGCGTCAATATGTACCTGTGATCTTCTTTACTCGGAGGACTGATGGGCCCGACAAGATCTATTGCTACTCTCTTAAAGGGCTTGTCAATCAGTGGCATCTTCTCTAACGGTACCTTCAGCACTGATCCCTTACTTACAGTCTTCTGACAAACATCACAGGACTTGCAAAATCGAGTCATGTCACCTTGAATTCCAGGCCAATAAAATGCACTCTGGATCTTGTCTGTTATTTTCTTGATACCCATGTGACTGCCCATGATCGATCCGTGAGCTACTTCCATTATGGGGCGCCTCAACTTTTCAGGTACCATGACTTGTTTTAGCGGTTTACCACCATTCCCATAAGGGTGCTTGTACAGACGGTACAGTACTCCACATTTTTCTTCAAATGAAATCTCCGCCTGACCCTTTACTAGCACATCGTCTCGATCCCAGTACTTGCATAGACTCTCATCTTCACACTGCATCTGCTTGAGCTTCTCTCTATCCACGATAGGGCTCTCACGGCTACTTGGCACCTTCAAGGCTGTGCGTTCATCCTTTTTCTTAGCTTGACTTCTTGTAGTCACTGCACAGGTCTGGATTGTGTGCGTCCCTGGCATCAGGCACGTTGCCAATAATAAGGTCGTAGATAGGATCTGAAAGGCACTGCGCTTCTACGTGGCCCTTAAGATAAGGAGTATCGACATAAATTCTTGCTATGGGCACCTTCCTTGCAGTGTTGTCAGTAAGCAACATAACGTTAAAGTCTCCGGTGAACTGATCCTCGCCGACAAGGTCCTGCTTGACTACAACTCCACTGCAACTAGTATCTCTTAAAACGTTAACAGTCTTCTCTCCAACTCTACCCTTTACGACAGGCATCTTACTTCTTACTCCAGTTAGGGATTCAACACAGGCATTACTCAGCAATGGGACTTTCTTGCCACAGGCTAACAGAAGCTGATCATTCTGAATACACGAGTTGACTTCCTCGGGGGTAGCGTTAAGATCGGGTGACTTAACCAAACTGCCAGCACTAACTTGACCACGCTGCACAGGGTTTCCATCCTTACCTTGGCCTCCTGACTTTCGTCCACCTGATCGACAGTTCCTCGCTTCATGACCTTGCTTGCCACACAGGAAACACCTTTTAACTAGAGTTGGGCAGTTAATAGCTTTGTGTCCGCGGGCATTACACTTGTAACACTGGAGGGCTGTTGTGTCGCTCTGTGCAGTCTTTGCTTCCTCTGCCTTGGGCTGTACTTGTGGCTTCTTGCTCACGGAGCTGAACAGATGCTTTCCGTGTGCTTCCAAGTATTGATCAGCAATCTTCGCTATCTGAGCAAGCGTTTCCGGGGCTCTTTCACAAAGGTGAATAGCTAACTCTTTTGGACAAGAGTCGATAAATTGTTCTTTCACAATTAAATCTTTGAGGCCTTCAAAAGAACGATCAGTGTTCGACAGCTCTAGCCAACGTAACAAGTATCTATCCAGTCTCACTATAAACTGTTCAGGACTATCGTCAACTTCCGGCTTTGATGCTCTAAATTTATGACGATAGCCGTCCTCTTTAAGGTCATATCTCTTCATCAAAGCTAACTTCACGCGGTCATAATCTTGGGCTGCTTCCTCAGATAAACCTCTAGGGCACATCCAGACAAAAGAGCACCACGTTTCGAAGCCCATCCTGTCTTCTCCCATTTAGCTGTAGTTGCGAACCTCTCAAATTGTTGTAGGTAAGCATCCAAGTCGTCCTTGCCATCAACAAAAGAGGGAAGCTTGGGTGCCTTGGCCCTATCCTCTCTCACTTCAGCATGTTCGGTATCGTTACGGCCTTGTCCTAGACGAGCGAGCTCTAGTTCGTGCTCTCTCTTAGCAGCTTCAATAGCCTCTCTCTGCTTCAACAGTTCTGCTTCCAGCTCTAATTTTCTCAGTTCGCGTTCTTGCCGCCTAGTTTCTCTTTCTTCGTCTTCTCTTCTACGCCTTCTTTCCTCTTTCTCTTGTTCTTCCTTTCTTCTGTCTTCTTCAAGTATTTGACGTCTCTCTTCCTTTTCTTCTTCTAATTGTCTACGTTTTTCTTCTCTCTCTTCCTCCTCCCTCCTTCTTTCTTCCTAAGTTTTTGACATTTTTAGTCTCACTTGCTTGAGCAGAGCGAGACTCTTAAAATGCAGTCGTTTTTTTTTTTTCATTGGTGGGACCTAGTTTGTAGGCCCCGCGTTCCCAGCGAAGACCGTGGAAACTGGGGATAAGAATCGTGACAACTTTCATTGTATGGAAATGAGTCTCGTGATGAGAATGCAGTTTATTTTCGGCGATGACTGAAATGACGCATGTAAGTTTGGCAATGACGTAATTTTCCTCGAATGGAGGCCCTTGATTTTCGTGTAATTATGCACGACATGCAGGCACTTTAAAAAGGAAATATCCCCAAGAAAATATTATAGTGGGGAAATCCTCAGGATTTTGTGGCTTTTTAAGGCATTACGTTTCTTAGAATATTGTCGCAATTACAGGAAATGTATGGTTAAATAGATTCACTTTGTTTTATGTATTTAATTGATAAATTTTCGCAGTTGTTACGATGTGAAGTCATGTTGCACTTCATAAATACTTGAGATATGAAGTATCCACTATCACGTAATTTTTACGTGGGCACGTGCTTAAAATTTGTGTTCGCAAATAAAATAAAGGCAATGTATGAAAAGCCGCACGTACAATTATGTAAGCGTAAAAGGAGAAACTTGCTTAATTTGACGTTTAATCTCAATACTTTATGTCTTACCTCTGTTTGATTTACGTGATTAAAATTTAGGTGCATTAATGGGCGGAGCCAAAAATCCACCCTAACGTGTCACGGATGTGTTTATACGGGTAACTTTGAACTTGACTAACCGCACACTGTACTTGCAGCACTTCATGACCATAGTTAATAGAAATCCCATATTGAGCTTTTCCGGAACGGGTTGATCCAAGAATTCTATGGCTTGAAAGCGTTGATTTTGGAACAACTGATCACTTCAGTGGTAAAAAAAAAAAAGAATAATCTTAATGAGCAAAACTTCAAGGTTTACTGGAAAATCAGGATCGAGGATCGAGGATCGAGGATCGAGGATCGAGAAATCAGGGATCAAGGATCGGTTAAAAAGAACTTGAAAATAAAATAAATAAATAAATCATGGATCAGTGATGATGTGGGCCGCAGACTGTAGATAAATTTCACAGAACATAACCCCGTTCTTTGTACTGAACGCTAAATTCAAGTAAACTAATCCGAGTCTGTCTGAGTCAGTGATTGTTTTGACGAGAAAGTGAAATTTTCCGGGAAAATGAAACGCTTTATCCTGGTGATACTGTAATACAAGAAAAAACTTTTAACAGTTTTTAATTTTTAAGTGTACATTTGCTTTCAGTACTCCTTATTTTTTTTGTAATTGTTGTATGCACGACCCCACCAGCAATGCTGATCTTTTTATCGTGCCATAAACTAAGGTTCTTACCTACCTACCTACCTATCTATCTATTTATCTATCTACCTATATCTATCTATCTATCTATCTATCTATCTATCTATCTATCTATCTATCTATCTATCTATCTATCTATCTATCTATCTATCTATCTAAAATGCATGCTGTGTACAACTCTAAACATTGTACTCTGAGACTGTACGGAGATATTAAAAGTAGATACTAAGCAGCTATGGAAAATGTCATTACTTTCATGCGATATTGATATCTTATAAAACGGACAACAAATTCAACAGGAATACGCGTGAACTGAATTAACTGTGTGTTGTATAAGGTTCTGTTCAACAATCATCGTTCAATTTTTCAAGTGTAGAATCCCTGAAAGAGTACTCCTCAATGGAGCAATATCAATATGTAGAAGGTTTTCAAAGGTTTCACACTGGTTTGAGGCTAAGATGGAGGCCTGTCTCTCCTTGCAATTTTTACTTTTTGAGTATATACATTATGACATACAACACTCGTTTTGTATTCCAAACGAAAAAGTAGTATAACGGCACCGGGGCCTTTGACAACAAAACTCATCGCCAAGCAAGCGAGACTCAACGCTACTAAGAGCGTTCTTGTTCTTCTTTATCCTCTTCTAACTTTTGTTGTTTTTCTACAAACTCAAGCAGCTTTTCTCCCTCCAATCCAAATTCTTTCCCTATCTGCAAAAGCTTTTCCACTTCCACAGCAGTAGTTCACAGCAATCACACTTGATATACTTCCTCGTAGCATTTGTTCTTACTTTCGCTGTACACTCCTTTTTCTTGAACTGTCCTTTCCTGGTTACTGTAGTCGGCAAACAATTGAATTCCTCTCCCGGACAGGCCCCCAATGTTACGCGGGTAATCTTTTAGAGGACAGGTAGCTTGCAAACCAAACTGAACGCAGGGTTGTCGGAACAGCAACAAGAACATTAAAATGAACATAGTTTCCACGAAGTAAAACTCCACAACAGCACGTAACTCGTTAAACTTACACGGCCTCCGCCAACTTGAATAAACACTGCCTTCGTCACACTTGACTAAACACAACTAACGTCAAACTCTCTTCACTTGTGAAAACTATAGTTAAAGCTTAACTCGGGCTCGCCTACTTATATACGTTTACAATAAGATTGTAGAACTTTCCAAATAGTCTAATTATAGAAAGATTACGAAATATACAGCTTTAGAAACGCTTACATAAGATCCTAAAATAAACAAACTATGAACTCTCGTGAAGCTTCTAGAAAGTCACGCTAGTCATGCAATACAATTTTTCGTAACACGCAGCTAAAGTTGAATTTGATTCAATCAATTTAGTTCAGCACGGCAGTAGCACAACGTTTGAAACGGGCCTGACACTCTGACAGACATTTAAGGGCTACTATTAATGCACCTATCAATGTAAACCCTGAGGTGGGGGGAGTGTGGGCATTAGGCGGGGATTTGATGAAAAATCCATCCCCCAGGTGTCCTGCACTGCATATGTAGGGCTGGGGGTTAAATTGATTCCCCCAGTCAGTTTCTGTGCTGGTGCACAACTGTCTGTGTGTGTTTGGTACTAGACCTTAAGTCTAGTGGCATGGCACTCACCCTGCTGGGGGCCGGCCATTCACCTCAAACCCCAAAAAATCACCAAAAGCTGTACTGTTTGACAAGGTGCAGTTTTCATTTCCTAGTTCGGGACCATCATGTAACTTTGCTTCTTTTGCATGTACATGTAAACCTCTGAGGTAGAAGTGACTGTTTATGCTAAACTATAATGAAATATTTAATAGAAGCACAAAGTCTTTTAGATATGAATGGAACACATATATCAGGAGCTGAGATAAGTTTCACTCATTTTTGAAGATAATTTAAAAGAAAGAGTTTTACCATAACAGTGGTTAGAGAACATTTGAAGCGGAGTGTTGCAAGTACGGAGACAAAAATTAATGTGAGGGTACACATCATGTTTCCTCATAATGGAGATAGTTAGCTTCAATCGGGTTTGTGAGATTCATCATGTAAGGTATGGGCCCCTGGGTGGGGATTTTTAGCTATAATTATGTGATGTTTGTACCCTTCCCCACCCACAGGAAATTGACCAAAATTTTTTTTTTGTTTAAATTCCCACCTTTTGCCCACGCTCCCCACTCTCACGGGGTTTACATTGATAGGTGCATAATGTGCCCTCTTGAAATGATGGCTTCCTTCAATGAAGCACCCAATTTGCAACAGAATGTACAGTGTATTGTGTAAAGGTAAAAGTCATTGAGATGAGGGGAGAGGGGGGAGGGGAAGGGAGCTCCAAACCTCCTGCCTCCCCTATCTTGGCTTTCTTCCTTTAGCCCTTTTTTGATTGCAAAATATTAAGTATTGTTGTGTGTTTTCCCCCTATTTCGTCCACTTCCCACCCTTTTAGAACTCCCACTTCCTGCCTTTTCTTCTATCCCTATTCTCCCAGGCTTCCACCCCCCCCCCCCTGGTCCCCACTCCTAATAATGTGCTGTCAATATTAACTCTGCTCATAATAGACGTGTCTGATGAATGGCTATGACAGTAAGAGTATTTACAGGAGTAACAATAATAATTGTTTGTCTTTTCCAATAGGGCTGGATATTAAGTAATAATAATAATAAATTATTGTAGGTTTTTATGGTGCATAATTTTAGAGAATTCTCAAAGCGCTTACGATAGTAAATAAAGTCTAAATGAAACTCTATATTGATATAGTAATTATTCCTAAAAATAAAAGTTTTCAAATGTTGCTTAAAAGAAGAAACAGATTCAGAGTTTTTGATATGATCAGGTAGACTGTTCCAGTTTATCGGTGCATAATAGGAAAATCATGAGCAGTGTCCATAAGCCACGGTATTAACAGAAGGAACTTGTAAAAACAATCTATTGGATGAGTGGAGTAAACGAGCCAGCTGGTATTTGAGAAGGAGTGAAGTCAAATAGTAAGGAGCTAAATCGTTTCAAATTTTAAATGTTAAAAGAAATATTTTAAAATCGATGCATGCGCCAATAGGAAGCCAGTGCAAGTCTTTCATGACAGGAGTTCAATGGTCAGATCTTCTTATTCCTGAAACCAAGTGTGCAGCACAGTTCTGAACACGTTGCAGCTTGTGTATTTCTCACTTGGGTAAGCCACAGAATATATAAACTGTGTAAGTGTTAGTAATAAAAACAACACATGTACAGTGTTCTACTTAATTCATGATTCTTCCTCTTTGAAAATGTTTTTAATTAGATTGTTGGCACTGAAGCATCATATAAGTTGACTGAAAGGAGTGGGAATTTATTTTCATGCCCTGAAAGTGAATCACTTGCTCACTGCATCAGTGCGGATGTCAGAATGGGAAAAGGAATAGCTGTTTCCTTTAAAACAAAATTTGGGGGTGTGGATGAGCTTAAATCACAAGGTACTTTTAACATTGTAATTTATTTTAACTTATCTATCTACACTGACAGTAGCACAATTTTCAGTGTCATACAGTGGCTGGGAACCTTTACCTGGGGCTAAAAAATTATGTACTGGTATTTAACCACAAGCTCTTTGCCCCTGATTACAACCCTACAAATTTAGGCCCTCATTTCTGCTGTTCAAACAATTTTCCTCTCCCTCCTTCCTTCTCTTCCTTTTCCTTTCAATCATAAATAACAGCACCACCGGCAAACAGGCTGTTTACACCAACGTAAAAGGGTGTACCCTTTTGGACGAAAAGAAAAGGCCAAGGTAATGGACCTCTTAGTCTGGGGAACAAATCACTTTTATGCCTAATAATTATGAAACTTTGTTGAGTACCACCAAGAAAGTGTCAAGCAATAAGCCTGCCTGATAGTAGTGTGCCATTTGTACAAGGAAAAATGAGGGAGAAACATAAAATTATATCTTGTTCATAACTGACATTAGCCATACTCGTACATGTCTAATTTTAAGGTTGGTCTTTTGGACATGTCTCATTTTTCTCAAGTGTAAGTATAATCTCAACTTACGGCAATAGTAAATAAAGATGCAGTCTTAGCCTGATCACTGCAATCAGGTGATTCAGGTGACATTACAATAAAATCTTTCCAATTGCATTCAGTGTATTGAAATTGCTACCAATGTTTTTAATTTTAAATTTTAGGGCAGAAACCAGGAGGTGTGGCAATTCTAAGAAGAGGAAACAGACATATCTACTATCTGGTTAGCAAATTAAATACAGCCAAACCTACATGTATGAGCAGCCACCTCCCACAAGCGACCTCCTATCCAAAACACCAAAACGTTCCCAGTCAGACTTACAGTTGAACCTCTAGTAAACGACTACCTCCTATAACCGACTGCGACCACTTTTGGGCCTGAAAGTTTAAGGATTTTCCATTGTTTTTAACCTACTGTTAGCGACCACTCGATGCATTCTCTGATCTCTACGTTCGCTGTGTGCACCATGCTACCTAGAAATATATATGAAGAACTTTTGAAACAACATGGAACTACACACGTTGTAACTTAGAAATTGCATGCAATAAATTATCTTCCATAAAGCAGATGTGCCAGGACCTCTTCTTGGTAAAGGCCCCCTGTGGTTCGATTCTTGTAGGCGACCACCTCCCATTAGTGACCACTAAGTGTTTGCATTTTGGGTGGTTGCTTATGGGAGGTTAGACTGTAATCACTGAATGTTTTACTTCCAAAAATAATTGTGATTTTATTATTTTGTTTTTGATTTTGCCTTGTTACGGTCCATAAAAATTGTCCAATTTCCAGAGCTATCATTTGGGGACCTGGAGATTTTTCCTAGCTACAATGAAGTTGAAAACGGGCTACTTTGATTCATAGCAATATTAATTAAAGGAAAATAGAACCAAAAGAAGTCCCTAGCAGTAGCTGTTTGATTCCCCTCCAACTGACCGACATTGTATTTAGCAGGAACTATTTAACAATTATTCCTCGAGCCTGAATGGGCTCTGAGTCAATAGCCCATGGGGCTATTGACGCAGTATTGATGATAGACCACTAGTATTTCTGCAAAGTTGCACATCATGTAGTTGATATCTCCTTTCTGGGCCCTGCATGAGTTTGCAAACTTTTTCATTGCAGTTGTGCAATTTGCAACCCATTAAACCCCAAATCATTCACCAGTGACTCATCTAGGATTGGTGGTAGGGTGGTAAACAAACTGCTTTATAACCACGTACAGTGAAGCTATTTTTTAATAAGTGTGAGAGGATATTATCATCAACTAGCTCACCCACTTCAGTGTAGTGACTTCATTAACATATTAATAAGTATCACTCCCCTAATAATAATAATAATATTATGTCTGTTAGGTTACCAAGGAAAAATACTTTAACAAGCCAACATACCCAAGTCTGCAATCATCACTGCAAGCAATGAAGGGTCATTGTGTTAGTCATGGTGTAACAAGCCTATCAATGCCAACAATTGGTTGCGGTCTAGATGGGCTAGAGTGGCCCAAAGTACGAAACATCATAGAAGAAGTCTTTCAAGATACAGATATCAACATTACAGTATACAGTTTACCTAGAGCCAGATGCAAAAAGACATAAACGGTCAAAGATGCCGTGTCTGAAGGTGTAAATTTAAAATGAGGAACCTTCAAGTTTACCCTTTATGTGGCAGGTGTAAAATGAGGAAGTTAAGGGCAGGCTGCTGGTTCTCCAGAAGATTTAAAGTAGGTGGACAGAGAACCTGCCCAGCTGTACATGTATGTTAGTAGCAAGCACTTTTGGGACAACCATGATAGTGAGTTTCATTGGTCCCAAGCCATGCCTTTGGAGGACACTGTTAGGGGTCAGAAAAAATGACTCCTTTCCCTTAATTTTCCTCGACACATTGACAGCTACCAAGGAGGCAACGCCTTAGTTCTTGTTGTATTGATGTAATACATCCATCAGTTTAAGGCATTACCTCTTTCCTGCAGGGTCCTCTCCTACTCCTCTCCAGACTGGGGAGAGAGAGTAGGAGAGGACCCTGGGAACAAGGTTGAGTTTAATTTAATTGTGTGAAAAAAGATTTCTTGTTACTTCCCTCTGGGAACTGGAAACAGTTAGCTGACTCAAATCCATCAAGTTAATATTATATTTTGAAATTTCGCTGAGATATTAAGGGGTAAAAGTACATTCAACTGGAACATTCAACCATTTTTATGATGGTTATTGTCTGTTAATAGTATGAATCTTGAGTTGTGAATTAAAACCCAAGTTTTGAGTTGAAGTCTTATGGATGACTTGTTTAGCTGAAATTATACCTATCCATCCTGTGATCAGGCATTTTATTTTTTTGTTAAAAAATATGCTTGATCAAAGAATAATACATCCTCACTCCCTCACTCATGCACTCCCCACTACACATCCACACTCTGGTATGCACACCAATATGCAACAGAGAGGAGAAGTCATTACATCATGTTACCATGGTAACAAAATTCCTGGATCTCAACAAACCATGCTCCTGCAAATATTGCAGTAAAGAAAACAAAGAAAATGAAAAAATTGACAGGACTTTCCTGTGCATGATTGCACCCAGGAACAAAATGGTAGCCCATACTTTTCTTCCATCTTTCAACAATGCAAATAGCCATGTCTGTCAACAAAGACTGTTGAGATTCAAGAATTTTGCTACTATGGTAACATGACGTCACACCTCTCCTTGCTATTACCTGCATGTAAGTCAACTCTTGTTTTGTGAACATCCCACTATAATGGACGCCCCAATAAAATGGACAGCATCTAAATCCCAGGCAAAAATAAATAATTATTGACATTTGACTGAAATAAACTCCCGCTATTACGGACTCTCACTAATAAGGACACCGACTCGAGGTCCCGACAGTGTCTGCTATAACAGGAGTTGACTGTACACTGTACAGGTCCTGTGAGAGTTATTAATAAAAAGGACCTCATCACTGTTATCATCATCATCATCATAAATAACAACTTGATCTTCTGTTCTTTAGATTACAGTTTATTCTCTTGATGAGAAAATTAATGAATAAATTTATTTACTTTGCATTATTTTGTCAAGGTATGCTTTAAAAAGCTAAAATCAATGAATCAATCCTGAACAACTTTAAAAATGGCCTCCTGTTTAGAGTAACAATACCGATGAACAGTCGAACCTCTTAACATGGACAACAAAGAAAAGGGCAAAGCAAAACAACTTCCTTAAAAGTTGCATGGCTGCATTGTAAAGGAAGGAATCAATTTTGCGTGAATGAAGTTTGGTCAGGAATCTTTGGGACCAACTGTCTGTAAAAGAGAGATGGCCATATTGTGGGGTGTCCATATGAAGAGGTTAAGTTACATGACCTCAAATCAGACCAATAATTATGAAGATGAGTTGGTGTAATCTGCCCGGATGATTGTACCGAGGAACCCTGATAAACTTTCCACATGCCTAGTTGGAAGGAAAAATATGACTGTTGTAACAGGATCAAGTCATATTATAGCATGTTATTCCAAACTATTATACAGAACTACAACTCCTGTAACGAATAATGTATTACTGGGTATTCATTACACTGAGTACCCATGCATGCGAGCAGTGGTTTCTCCAGGCTGGACACAACATAGCATCCGGCTTGGAGATATCACTGCTCCCAGGGACGTATACAGTGAAAGGTCTTTCAGTACAAAGCCGATCATTAATTAAAGTTCCAACGAATTAGAGTAGAGATTAGACTCCAAGACCAGCATATGATTTAACTGTTAAAGCATAATATTTAACCCTCAGAGTTTGCACTTTAAAGCTCAGCAAAACGATTTTTATTTCTGACCTTTATGGCTGATTTGTCACATAACAAGATTGAAAGAAAAAAAACCCAGTGCATATACACAATCTAAAAAAGGTGCATTATTAATAGCAGGCATAAAGCCCAGCGTTGGAGGCTTCATCAAACTGAAAACAACCTATAGATTTAGTGGTTCAGATTATCTCTCTGTCAGAGACACTGTATAAGGTACATGCAATATTCCCTATGAAAATTTAACAATCTACTTAAAAGTAAGCTGATGACTGGTAATAGATACTGCCAATAATCAACTTTTAATTTATTTACATGCATGACTTACAATAAATATTTGTTCACATTACTGTTATCATTAAAATTTTGGTGGTCGAAAAAGATTGTTTAGGGGGGCAAGAGACCACATTAATTTTTTGAATCTTGTTAAAAGTTGTAACTGCTAATAAAATTAAAAGTTCTTCTTTGCCATAGTATAACTTAGATGCAATTGAAATGTAATATCAGAAACATTTACACTGCACTTTCAGGAAAGCAGCATACACTGCACGCTACATAAATGTTACAATCAACAACTCTAAAGATTGTACATGAGTTGAAATGGCTTATTAATTTTTTATTCCTGTAAAATGTCTTACCTTTAAATGGCATATGGATAAAGTCTGTGTAATAGCAAACAATACTTGGTTATAATAATAATGAATTACTCCTCAGACATGCCACCTTATTTTAATACAATTAATTTAATGTAGTCTTCGCAAAAGTCAGTCTATCGTTTTTCAGTTGTTTACTTTTTTAAAATTATGCTACTGGTTTGAGTAAGGTTTGAGCTGTAGAACAACGAAAGTTTAAAAGGGAAGAGGGCCTCCTGAACCTAAAAGTAAGTTCAGTTATTTCCTAGCAGTGGATTTAATTATAATTGGTTGATAAGCTACTTTTAGCCTGCAGGAATGACACTATTTTTTGCATTTGCTCTGGCAAGCATGACGCGGGCATGGAGAGAATGACACACGCAATAGGGAAAGGTGCAGAAAAAATAACTTCTGTCCCTTCCTCCACCGTGTGTCTTGCAGTCCATATGCACTTCACACTTGCCTTTGCTTGTCTGAAAAATGCAAAAAATAAAATTCAACTTGACAGAGAGGTCTTGAGGACACCATTTTTTGGTTTGTGTAATCAGCACTTGGATTTGCAATCATTATAAATCTTATAGCAGGTGATAGCAACTGCAAATTATGATAAGAATCTTCTTGTTGGATGTTTTTAAAACTACCTTTAAAGTGTGCACGTCATAAAATAAATAAAAACCAAAGGTAATGCAAAGAATTTTAAGGAATAACAACGTACATTAACCTTGGATTTGCACAATAACATGACTTGATAAAATAAGAAAACGCAATAAAGAAGAGCTTTTCTCTTTCTCTCTCCTTTGAAGCAAATTTTAGGAAATTCTTATGGCACTTTTTTACACTGGAAGTAAGATGCCTATCCTGTAGATGAATGGCCGACAAGTTGTTAGAAACAGATTGTCAGGTCAGATGTATAGACTATAATATGAGTACTCAGAAAAGAGTACTTAGCATATAAAGAAACCCTAAGTTGTAATAACTCAACAGATGCAAGAAACATAGCTTAAAAAAGCACAGTGGTTCATTGCCTTTTTGCAACAACTTAAAACTAAAACTATCATTATAATACAGAAGTGAAACTGATATTTGGTATGTTCTCTTGCTTAAGTTACCTGCATGTACAAAATTTAACTTGAATTTTAGAATTAATAATTTCTATAATAATTGCCCTGCCTGCAGCACATTCAATTTGTAACTACATCATTCACAAGCCAACTTCCCATCAAAACTGCTCAGGGCAACAGCAAATGCTTGAATAGCGCACATTGGGTAGCTGTAATCCATCGTGAAAACATCTTCTGCCACTCGGCCAAACTGCATAATGATATAATCAACTACAAAAAAATAAAATGCAAAAATACAAAGGATCAAATACAATGCGAATTTTTTTAAACCTGATATCCAGGGCACCAAGAAAATTACAAGTAACTGGGTTTGTACAGATTTTGGATCCAAAATTCAAGACTTTTTCCAGACTTTTTCCCAAAACAATAATTTCTTTTTCCAGACTCAAAGTAACAAATGGGTATTTGATACAGACCTCAAAAACCGAGTAAGAGAAAAATTTTCCTCTACACTTGTCCTTCAGACAAGCACTCATGCTATATTAAATTTTGCTGTCCAAAACCCAAGAGTTCTGGTCCAAAAGATTTTAAACCTTGAAACTCCAAAAAATGTTGGGCATTTAATATGTTTTTAATCACATTATTAACCTTGTAAATATAATTTAAACCTAAATATAATATCATGCACAATCTTAATAGTAGGAATGACTTAAATGTCTTAAAAGGCCTGGTTACTAAGACCAGAAAAACAAATGAAATGGCTGCAGAATGGCAAAGTTAAAAGGAATATTTGACCTCATTTCATCCAGCATGAGGTTTGCTTTTATGACTAATATAAATTTTAATTCTACTGTAATTTGAAGTCAATTTTCAATGGTTCCTGTATTTTTTCTTATTAAAAATGTGCTGGTTTACATGTCTGAACTAAATTTCTACCCATCCTGGACCATCGGACATAGGTTTTGGCACACCCTGAAGAAATGCAGGAACAAAGCGTTTTTCACGATGCACTGCAAACGTATGAGAGAGATTGAATAGGATTTGACCAAGATGGAACCAATTTCACTAATAAGGCACTCATAATTTATTGATGAGGTTGTCATGTGTGATTCTACTAATGAAACAGTCTTTCACTCTCATGATGACTTGATTCTGCAACTGTTATAAGTTATTGTGCTTCTTAAAAGAAAAGAGCCTTTACTTAAGGCACAATGGTTACAAAAGTAAAGAGGTCTTCATACGTTTAAGTTAATTAATTACTACAGTGAAAAGCCAGATAGCATGAGATTTACAGTCACAGTTTGCACGTGAGTGTTGAGCTTTGCCCCTTTCGTAGTTCGTACGTAAGGGAATTCAAGTTATCACACAGTAATCTAGCATGTGAAGATACTGGACTTTGTCCCTTTTACAATTCATCAGTAAAAGAATGCAAATTGTTTACTTGAAAATTCGCTCAAACGATTTTAAGAAATCACCTTACTTACTCAATGAGTGCACATGTACCAGTGTTCATAAGTTCTAAGGCCAAGAGAAAACAGGCATGTATGGACCTTTGCCCTGTGATAATCATACATTATATTTCAATTGGATTTCAACAACCCTGCAGCTCTCAGTAAATTTTTCAAACTTGGTTTATCCATCATCCCACTAATATTTTACTCGCATCTGATGCTATCAAAAATTAATATAATAATATTGAGGAACTGGGGTCCCAACAATTCTTCTTGTCGCTTCTTGCATTTTTAATTTTTACTTACCATCCGCGTCTAAAACAATCTGAAAGTTCTTTACTGAAGCTTGTGTCACTCTTCCATGAAAATTAAGGACATATGACTGTGTATCTAAACAAAGGAAAAGCTCTGTTAGCTTTGATTTTAATCCAGTAAAGATGCAGTTGAATCACACTTGATTCATACTGCCAAAAGTGCAATAACAATGCCATTCAAACAAACTGCATCATTCTTTTTTTCTTACAGTTTAGACTTGTACATACCATCATTCCACACAGGGGTTTTATTGTGTAATTCCAAAAGGTTTTCCATTCTTTTGTTCTTGTATCTTTCCAACAAACCATCAGCATCCTAAGATGTAGGCATCAAATAATAAACAATAACTTATTATTTCTAGTTCCATGATACAGATGCAAGAGGTGACTTTTTTCCAACTATATAACCATCAGGCAGCTAAAGCCATAATCAAATGGCAGGAGAAATGAAAGTTATCTTTAAAAAAGTGCATTTGCTTTTATTGATTGTCGCTCTAACTTGCTTAATTTGTCAACTTTTAGCAGATTTTCTTCCAGTTGGATCCTTTACGACAGCATCTGAGTGTAATAAGTTCAGAATTCAAAGAAAAGGAAAAAAATATGTTATTAAATCCATAACTCATTACCCAGAAGATGACAGAGAAATATTAAAGACTTTGATCCAGTTTTAGCTTGCAGAGTTGTACTAGCTGTTTTGGTCATAAATAACCTGTTGCTTTTTTGACATTGTTGTCATCATTAACTGGCAATATCAGGGACCTGCCAGGGGTGGGGCTGGGGAGTCTTTAGCCCCCCCCACTTTTTTGGATGGTAAAATATTTTTGTTTTACTTTGGTTACCCAGATCTGTCACTTACCACACAAACAAGGTTTAGTAATCTGACAATACTGAACACCAACAAACAGAGAACAGACATTAAACTTTGTCTTGTCGCTGTTGCCAATCAGTGTGTAGCTATTAATGACAATCGGAAAGGCAACTTTATTGGTACCTTCACAGAATCTGACTTAAAAATGTCCAGGTAACACTCAACCATTGCAAGTGTTAGGTTTAGTTTCAAAGTCTATTCATTCAAATTTTGGTCTAACGTGGGGGCGAGGTTAAATATAACTTGTTGTTTTAAGTGCCGATGTAATTATAATAATAAACAAATTTATATTACTATTGGCAGTTTTAGATGCATTTACAGCCATTTCAGAAGACTTAAATTTGAAATTTTCCTTGGGGAGCATGCCCGCGGACCTCCCTAGTTTGCTATTGCTTATGTGTTGGCATTAGTCCCCCAACTTGAAAATCCGCTCTGTGGGCCCTGAATATAAGCTACTTATTATTATGCATGTACTTGCAATTCACTGTGTAATGATTAAAGTTATACGCAAAACTTATACAAAAAGGAAATGACAAAGTACAGCTACACTTGACCCCCTGAAATCTCTTGTAAACAACTTGCTGTTGAAATGAACATACCGTCAGTGGACGCACAGGTATTCTCATGGGTATCTTTTGTTGATCAACAAGTCTTTCCTCCATCGCAGGAAGAATAACAGTCATTCTCCGGGGACCTTTAAATCCAAGTACATTTGTATCCTGATAATTAAAAACAAATTAAATCCAGCTGTTAAATTGCCACTCAGTATACCAAAATATTATCCTAGGTCAAATGAGTAGACCTGCACTGTTCTAAACCTCTTATTTCCCTCAGGTCCACTTTAATCTGCACTTCCATCGTTTTCAGGGATAGGGGCATCATTATTGTGACATTAACCCCTATTGTTCTCCCAGCTAATCAAAAACAATCTTTCAAATAGGTGCGGGATCGCCTGGTCAAAGTGGCCGATAACTGATTTCACCATGTTAGTTTTTACATGTAAGATAATGATTTCATACAAGTCAATTGCATTATCCACGAGATTTATACAGTGGATACATGGTAGCATTATCCACCTTTCGATCAACTGGGCCCAGAAACTTCAGGTAAGTCAAGGGGGCCTACCCTTCCAGACTTGGAGTTTACATAGACTGGGAAGGCAAAACAGGTATATATAAATGGGCCCTGGCTTTCAAATGTTAAGGGCCACATCTAAAATGTAATGGCCATTGTGTGATAATGGTGTGGAGAAGCATAATAAATGGGTACTTCTGTAACTTTTTATGATGTGCATCAATTATACACCATCTTTTGCACAGGTCTCTCTCTCGGCTTCATTACTACTGAAAGGCTTTTTGGAAAACTCTGTAGAGTATGAATATTCTATAAGTAAGGGATACAAAGTGATACAAATTTCTGAATGCTTTTTGTTATTTTACCACCTGGGTTACTCAGGGTTTGAGCTAGGATTTGATCACTGGGGGACAATTTGTCCCCTTGGCTAAAATTTTGGGGGACATTTTCATTTTTAGGGGGACAGAAATTTGTACACCCTTCTGCTGATGCAAAGGAGATTGTCTTCTTAGCAAGGCTTCTGATAGGTCTTGGAAGGAAAAGTCAAATTTCGCGGGATTTTTAGGGGCAAATTCGCGGAAAAATCGGCCGATTTCGCGGGCGTTTTCGGGGCAAACTTCACCGAAAAGCAATCGGTAAAAAACGGCCGATTTTGTGGTTATTTTTAAGGCAAATTTCGCTAGAAATCGATCGGTTTTGCGCTGATCAGACCAGCCTTTTTAACGTTTTTCTAACAGAGGTCATCATTTGCTCTTTCAACAACAATACGCTCAAGAAATGAACCAATGGCAAAGCCTTTAACTTCATGGCTAGTACCCAGTTTTTCGCAACATAATCTGTTTGCACGTTTCAGTGACGAAGTTTCAAGATAAATTTGCAAGTTTATGGCAAGTAAATAGCCCCTATAGCTGAAGTAAGTTTCAAATATGTTGTACAGACATGTATTTGATAAGATTTCTGCCGAATTTCGCGGCTCCGCGACCGCGCGAAGAATCAGCAAATAGCAGTAGAGCGTGACTGAAACGTAACTCTGGAATGAAGTTTAAAGGTGCGATAAAATATACTTTCCACGATCTGTTTCAGCTTGCAATTTCTGTACTGAAATAAATCTCTTCGTGTGTGCTTCCTTTCGAGTTTTTTCCCAAAATTTTGAAGGGGACAAATTGTCCCCTTGGCCGTTTCTTAAAGGGACAATTCCAATTGCAGTGCGAAATTGGCGCAATGGCGCGGCCTGGCTCAAACCCTGATTACTAATGACAATCATGCAGGGGAAAAGTTCTTTGCTCTGCAAAAGTTGTGCAACAAGCATTAAATCTGATGACATCACAAGCGCTGCCTGGTTAGCTCAGTTGAGAGAGCACCAGTCCGCCAAGCAGGAGATCAGGGGTTCAAACCCCGGCCGGACCAACACTCAAGGTCTTTAAATAACTGAGAAGAAAGTGCTGCCTTTGTAATGACATCTGCAAATGGTTACACTTTCTAGTCTTCTCGGATCAGGACAAAAAACTGTAGCTCCCATCTCAGAGCACTTTCACTGATCTGTTCATGTGAGATGTAAAAGAACCCATACCACTGTTCGAAAAGAGTAGGGGATGTAGACCCCAGTGCTGTGGCCAACCTTTCCGGGCTGAGGGATTGGGTATGGGACCCGGGTCCCATTCGTGCCTATCCCATCAAGGTAGGCCTGTGTCCAAAAACGGTGGTAAAAAAAAAAAGTGGTGCAACAATTACTGTGGACTTCCAACCAGGTTTTCTGGACCACATGAGAGTGAATAAAATGCCAGAAAATAAAGGACTTTTTTTAGACCACTGTGCAACGATGTACAACATTACACAATGTAAGTCTTTTTGCTGCAAATTACAATAAGTAGTTTCTCCACCAACAAACACCTCACTTACATACTAAGTACAGTAATATATGGAATTAGCACTGCTGTAACATATTTTAATATTTGTAAGTATATTGCCATGTAAGTGTGTAAATTCGCTTTTTGTTTTTTTGTTGTTTTTTTTTCTTTTTATTACTTTATTTATTCTGTGTAATTTTTGTTTCTTTTCTGTGTGTGTTTTACTTGCAATAATAATAAAAAAAACCAAACAAACACCTCACTTACATAAATAATTGCTGCTACTTCTTCACGGATATTTGAGCCATCTGACATACACCCTCCCTTCTTAGGGTTAACACCATTGTTAAACACAGTAAACCTTGTTCCCACTAAATTAGATCTGTAACAAGAAAAAAAAACGAAAAACATTCAGAAATGGTACGTTGCACATGTGCAAAATGAAGACTTTAAGCAATTTTTCTTTAATTTCTAGCTTTTCTGATTCCCATTTGAGAACCAGGTTTCTACATTGTTTAAAAAAATGTGAGAGAAGGTTAAGCTCTGGCCATTATTTCTGTTAATTTTTTAATGGTGCTTCCCACAAAACGTTTTAAACTTTGTGGAACACCAAAATGTTCTTAACTTATAAGCTCCCAATAACTAAGGGTTTCTTTGAACAAAATACTTTTAAATATTGTTTTGGCAACTTGTGATTGTAAGGAAACAACCATAACATGTATATTAACGACTGGCATCGGTCTGATGAAATTACTGTGCCAATACAAAGCAAGAAATAAAATCCCGAAATCCTAAAACTCATACTAGCTTCTTTCACGACTTGCATTAAACAGACTTGTCTTTCTTGCTTTTGACTTTACCACAAATATTCTTTCTTTTCTTTTCTCTTTGCTTTTCTTTTTTCTCTCTCTCTTTTTTTTTTTTTTTTTTCTCTTTGCTTTTTATATCTGTTTTGTAAAAGAATTAATTCCGCACGCCACAGCTGGCGTTTTTGGCTACCTGCACGCCAAGAAATTGTACACAGTACTATGATATTATAAATGTCATGTCTTGTAATATAATAGCCTCAGGAAAAGAGTGTTAGTATAATTATTTGATCCACCAAAGCTGCAAAAAATGTTAGTCACCAGATCAAAATGCTAACCCTTGTCCAACAGCACCCAGTGGTCATATTGGGTATGACAAGTATAAATTTGAAGTAAAATACAATATTTTTTAGTCCCAAGAGTGACAAACATCAATTTTCTCCATAACAATATCAATACACAATCAAGAAAATAGGTTGTGAGAATTGATCAAATAATCACCTGAGAAAAAATGCATTTACCTTTTATCAAATTCTCTTTACTTATTCTTTTTGGAAATGTATAGAGACTAGTTTGGAGAATTTGTAGGTGGATATTGAGGCTTAGAGGATTAAAAACAGAGAGTAAGAACCTGTTGGGCAAAATTTGCCAGAAAGGCCCCCTCTATACAAGAACCTCCCTAGCTTATAATTTGAAACAGGTTCTCTATAAAAAAAATTCTGTACACCACCTGTACCCAGGCAAATAAGATATATTAGTCCACATTCAAGATCCTACTTTAAAGACTGACATACCATAGGTCCCTTATCAGTCCAACTGCAAATGTAATGTAGTGCAGATTTTACATGTATAAGGAAAGCTGACTACCACTAAATACTCTTATTATACATTGTACTCATTATCTGACTTCTCATTGGGTAAGAGTTTACAGCTTATTTTGGAAATCAGCGCAACCTACAGATAAGTTAAACTGACTACATCTGTAATCAGACGTGCACTGCATGGTTTCCAATAACAATATAAACTCAGGTTCCTTGCGACAGTGTGTTTGTCGTTATTTTCTTCAAAATAAAGTATAAAATAAAACAATTATTAGATTCAATTTACGTGATATCCTAAATAATCAAGGTCTCGGTAAGTGTTATCAGCCTCAGCCTTTGGATCGCGTTGACTGACAACACTTTCCTCAACCTTGATTATTCTGGATATCACAAAAACCTCATCCAAGAATGTTTATTAGCTGCAATTTATTTTTTCCTTCACAAAATGCAGGTTCTTACTCATGGGTTTTTACTGTATTTACGTCTGTAGACTTTATTATTTTGTTTTGACCGACTACATTATTGTGACCTGTTCAGACATGAGTCCTCAGTCCCCAAAAATCATTTTCTTTTCAAATCCAGGCCTGTCAATTTACGCAAAAGCAAAATGGATCTCTTTAGGAGAAAATTAACTATTTGGTAACCGCATACATTCTCTACATGGAGCAATTATGATAAGAACATTTAAAGAAAAATTTGAACGAGCTTGAAGATACTCTACCTTAACTTTCCGATAAAACTTTCTCCACCTCTTGAGAGGTCAGTTGCATCTGTGCTTATAAGATAGTTTGATGTTGTACTCTTTTTTCTCTTACGACCAGCCAGAAGAAACATCTGAAAATAAAGGGCATACATGTATATATAGCAATGTACAGAGACACTACAGGTATCACTGGTTGATAAAACAATGTAATGAGTTTTAAGGGTAATAATATTGTGGTCATCGGTGTGCTATGTAACATAACTTAGGTGAAGTGTGTGACCTGTTGCATCAGAAAAATAGGCCGTGGTCTGTTGCATCAAAAAAATTATTTTTCTTGATGCAAGAAGTCATGTTTCATTTTCTCTTGGACACTATTCATAGGCATGCGATATGAAAAAATGGTGAAGCTAACTTAATCTGTCACGTAGGTAAGCGTCAACCTCTGCGTTGAAAGTGTTTTCTTCCATGCAAGAATTAATATTATTACATGTTGAATGCTTTATTTTCTTTGGCAAACACTGAACATTATGTTTCAGGCTTATATGACAAAGCAAGCCAATAAAATTTCAAGTGCACAACAGACAATTTATAAAAACTGTAAAAAACAAGAGTGGTAAATACTGTACAGAACACTTTCCATGTGGTATTGTGTTTATTATATTAACATATGCTCAGACATTCATCATTTGCCTCCCTTTTATTTCAAATATCTTTCTATTTTAAGTTAAAATGCTAAAATTTGCCACTACACAACATCATATGACAAAGAAAATGAAACTTATATGTTAGTAAAAAACATTTGGTAAAAATTGTAGCTGAGGGCAAGGGTATGGGCCAATCCAGGAATTACGAGTAATGCAAACTTTTTGTTCTGAATGCACAAAAAAAAGGAATGAATTTGAGTAAAAAATGGCTGCTTTGATTCAAAGTAAACAGAATACAAAAATAATATATGCATGCTCCTTTGCTGTAAGAAACATAAGGTATAGTACCTTTTTTCCATCATCTTTTTCCATATGGAGGAAATATGTGGGATACATTCCTCTATCCATTCCCTTTTTGTCTCTAGTTATTCTGCATTTAATTGTGGTGCCTTGTGGGGCTGGGCTATCAAAAACAATAAAAGAAAGCATGATCATTATTTTAATAAGAGAGATGGAGAGTCACGTTTTAGTCAGCAAATGGCAAACATGAATTTGCACCGCATGACCAACGCACCAATTTTATCCATAAGAACTGGTTTGTACTGTTTTAATCTGCTTATCAGTGGGAAATTTTCAACTTTAATCTGACATATGCTGTTTACCACAAACGTGACTTTAAATCTCTCTAATATTATTTAGCACTTACTCAAATACAAATTTTTCAAGATCATCGACATCAGGTGATTCTCTGCTATTGGCAATTGATGGCTACAAAGTAAAAACAACATAAAATTATTATTGTTGCCATTTAAACACTGAGTAGTAAAAGTGCTGTATTTTAATACATTATTCATTACAACTTATTAGTCACGACATAAAGTGTAGCCACCTGCTAGTGTTTAAATATTACTATCACTGTATATTTATATACATTGTACATACAGGTATATAATAATGATCTGAAATGGATTAAGCTGGGTTTGAACTTAAAGCATACCATAACTTATATTTATCTTTAGTTCATTATTAATTGGAGCTAGTCGTCATCTCGATCAGACTAAAGGAACTGTATTACATGTAAAATGCAGAACATACATGTGCATGTATTTATAATATAATAACTTGTTCTTTCTTAATCATCTACATTGTGTACTACAACCTATAAATTCTTCCAACACTTAACACCAATACCAAAATGATCCAGTAGCAAATAAATACCACACTCTTTCAAAGTTACAGCAAAAATATTCATGATCTTTACATGAAATACATGCACAAGTTCAGAGCACTGGGCTTATCTCAAATTTTGTCAGACCCCAACCTTGAATACTAGCTGTTAATACCTTTTTTGTCTTTGTAGCAGAATCATATGAGGGTGGTGGCGTTGATTGAAAGTTTGGCGATGGTGTTCTTGCTCTTGCTGGAGCGATGACTTGTGATGTTAACTCAGGTTCATCAAAATCATCCTTGAAGCCTGCAAAATCTGCACTTGAGGAAATGCCCATTGCTGCTAACTTGCGTTCAGTATCAGTGGTGTGCTGCAAATAATAATTTGAAGTAGAGGTAATAATTATGTGTTTCTTTTAAATGGGACTGTCATAACCATAAACACCAAAAAAATTACCTTTAAAATGAAGGAAACCTTAAGCGTAATACTACTTTTGGCAAAATGGAAAAATACATTTTTGTACAGTGTTCCAATGAAGTAAAAGGTACATGCACAAACCTGCCTGGAGATAATTTGTACAAAAAATAGTGTGAGGCTATTTTTCCCGCTCAAGAATAAAATTACCAACCCTTTTTCCATTGGGGTAAAGTGTTGATTTAAATATTAATGCTTAACTTCTGGACTAGTACTAAGTAGCTAGGCCTTAACAGTAAACAGAAGGAAAATTATCACTATTTGGTAAGAACAGTAAGTGTTAATTTTTATTACACCACTGTCATTGATTGCTTTAGTTCATGGCACTAGGATTCCTCATTAAATTTTTAGTTTGTTATTCAACAGGGTGGAGTATACAATTGCACTTCCAAATGATTCTGCCCCAGCCCCCCCCCCCAAAAAACCCCTTGAGATTGGGAGTTTTGTTGGGAGTCTGTGAAGAAAGATAGAAAAAAATTAATCCTGACACTTACGGCGATATCATGAGAGTTGACAGGTCAGATAAAGGACTTAATTAACTGCTAATAAATCCATGCACAAAACATCAGGCAAATAATGTAGAGTCTAGCCAACCAATTACAGTGTAAACAATTCTTTTTTATTAAAAATTGCTATATCCATACTGCATAAATTTGCTTCGTGTTTTTCTAATTTGGGGGAAAATTCAAGTACCTTTTGAGACTGTTAACCTTGCTGTCAAAACATTCACATGCACATGCATAAGGCAAGCCAACATGTGAAGCTGTCAGCTGCATTAATTTTATACAAATATTTTATACAATTTTCATAAATTTACTTTTGTTCGTGGTGGTGGTTCGACCTCCTCTGATCCAACATTTACCAGCAGACCACCAACAGCAGGTTCTGGAGGTGCACTGTAAGTACTGGTAACTGGACCATCAATACCTACAGTATAACAACAAACAAACAGTAAACAATGAAGATTACAAAGCTTCAGGTGCTAGGGAACAGCTGAATTATAACTATTATTGAGATTTGAGCAAAAGAAAATTAACTGGTTTACCAAGGACCTGGTCAGCAAGTGATTTGTGTTGCAGTTGAATTTCTATCTCAGGTAATTTTTATTTTTCTTTTGTTTTTGGGTAAGGTTATGTATACTAATAAAGTTGATACAAAGGAAAAATAAAAATTACCTGAGATAAAAAATTAACTACAGCATTTGCAACAAATGTATTGTACTACAAATTGGACATTGAAGCAAATCTTGTACAGTACTTTCATCAATGCACAACTGACAAAGTTTGGAGTACAATGTGTAAAATAATGTTCTGTTTGAACTTCACTTAAATGCACAATTTCTAGAGTTGGCATAGGTTTTGAGTTAAAATCATAAAATGCACAGATGCGTTTTTACAAGCCTGTAAAAAACAAGATATAGGAAGCACATGCAACATTAGACACCACATACACTAGTTTAAATGACAACAAAGTAATGGCCTACATATGCAGGTATCAGTGTTTAAAACAATTTATTTCCCAACTCAAAGACTCTGCAAGAAAAAGTTTTATTTCTTGGAGAGGCCAAAGACAATTGGATGTTTTTAAGGAAAAAAATTCCAGTGATAAAAACATATTTCACTGTCTCACCATGAAGCTGTGTACCACCCAGGACAAGAGGACTTCTTTCAGAGTGACGGGACATTGGACGAACTACATCATTTGCTTGAACCATCCCTGGATTTTATGAAATAAAAGTTTATAAATGGATAATGGATACAGATTAAAACACACACCACATTTGTTCACACCTTTGGTTTGATTGAACTTTACAAAATGAAAATTTAGAATAACTGATTTAAAAAATGTATTAATCTCAAAAATACACACGCAAGTACTGCAGCCTTTTGACCTAAACTACACATACACCTTAATTAAAACCCAGGTGCACCAGGTAAACAATCCTATGACATTACATGTACAACATTATTTTGCTGGTCCAACAATGCGTTTGTTATAATGAAGCACTAAGTTCTGAAAACAATGGCTGTTAAAAATTGGAGATACAGACTGACATAATTAGAGACCACAACTGCCAGAAAGACAACTTAATATTCTTTACATCTAATTGAATTATTCCCTCCTGACTAATTGTCATCATTTCTCCGAATCCTATGAATCAACTGTCAAAAGTTCCAGTATTAAATTGGTTTAGATCCCTTTTTCACCTTTTACAGTAATGGACTAACAAGATTTGCATTTTTTCGACTCTGGAAAACAATGGTTTCCTATCTTTTAAGTGCATGGATGTAAAATTACAACTTGCATGAGACCTCTCATTTAATCCACCTCCTAACATTTTACAATTCCTGGAAAAAATAAAGTTAATGTATAACAACAATGTACTGTAGGCACCATGTATTTAAACCTGCTTTTAAACCATTGTTATACAACTGAAGGTGGAGATAAGATTTTCTTTTTAAGGCACTAACCTGGTTGCGCCCTCTTCATTTCTTGCTTTTTTCTCATAAGATCTCTCTGAAACATTAAAATTAAAAAACTGATATTCATCTCATTGTACAGTATGTGTTGATGGCTGAGAAGTGGTAAATTTAAGACTTATGAGATGAAAAGCAGAGCTGGAAATAATAAGGCCCACGTCAAATGTAATGACATTGACCAACTGTAGTAGATTTTCCTCACAAACAAATTACATTCAGCAGAAGTAAAGTTCCATGTTTGAAATCGACTAAACACACCGAGGCAATCAGGAAATCTTTTTCGTCAAGTGTTAACACACTGTATTTTACATCACTCATTTGGCTTGGTGAGCATGATTCTTATTCAATTTACTTTTTGGATGAACCTCTTACATCAAAACTTTCTGTTCATTAACAAAATGTTTTGCATGTGTGGACTAAAAGTACACTGTACACCAGCTTCGTAAATCCAAACGTCAATAACTTTGTATTCCCTTGAATTTTCATTTACATTTGAGAGAAGGCTACTAAAAAATAATTTAAGAGTGCTTGTGTCGAGAGCCTTCAGTTCTGATGGTAACCAACCCTACAAGTTTTGACCACTTTAGGTGTCATGGTAACTTAAGTTATTTTTGGTACTGGTGATTAATTCACACAGACAGTCAACAAGTTTTCAAAACCAGGGAAATGATTTGAGGAGTAAATGAAAACGGTCATCGATTGTGTGAAATTGTACTAAGATGTCAAGAACAATAACTATGACCAATCAGACCTGTTGCTGCAATTTTCTTTCCCGGATGCTATTGGGATTAACCGCATGGGGATCATCCTCATACACACTGCAAACAGAACAAGAAATGGAGGACTCACAAATGCAAAACAGTCTAAATAAGAGTGTCTAATCAGGGTGCAACAAAAATCATTTTTACAGCTTGCCATTCGGGCAAGCTGAAGCTAACATTTGCTAGCCCAGACGTCATTTCAACTAGCCCCAAAAGCTTTTTGAAGAGCAGAATTGATTTCACAGTTCTTGTTATTCGAATTCCTCAAAAAACATCACTTGCCCGTTGGGCAAGTTAATAACAGAATTTACTAGCCCAATAGCAAAATCCACTACCCCCGGGCTATTGGACACGACTTTCTTTGCACGCTGCTAATACAGATGTATAAGCTATGTTCATCTACAAGCCACAATGCCAACACTGAAGTTGATGCTTGGCAAAAAATCAAACCGCGTTTCACTGCAACTATTGGAAGTTTGAAGCCGTTTGTATTTGAAGAATAATGGGAACATCACATAGAAACATCATCATCACATCATTATAGAAACAAGAGAATGATATACACATAGAAAAGCAAACCATGTATTTGACTGTGAAAGCCAAAAGCATGCTTGCTAATTATTTGTAGGAGGAACTACAAAAACAGATTAACCTCATGATTTTGCAATCCCTTCCAAACATTTGTTAGAAAATTGGCCTGTCCATTCACTGATCAAATCAAGCACTTTGAGAATGAGATTAGAGAAAAACAGTCTTGGCTACCATGTGTATGGAATGACCAGGAGTATTACAGCACATGCAGTCGTCCACATCGTACACTTAACAAAGCTGTGCCCCGGGAAAAACTGAAGGGAGCTCAGTGCTCTGAACCTGTAAAATCTAGGGTGCCCAGAAGATGATTTGGATGAAAAAAGGAAGATTTCCTAGTCACCCGAGAGCAAAAGTTGGGCGCCAGGGGACACTGGGCTCTGCTAGAGCACAGCCTTGCTTAATGTTAACTTGCATGAAGCCTTTGATATTATGTCTTATTTCATAGTTTTAGTTAGAAATGACTCGCCTTGGCCCTCCCCATTGGCCAACTAGACATGAAAATATCCTTGCCCTGTATAAAGATGTACTTGTCCCAGATGAGCGACTTTTTGAGCCCTGAATTCATCTGAGTATGGATGGGTGTACAACTAAATTTGCAACACAATACAATGCTACAAAAGGACATTTTACAATCAATATCCTTTAAAGAAAAGCAATCTCTTTGAAATTTAAAAGATGATAAGGAAGGTCAATGTACAATGTGCTGAGGTCATAAGGAAGTAAAATCTATTCGTTCTGGAACAAGTCCAAAGTCTCATCTATGGCTTCACACACTTGAAGCCATCAATATTTTTCAAGAGTGAATTGAATGCATGTTATTCACAGGTATTCTTACTTTAAACTAATTTTTTATACACCATATTATAAGTCTGCAAGAAAAGAAGCCTTCTAATTGAAAATTTTTGAACAAGGGTAATCCGCGAAAATCCATACTAACATCCAACAATTATGCAAAACTTTTAGAAGATTTGCTATCGGTGAGGTATCATGTAGATGAGCTCAGTTTTCAAACTTTGAGTTAATAAAAGAGGTTAATTCAACACATGTAGTACACTGTTTACAAAAAAAAAGTATACTATATACTCTACACTATATAATTGATAATGAGCAAAACAACAACTTCGTAAACGATTTACATGAAAGAAAAAGGTAAATCCCATTAACCTAAATGCGCAATCCCAAGCTTTAACATTAAACAAGAACAGATCTTGAACAAGTGTATTGTAAAATTATTGTGCACGCTTTTTTGTAGCACATTGCTCTTAAAAAAAGCATAAAATGGTTGAATGGTGCGAGCAGTGTGCGTTTAAATACAGAAGGTATCCTGCGCAAGCAAAAAACCACCTGAAAAAAATCTGCAGTTTTGTTGTTTCCGCTTGTATCGAATCCTCGAGCATGGAAGGTTAATCTACACTGTACATGTAGCAGCTCTTCAACTCCAACACCAGAAATTCTCACCGCAATTATATTACTATGATTACAGCAGAATATTTTAGACTTGCCCTCAGTTAATGGATCAAACTTGAAAGAGAGCCAAATCAACTGAACGCCATATACAAGAAAACCATCTGCAAAATAGCACTTACTTTCCGCCGATTGAATGAGCAAGACACGAACACTCATCATCGCTACAAACCTAACTGTAGGAATATTATATTTAAAAAAAATAAGGTAAACTTACCTTCCAGGCGGTCCGCTCATGGCCCAAGCACTATGAAAGAACAGGTCAAAATAAAAACTCCTCAGTCATCGTCTTTGATATAACTTAAAACGCCACAACGTTGCCAAGGGATGCTAAGGATACCAGCAAGCTAAAACAACAAGCAATTTTTGGCGTCAAAAATCCAGCTATTATTCAACTCACCTGTTCTGCCCAAAGCTGAAAGACATAGTAAGACGTTCCGGTTTTTCAGTTCAATGATATTTCTTGTTTTCCGCTCAAGAAAGAGAATATAAAGCAGGTTGAACTCCACTAACTATGTTCAAACAACGATCTTGAGGTTTGTCATACGCCTTTGTTATTGGCTAGTTCCGGTCATGTGATTAGCGAAAATTAGAACTTCATGTAAACGAAAGGAAATGTATCAATTATCTACGCACTGGCGAAGCTAAAAAGCACCGCGCGACCATATTTTTATTCACGCACTTCTTTTTCTCTTTATGCTCATTGGAATGAAAAAGAAGGGACATACTGCCGAGTGGGAGAAATAGAGAGAGAGAGAGGATACTTATAAACGTGTCCATTGAAAAAAAAAATAGTTATCTGCCTGGCGCGCGCCAGTATGGTTTTGTTTTCGCTGGGAGAAATTAATAAAAATATACCTGGTAATTTTGAAAGGTCACTCACTTCCCCGGGGGTACTCCCAAATATGGGCTATATAGGTATGTGCGGCCCCAAAGGGTAGGGTTTTTCAGCCGTTTTGGTCATAAATTGGGTATCGATTTTGGCCATTTTGCCGCCATTTTGGTCATAAATAGGGTAACGATTTTTGCACTGTAGTCTTGAATGCATTTTTTTAGAAGAAGCTACTTCCTTATCGTGTCCCCCTAACCTAATAAAAGCAGATAAACATTGCCTTTAACATTGGTCTGAACTAGGGAAATAATTATAAGGCAGGTCTGAAACAGGGTATTGATTTAAGGGTCAGGTCATAAATAGGGTATCAAATTTTTGGTTAGGTCATAAATAGGGTAGGGAAAATCGCAGATTTTGGTCATAAATAGGGTAAGGGTTTTGGGAAGCGGGCCGCACACCCCTACCCATTTTGTCTGCGAGTACCCCCCCCGGCTCACTTCCAACACTTTGTACCAGCATCTCTGCAAACCTCCGTCACCACAGGTCGCCCAAGCTCGAATTAGAATTCCTTTCAACCCAACATTCCGGACATTTCGTTGGTACATCAAATGGAACGGAATATATATTTGGTCTGACCGGAATATTCGAGACCAGCTTTGAAGATGGTCCACTTTGACCGGTCTGGTCGGACCGAATTGACAAAATTGAAAATTGTTGTCCTCAGTACCGTTCTTTTGTATCCAGCTTTCAAGAACAATAACCAAACGCGCGGCGGCTTGGGTCGGGTCTGTGCAACAGGAATGTAACTGAATGTACCGTTCCATATATTTGGGCGAGTGGAATTTCCGAAATTTTATACCGGAATTTTTGTTGAATGGAAAGCCCCCCTGCATGCCCCTGGTATAAATCACGGAACCACGGCAGGGAAGATGAAACGGAAAATTTGAGTAAGGTTAGCCGACTTTTATTTCAATCTCATTGCCTTCTTAGGTTACAGAAACAATCGTTTTTATCCCCATACAAATCCTCTTGTTTCGAAAGTTACCAGGATAATATTTTTGAGCTTGGGATACCTGTGCTCTCAAAAGGGCTCTCTTAGGTTTGGACTCATGTGGTGATACTATTTCCCGGATGATGATATAGGGACTAACTGTATGGGATCATCCTCATACACACTGCGAACAGAACAAGACGCATGTGGCTGGAGCCTATCACCCTGCATGTGGTGATAACATTTCCTACTGCGGCAGTTTTTTTTTATTGACCACGGGTCGCCCAAACTCGAATTTTGACGAATCGGCATTTAGCTATTGTTGCGTAACCTTATCATTGATTACGGATCCGCGTTCGTCTCAGATTCACCACTTACGGAAACGAAATCGAGTCGAAAGGAGTCCAGTTTCCCGGCCGAAATGCCCCTGATAAAATGAGTGGGGGGCGGCTACCGTCACGTAGCTCGAAAATTTCTGCCCTTGTGCCACAGGAACACCAGATTAGGATGCGTTTTGACGAACGTTATAAGGATGTGAATGTAGACTCAAATTAAAGTCGACTAACTTCACTTAAGTTGAGTGTTTCCTCTTTTCTGCGTGGTCCCAGAGCCGATGGGGTCTTGGAAGCGGTTTGTCTCAAAGGATTACAAAAGACAACACACACAAAAAATACAAGAGAATTCCATTCAGCTTAGACGCCCATAAAGCTTCAAATTGCTTCAGACTGGTCCTTAAAGCAGATGATATTTTCAAGACCATTCCTTGTTTCATTTAAACTTGACAAAAGAACTGGCAACTTACGTGGAAATGTTGCACAATCTGTGGGGTACACAATCTGTGTAAAACACTTTATCCTGAGTCCTTTAATTCGTGACTGATGACTACAGGGATACCTCGATTACTTCGCGGAAAAAAAACGTTCTGATAACAGTAACACTACAACTACGACGGGCGACAACTAGACCGAACACATGGTTTTCTACGCAAGGGGTCCTAGACCTCATGGCACTATGGGAAATTTCTGACAGGTTGTTTTTTTAATGAGTCAAATGAGTCAATGAGTCATGAGTCAGGTCTTGGTGAAGTAAGGGTCAGTTGCTGACTGAGTTTTTTGACTTTTTTTAATGTTGCCAAGACATGAAAATCTGAGGTCTCTCCAACAGCACACGGAAAGCCGCAAAGATATAGAACAAAACTTCATCGTTCAAATCCTGACTCAAAATCCTCCTTGGAAGCTATGAACCCTTTTCATTCAACTTAGGGCCTGTTTGTCCTGTTTACACGGAAGTGAGGTACCCCATGCAGGTGGTCCTTGAGGTAATCATAACCCGCTCGGGTGGGGTAAAAAATAACCCCTGATTACATGTAATCTTACAACCTTGCCATCCCGATCCCGGGCTGCACTTTCTCAAGATTACTGAGTGGGTCGCTAAGCACGTAAACAAAAAATGGCAATCAAGTGACGTGTTTTTCCGGTTACTCTTCTACTCTAAGCTCGATTTCCGCCGTCTCCCGTCGGTCCGGTCTTTTATCCTCCGCGAAGACAGACTATTTCGGGGGATGAGTGCGGGCTCATTTTCCCGAACAGCGGCTGGTAATGGAGCCTACTTCTACTCTCACTTGGTGTTCTTGCTGAAGTCTTTCAGTGCTGGCTTTCTAATGTCACTTTTAATGACACAAAGCTTTCGCAGTTGGCGCGAATTTAACGTAACAAGAATCCTACCCCGGCTAAGCGGCCTATCCCACCTTGAAACGTTTACAGGACAAAATTTGACCCCAGCTGAGTTATAAGGTTATCCGGTCTGATCTGACAGATCGGTTAACTCACCTAGGCTGGTACCTCACCTATCAGGCAAACGTGATGAAATTAAAATGAGAGATTATATACACAGGCGGGTTACCCCACCTACAAAAGTGAGTCACCTCACCAGTAGGGAGTCCCCACCTCCATGTAAACAGGCCCTAATTCTTCTTCTAACTGTTCATCCAACAATGCCTCCTTAATCCAGTTTTGGAAGCAAGGACCAACGTAAAAAGAAGGACCGGATCCTAATAAAGGAATCTAATCAACTATAAGTTAAAATATCTGAGGAACAGAAAGAAGCAAGGCTGATTTTACAGTCGGGAATATATATATATTTTGTTACCAATATTTCGGAAGGCATGACCTTCCTTCTTCAGGGTCTTAAATACAGATGACTAGGACAAGCTAAGACGTTACAATTTAAAATGAAAGATAGCATGAAATATGAAACCATAAAACATGTAGAACTAAATGAGGAAAAAGTGAACTTCGAAAGTTTGGGAAAACAAAAACGGTTGAAAGAAATGTAGAAATAGTGTAAATAAGATACAAATGGAAAAAATAAGGAATACTGTATTACATTTCATTTTTCTCGTTAATACCCAAGAGAGAGAACAGCTGTTCGTGATATATTGCAGAAGGAATTTTAGCACGCTCACGCTCAAGTGTATTAAGGCTTGGATTTTTTAATATCGAGGACCCCCAGCAGAGATTTGAAGACATTACGCTAGCAGCTAGTGAGAATAAGTTTGTTTCAATCATAAAACGTAAAAGAATTAACTTTTGGCGTGTTTGATTGAACAAAAGTCTTATATACCGTCACGTGATTTTCGACTCGGTGATGACGTCACAAAGCATGCTTCTTCAAATGGGGTAAAATTTGCTTGTAAAAAATTCCAAACTTTTTTTTATCTCAAAATGGTATAGATCGTTGCTAACATGATTCCTCCTTTCATCCAATGCCTTATCAGTCATTAACATATTTGTTAAGTAACGTGACCTGTTTTACTTAATTAACAGTTTCCGATAACACATGGACATGATAAAAAGGCGGCATTCTAAAGCCCTCGCTTGGAGCCACAGAAATATGATAAAAAAAGGGCAATCAGTTTGATTAAGTATTCCCCATTTTCAGTGACACATTTTGACCACTACCAGCCGAAGGAGAGTCACGTGACTAAGACTGACAATAAAAATGCTCATCAAATAGAATCCAGCTTGGATAGAAAACTGCTCGCCAAGTTTCACAAAGATGAGAGAAATGCTTCTACTTGAAATTAAAACCCACATAATTGGATGTTGAGTAAAGCCTCCTTAGTGCTGCTTAGCAACCACGATAATGCGCGTATCTAATGAAAGAGCTCTCTTTCCTCGAGGGTTGGGGTGGGGGAGTGATACACGCGTACAAGATCTCTCTTCCTTTTGCTTTCGGCCCTTCACTACAATACCATGCTGAAAGGGCTGGGTCCCATGTTGACTGGGTTGGTTTACTTTTCTAGAAATAGACATTGTTGGCCCGAGAATGTTGGGAGTTGTTGGTTAGTGTTGGTAGTGGTGTACAAACTGGTGCAACAACTCCCAACAATGCTGGGAGCTGCAGTGCATTATGCCGTGATATTGATAAATTAAGAGAACTCGAGCGACAATACTGTGACAGACGCGAATAATGTTCAAGGAGACCATGTGTAATGTTTGCGTGGCCCCAACAGACAACAATGTTGGAAGAGCTGTACAAACGGATCCAACATTCGCTTGGTCAACAATGACCAACAATGTTGCATCCGTTTGCACGAAGCTTACAAAAACAACTGACCTGTGCGATCGAAATTGAAAGTTGAAATTTTTTGTTTTGTTTTTGGGTGCTTCTCCAAGGATTTTTAGTGCCTCGGCCACCTTCATATACTACTTCCCTTACCACTTAAGCGCACAAACAACTCTTAAGCAAGGAAAGATAAACTGTTGAGATATCTGAAGATTTTTCGAGCCTTAAGTTAAGAGACCCGTATTATCTCGCGATAAAGACGTGTTAGATCAAGCCTTTTAGCGAGTGCCATTGATAATTCTGTTCCAAACAAATGAATTAAATATCTCCTGGAAATTTTCAGGTTTCTGTATTCGTCACTATAAATTTACATGAGTTCACTTTTCCTTTCAGCTATCCTTTAATTATCATCATTTTTATTTAGAAGCAAAATGAGTTAATCAAGCTTGGATACCAGACAGTCTTACTGGTACAAGATCAAAAGTGAAAAGAACATGCAAGTACAGGTCAGAGTTGACTTCCAGAGAGTAAAGGAATATTCAGCCACACGGACATCGTGACAGACTTGTTTAAGGAAATCCTCACTCAGCCCTCTGCTATCTAGGTATGGTTTGTTTACATTCAAACTTGCGTATGACATATCTCTGCCGTTTGATTTGCGTTGAAACAAAAAATGTAAAACTTTCCGAAGTGAACAAATGCGTGTACAAGTCGAAGCCGGCGTACAAACGTACTTGACAAAGAGACATCATAATTTCCAAAGGGTTCTTTTTTTTTTGTCCGGCAGATGTTTCTGGGGTCACGATCCACATAAAAAGAGCGAAGAAAAATAAAACTTCTGAAGAAAAAGCCAAGTGAAATGATTTCTTTTTCTATATACGTGTTTTATAGAGGACTCAACGCACGATAGCTCCTATTGTTTGACTCATGCCCTTTTGAAAAAAAAAAAACACTGTTAAAATATCTGGTAATGGGACTCAATTTGCAGGTCTTTTATAAGTGTTGTCTTTTATAATCTCGTTACAAATAAAGAATACCTCTTCAGTATTTCTGACGAGTGAATAATGTTGCGAAACGCCTCGAGGTTTTTGTGTTGCTTCGTTATGACCAGCAAAAGCTAAACAGTCAAATCTACGCTAATGGACACCTCCAGTTATAGCGCACACCACGTAGTCAGGTTCCAGCGACACAATTTAATCTACATTTTTTATCCTTCCTTACAGAAAGACTTCCCATATAAGCTGTTACATTTTCCAGTCTCAAAAGGCTACGTGTACAGGGGACTGAACCGTACCTCAACAAAAATAGGCGTGATAAAAACTGACCACTAAGAAGATCATCTTGAGAGCAAAGCCCGCAATAAAGAGCCTCTTGATTTATATATTAAAAGAAGCTGAATTGAGAACATCTTTGTTATTTTTTGCCCCACATTACAGAATGATGGTCAGAGCGGTCTTGACAGTGTGTGTTTCCATTTTGGCATTTATCGTTAAAGTACACGGCCAATCGCAGGTAAGAATCTTTGAGGTTTTTGAAAGTTTCATCCAATGGTAACTTAAACTTATTGCCTGCCTTTCCACCAGCCTCAATGTGGCTATTCAAGGCAGCTATTCTCCTATTGTCAAGGCAGGCTGAATTGTGGTGACAGAAGGAAAAGACAGGAAGACTTTATAAAATAGCGGCACAATAAGTAATGCCGGACTTAAAGTCAATCGCGAAACTAGAAAGGCACTTTTCCATGTAATAATGAGGTTATTTTTTATTACTCCAGCTTCTTCGATGGTGCGTGGAGGAAAATGGCGTGTGCAATCAAAACTGGGAATGTTGCGATAAGATGTTGTGTAGCGATCACTTTGGAGTTGGAAAATGCATACCTCTGACTAGTACATACCCTGCCCCTTGGCCTGCCCCAGTCTCCGCCGCGCCCGTACCATGGTATGGTCCCTACATATTTCTTAAGCCTAAAAAGAAGAAACGCAAGAAGAAAAAGAAGAAAACAAAGATCTTGATAAAAGTAGCTGGAGATCTCACTGGACTGACCGTCAAGGCAAAGAAAAAGAACAACTTATTTTAGAGCAATAAGGTCAAGCCTTCTACACATGAAAGAGTTGAACAAAAAAAATAACGCATTTGTGGTAAAGTGTTAATTAAATTAAACTTTCATTTACGTCTGTCTGTTATTTTGTGAAAGTAGGCAACTACCGTGGTGTGTGTGGGGGAAGTGTAATCCCATATATGGGCTACATGGTAACGATGTGAACACCATTCAATCTTGTTTAAACTAAATATAGACTTGCAAAATATCAGCGAATGGCTTATTGCAAACAAATTTTCTCTAAACATGACCAAGACCGAATTTATGCTTATTGGTTCCAGACAAAAGCTTAACACCCTAACTGCATCTTCCACGTACTCTAACTGTCAATGGCTCAGCCCCAAATCAAGTTACAACGACCATGGATAATAGAAAGATCGGTCTCTTTATTATCCGTGCAACGACTAACTTTTTAGCGATTGATGCAAATGAAATTTCGTGCTCTAGCCCCTTCCTGAGTGTTTTACAACAGAATAGAACAGATTCAAGGCTTCTTTATTTGTTAAACATTTGTTAATACGGCCTTCCTACAATTCACATTAATAAATTTCAAAGAGTTCAAAATGCTGCTGCCAGACTTGTAACTAACACCCCTCGTATCTGTTACATTACTCCTGTTTTAAAAAGCCTTCACTGATTACCCGTCAAATACAAAATTGAATTCAAAATTGCGTTATCAACATTCAAATGTCTCTATGGACCAGCACCTCAACATCTGGTTGATCTTATTGCTGTCGCTGCCAATTCAAGATAAAATTTTAGGTCCAGGAATGCAACTTTGCTGGTACCATCCAGCGCACGGTGCCAACCTACACTTGGTGACCAAGCCTTTCAGTCGGCAGCTCCCAACCTGTGGGAACAATCTTCGGGCGGAGATACGAAACATTCAGGGCCTTACATCTTTTAAGAAAGCTCTTAAACCGTACTTTTTAAATATAGCTTTAATTGACTCATTCTTATCCAGTCGTTTGCAATGCGCATATGAAAATATTTCTGTTGTATATGCGCATTATAATTAAGTTTCATTTTCTAACTACAAAATATTCCATCTGGTCTTATCAACTGAATTCATATACGGTGCAACTCGTCCACAAACTACACTGGGAATGGGTACAAACTTTCGGCGCAGCGATGTCTGGGATCGTTTGGGTGGACAAGCGTTACTTATGATTGATTTATGTTGCCTTGAGTACCATCAGTATAAAGGTAACATTTCGGGAATAGTTGAAGTATGGAAAAAAAAAAAAAACGAAAAACGAAAAAAACCTGTCGATGACTATAAACACGGTTATATTTTAAAAACTTAGAAGTTCCAACCATATTTGCTAATATTTTCTACCATGGCTGCCCGTGCCGGTCCAGTCACAAACAGACCTGCTCGAAGGCGCATTCGTATAGCAACAGCCGCTGACGAATAAACAGACTTAGGGACTAAAGGAAGTTTGTGTTTTTCCATATATAACAGGTATTTATTGTTTTGAGTCCCTGAAAATGCATTAAAAATGTAGTGATGAATATTGTTCATAAAACGAGGTCTATGGCAGTACTGCTATGTTTGAGGACTAGCCTTCAAAACTTCATCTGATGAATCTCTCTGTGGTGGTCAATACGAGAAAGAAAAGCGGTTACAAAGACAGTGAAAAGACATTAAGAGAAGGAAAAAAAGAGCCAAAAACAGCAGCCTTGATTTTTATAATGGTGAATAAATAAAAATAGATGATACATTTTCACGCTTAACGATCAACGGCCCCATAGCTCGATTAAAGGTGAGAGTGCTCTGCTACTAAACACTATTTTCCGCCTTACAAAGACAGGCAATCTTTGAACAATCCATAGACTCGTCAATAATAACGAACTCATTCGCCTAAACAGTTACTTAGCTATAAGACCAGCGCCAAGGATTGGGTTACCTGCGCCATCTTTACCCAGTTACTAAATTTAGTAAGTAAGGTCTACTTTTGGCAAAAGTGTATGTTCGACGCCCTGAACCGCACCAAATCTTTATCACATGATATCACAGAGTCGCCTAGTTCTACGAGTTTCTTCAAGGATATTGAACAGCTTTTTAGAATTCCTGGCGTGAAAATCATCACACGCGAGAAAGGTGAGACACGGGGATGAGAGAGAAAAATGACGTCATCACACTGCTAAGATAGAAAATTGCGAGCTCGAGATGTGGAAGAGTTGAATTCACTGCAATATCACGAAAATCAACCGCTGGAATTTTATTGCGAAGAATGCAAAGTTCTTATTTGCCACACTGTGTGCAGTGTTGTGAGCCATAATAAACACACCACGACAGATACTCAGAAAGCATGCGCAGCAAAGGTACACACGATGCGGATGTCGGAAGCTTTGGAGAAAGTGAAAGTGGAAACTGTGATTTATGAAGACAAAATAAGAAAATAAACCGAGTTAAGAGACGGACGCAAAAACGAAATTCTGTCCACCGAAAAAAAGATAACTGATGATGTGGAAGGATTTATTCATGATTCACGGCAACATGAAAGTACCGTGAAAGCCAAGTTCGCAGAAATTCAGGAAGCACAGCAAAAACATCATCACGAATCAAGTCTAGAAAACTTCGAGATAGTTCTTACTCAACTGAAAAGCTGCTTTGAACGAGATGAAAGTATCTTACAGAGAAATCTTACTGATTGAAGAAATTCTGCAATCACATCTGGCCATTCGTTGAACGCTGTGAAGAACTTCTGAATGTGAAAACACCTGTCATTTATGAACCTCCACACGTACGTCACTTGGCGGAAAAGAAAGAAGACATTCTGGATCGTATTGCGGTTAGCAACACAGACACTTCGCTTTCCTTAGCTGAATTGGAAAGTCACAAAGAGGAATGAGAAAAAACAGAAGCAAATTTCACCATTGTAACCAGAGATTCAAATGAGAGAGAGAGTGTTATTATGAAGATGATCAAATCAAAATCAACATTTCAACTCCAGTAGGTGATCATGATCAACTGGAAACAGAGGTAAAAGACACAAAGACGGCAAGTACACAGTGACATACACACAACAACGTGCTGGACAGAATAGAGTAGAGATCCAAATTGATGGAGAACCACTGGCATCAGTATCAATTTGCGTTTGGATCAAATGGGAAAAAGCATGGAAAGCTTGATATTGCTGTCAATGACAATCGTACAATGCTTGCCGTTGCTGACTATGAAAATGAACGAATTCAGCAGATGTTTAGATTTGATGAGGAATTCCTCGGTGAGGTTGCACTGGAGAATACGTCCTTTGTATCGTTGGCATTTACCGAGTCTGGTGACGTCCTTGTTGGTATCAATACTGACAATAACAGACTTTCTTTGTTGACTGAGACTGGACAGTTCATCAGACTATTAATACGGAACATCTAAATTTACCGTGGTACGTAACTATTGGGAGTGATGGTCTCATCATTCCATACGACAAGACAACAATCAAAGTTCTTAGCCTATACTAATGGAAAAGACTTGATTTAATCATTCAGTGCTCCAGGCTGTAACGCAAATCCGTGGTGCGTTGTTTATCACCTGACCAAATTCTTCGCGTCTTTTCCTACAGTTATCTGTGTTATCTTTTTTTTACAAGGAAGGGGAGTATCTATACGATATCGGCTGCGAGGGACCTGGTGACCAGCAGTTTAGTCACCCTACTGGACTGGCCTTTGACAAGTTTAACCACTTGATTGTTTGCATTACGGAAAATAGGGGAATTTTCACGCTTGGTGGAAAGTGTGTCGCTGAGCTGGCTGGGAAATCTTTTAAGGGTAGTCGTCTTGCTTTTATGCTTTATGTGAAACTGGACAATTGTTTGTTACTGATGTGGAAAAACACTGTATTCAGGTATTCAATTAGAACTGACGTGAGAAAATACCTTCTAGGCAAAGACCTTTTACAACTGACGCTCCTAGTTTTTTTGGCCTGTGTTAGCGTTGAAAGTTGGAAAAAAAACCTTAGGAACCTATGTATCTGAAAACAAAAGCACACAAAATGAGTGATTGAGTGTGGCCAAGGCTTAAATAAATGCTTTAAAAATACGCTATAAAAATTCAAGTTTGTATTACAGACAATGCTCTTGAGATCGCACGCCTCGAACGCTAATACTATAAAAAAGAATTGACCTGAAATAGCTTAATTTGATTGACTGGCTATTTTGTAATTTAAGGGCGCTTTCCATTTGTCAGAACTGACCGGCCAGCCCATTCCCATGGTAATGAGAATTTCAGTATTAACCAAAAACTAACCACGCAGATCAGTCAAATCCTAAATATTATGCACAAACGAGATGTTTTTTTCAGCAAAACCTCTTTGAAAAAACCTATTTCATTGCCAAAATATCTGGTCCGGCCGGCCAGTTCTGACTTTTGGGAAGCGCCCTAAGTTATACGGAGAAAGTCGATGATCCAGCTGGTATAAGACACCAAATAAACATTGTCTTGTCTTGTCGCTCCTGCAAGACTATGCTTCTTGTAATATGATAAGCTTTATTGGGTCTTGCTTTTCTGGTGTGATTAAAGATTTTTAATGTCGTTAAGGTGGCTTCCTTTTGTTTTCTAGGCTAACCAACTGAATTGGCTTTGAAAAGGGGGGGGGGGGGGGGAGCGAAGACCCGGGAGTATGACGAAAATATCGATACGAAAAAAGGACTGGCATGATCAAATAGAGCAAGCAGAGGCGCAAGCGTCGAGAAGACAGTCAATGCAAGGTTAAAACTGAGCGAAGGCCGGTAAAACCCCGTTAGAGCACGCGAAATGTCAACTAACGGGCGGAAAACTTAACGGGGGTACGACATATCGATGTTCTGTTCCATACGGCGTTGCTCTATAATTGAGCAGAAGAATCGCATTTGGCATATCGGAGTTTCACGTAAATTGTGATTTTCCATCCCCACCGGGGCTTCGCGTCAATGATTGCGCTTTCGCGCTTAGTTTCTACGTAACCCCAATTTAGGTCGACCTGAAGCGCTTCTACCCAAAACAAGGAAATAATGGCTGCCTAGGAGACTTTCTTGCTCTCTGATCTCATCTTTTTTAAAATAGGAAAGCTTGTGGAAGAAGCAGAGTAGGATGAGCTTACAAGATGTTTGGAAATGAAATAAAACAAAGAGCGTGAACGAAATTGAAGAAAAGAAGTTAAACTAAGACGACAGAAAAACAAATTAAAACTAGCAGTAATAGAGAGGAGAAGTCGTTACGTCACGTTGCCATAGGAGCAAAATTTTTGGATGACAACAAACCGATAAAGTCACTTAGGCCCGGTTCAGACGCCGCTCCACTCATGTGCCGAACCTAACTGATGAATTAAGTACGGCAAAAGAGCGGCGTCTGAATCAATTTGGCACGGCAGTTTTGGTTTGGTGCGGCAAAAGCGTTAAGTTCGACAGAGTCCGTCGAACTTTTGTCGAACTTAACTTAGGTTCGACACACGGTACGGCGTGTGAATCAGATGTCGCGCCAGTGTCGCTCCAAAGTCGAACTTATTCAGTTAGGTTCGGCACATGAAAAGTATGGCGTCTGAACCAGGCCTTAAAAGTCTATTTGCACTATTTCAAACTTTAACGAGCTTATTAGATTTCATTTAATTTGGCAAATATTGGCGAAATTTTCTTTGGGACCGTATCTATTGTTATCCAAGTTTAGAAAAAGGAAGCGACAATTTTTGTGTTGTGTTCACCTACTGCAAAAAGCGGGCTCGTGAAATTAGGAAGTTTCATGTCGTAGTGGTGTAACGACGGCAAAGAAATGTACAAAATAGCGAAATGCACGTGCAAAGTTGTTGTTTGTTAACATAAACATATTATTTTTTGCTGTTCTCCTTGCCGTCGCCGTCGTCGTTGGTTTTGTTGTCATCAAGGTGCGTTCGAATGGTATACCTTCGGAGTTGCGGTTGCAGACTATGTCATCAAAATGGAGGAGTTCGTACGATTCAGCTAACGATTGGGACGAATTTTATCAAAGAGATGGTTTTCACAGAGCCACGCTCTTTTCTGATACAGCTTCGTCCTTGATAACGTTTCTCAAGACCGAAGTATCAGCGTAGTATCTGCTTTGCTCTGCTATGCTTTTGTAGCTTTGTGAAATAAATATAACCCGAGTGAAATATGAGAGCGTTCTTAGTATTAAAATCGATGAGGTAAGGATCTTCATTACTCTAACGAAATCGACACAAAACAACATTTTTTGATTCAATATAGCTCTTGCTGGCGCACAGAACGACCTCCGGTAATGGAGTCTGTTTAATACTCTGTGTATTTGATAACGACGCTGAGATCACCCACAGTTGCTCTCCAATGTGCAGTTCACCAGAGTGGACTCGCCAAGTTCGATCGCCTGCCGATTTCTTGCCTTATATCTGCGAACCAACAATGTGTCCACTTGATTTTTGTAGTCGTTTCAAATTAAGCACTCGTGGCATAAAGAAACGACAGGCTCTGCGAACCAGAAGACTAAGCTTTATGACGTATTTCCGTTTCCGGTACTTGAGCCAAACAAAAATCGAGTTTCTTTATGCTAAATGTTTGTGCCCGGGCTTCTCGCGAGTTGAGTTCCTTACGTCAAACGCAACGACCAGACTGGAATTGAAGTTTTTGAATCGAATATGCCATCTTGTTGTGACCCACGATTAGTCTTTACAGCACAGGTGACCCAACTCACACGACACATTCCGCCAACAGAGCGCAACTTAAGGAAAGTCTGCAAATCCGGTAAGATGCATTTAGGGTGAAAAAAATTTGTCCTTTAATCTTTGCCCTTACTGACCGCTGTTATTCAACACTTAGCTCAACTAAAGAGATGTTAAGATCCATAGAAATACAAAAATACTTTGCCCTTGTAATCACATCAAACATTCACGTGGGCAAATCATGACTAATTGTGTACTGCTCTGTGAAGTGTGTAGAGTGAACGAGTCGAATTATGATAGCCACGATACCATCCTCTCTTGTGACGTAAACAATGTAGAGTGACGTTTCGTCACTGTTTATTCAACTTGCTTTGACTGCTTTTTTTCGTCATATATAAAGCTTACTCTGACGATACTTATTTGTCATTATAAGTTACAACGGTAACATCAAATGATTAAAATTCAAGAAATTTTAGAGAACGTATACCCCAATTGTCAAGCGCGGTCAAAGGAAGTTTCCTTGCAAAAGCTAAGCAAAGTACTTCAAAGGTTGTCATTTTTATTGTTAAAAGTTTAATACTTAACCGATACACGGTCAATTTACTAAAAACGTTCTGAGCATTTCAAAAGTGAAAACGCTGAATTGCCGGCGCCATTTGCCTACATGATCTTGTTCGGGCGCACCGAGCATTTTCAAGGAGAGGCTTGCCCGGGAAGTTTTGACTAAATAAAACGAAAAGAACCTCAGACGTTCAAACTCACCTTGTGCTAGCTGTTTACTTGACAACACTTCAGAGCAGTTTGGACTTCAAAATGTCTTGTAGGGCATACCTCAGACCAATCTAAAGGTTCATGCCTTGTCTCTGCCAAGAATTTGCCCAAGGCCTTGCTCTTCGGATATCCACCACAGTGGCTAAGTAGCGGGAGTTTATGGGAAGCGTGGAAGGTCAACAACGTGTTTCTGATCACGCTCAATTCATCCAGGACATATATTACCAATTAAAAGCACATTTAATTTCATTTCTCAATATTTCGAATTTGACCCCATCTCTATCCCAAGTTTGACCTTCAGGCACCCTCTTTAAACCAGCACTTCACTGAGTTATAAATGCAGTTAAGGTGGCTCGATAGGGTTTTCCAGGGTCAATTACCTCTCAAGTTCGCCGAGCATAAACTACGTCGCCATTAATTTGGAAAAATTAGCACCGCAGCTGTATTTTGTAAGCAGTTTTGTCCACTTAATAAATAAGTGAATAATTTAAACCGCTAGATAGATTTTAAAAAAATTGAGATTCTTGAGATTAAGCATCATTTTATGAGACCTCAGTTGAGTTTCATTTATTCATTCATTGAGTTTCGTTAATTTTTTTGTCGGAGGTTTCGTGTTTACGGGAGTATTGTCAAAAACTTTCATTTTCGCGTGAACAGCAGTAATTAACGATGCATTTGGAATATGCAGAAATGTCAGCTATTGTTATCCACGCGGAAAGTATGAAAATCATCGGCGTTAAAGTATTGCTCCGCACGTTAATGAGATTCCTTCACAAAAAAGGCGTCACTGGCGCGCCTTAAACTACTAGCGCTACTAAAAACCGCTAACAAGAGCGCCTCGATACATAACAATCAAATCCTTCTTTCTATCAATCTACTGAAGTGATCTCCATGATCTTTCACACACGTTTTTAAACATATTGAAAATACTGTGAGGTGAAATTGCATGTCAAAAGCGCTTCGTCTTTTACAGATAACGGCCGAACATCAAGATTGTCCATTTTTAATGTGTTTCTAACCATAAAGACTTCATCCCAAAATATCTCCATAACGCTCTAACAGATTCGCTTACACTTCACGAACATCGAAGCGGCTATTAGAAAAAAAAGCTCTCATGAACGAGAAATACGGCTGCAAGTAAAGTAGATAATGCGGTCATTTCTTTGCTATGACAACTCCGATGTCATTGGAACCCTCATCATAAAAAAATTTTCATCTTTATCTAATACAGCTGTGGTGATAGCGACGTACTTTACGCTTAAACTTGGGAAGTATTGGCCCTGAAAAACCTATCAAGATGGAAATGTAAACGAGTACTATTATAGGACACTGAATGCAACAGAAATAGGTTTATTCGGAGAGTTCTGGGCCTTTCGTACTTCGCAAAACTATAGTCAAGCAGCTATAACATTCCAAGTAGTTTCACATATTTTATTTCTGCTTTAAATATATAGTCTTCTTTTTGTCTGATGTTCTTTTTCGATGGTGAAGAGATAGAGAGAGGGGAAGCAGAGCAAGACAAGACTCAATTCAATGTTCTTTTATTATACAGTATTTACATACCATTGTGGTACAACGTCGATACAATCCTCTCTAGATAACTAATCCTGAAAAGTGTTTTATGTATACAATAGACAAAGGGTTTTAATAAGCAAGTATTCTTCTTGCTTGCTTTGAATAGAAGCTCAAAGTCACCCAGTTAGTTTGATAAGATACAATCTAAATGAGCCGATAGAATTCCGTAAGAAAGTTGGTATTAATCCCCGAGTGAACTAGCCTAGTGAATCTTGTCTATGGTTAGTTCAGGAAAATTTACATCGTCCAAAAGAGAAAAAACGAGGGTTCTCAAGGTCAATTTAAAATTGCTTATGAATACAGTTCGAATTCGCCTGAATTGGATCAAACATGGCTTTTGTTTGGATACTTGAGCGACAGAGCTGACGGGAATTAACACCGGACAAATGCAACCGTCCGTGCTAATTAACGATTCGAAGCTGTGCTAAATAATGACTCCCCTTAGTTTTATTAAATGGCGCTGTAATCACAGCAAACGGAGCTTGATAATGTTTATTATGCTTAAATGCACAAAACGTCTTCAGCAAACCCATGGCGGGGTTCGCAGGATTCGTACAGCTCACGAAAACGCCCATTTTCGTTTATAACTTGCCTTAATAGCTCGGTCAAATCCAAGACTTACACTGTCAATTCCTTGGACTTAATGATATGCCTTAAGAAAAGGCTAGGTGCCCAAGCAGTATTAAAATTACTGTATCTGTTAACCCTGCTATAGACCGGAGGTAAAAATAGGTCACATGGCCGTTCTGTTTGTGTTTGTTTCTGTATCGGTCAGCGGTCGTGTGTTTTATTGTCTTTCAAGTCGTGAAACAGGAATCTGTTGGTCAAGTAAGAAAGAGAATTATTGGAATCCACAGAATAATACGAGTAAACTAAAACTATAAGTAAAGAAACAAGACGTGGAAGCAAGGCTTTATATGACTAACAACGCAACGAACATAAACACGTTTTTGAAATGGCGGTGTTTATCTAAACATAAGTCGGAGGAGATTTATTAAAAAATGATTTAAAACTCATTCATACAACAACTGGTATTTTGTAGCAAAGTATAGATATTTCATTACTGATATTATTGAAATTAATCTTCACTATCTTTACAAGGTTCTATATCAAGCTTGAAAAATAAGTTGGAAAAATAGATAATTATTTTATGCAGACTTATCTATAAATTTATCATTCTCCTCTTGAAGCCTTTCTGCCTTAAAGGTCGGACCATACTAGGCGATATGTCGCTGCAACATCTTTTAGCGACAAATCGTTTCGTACTGGAGAATTTGTGGGAAAATCGTTGTCTCCTCGACAAAATTTTTGTCTCTGCAACAAGTCGCACAAAATTTCGTATTTGTGCAGCGAGAAAATTTGGTCACGGAGACAAAATTCCCAGGTATACACGAAGCGATTTGTCACCGCGATGTTTTTCTCTTTTTTTCTTCTTGTCACCACGATGTGCTGCTGAGACTTGTAGTCCGACCTGTACACAAGGAGTGGTTTGTCACCGCGACGTTTTGCAGCGACATGTTGCCTAGCGTGTTCAGACTTGAACTTTTTACTGTGAAATGTGCTCAAAATTTAAAGGTTCATTTCTCAACTATTGGATGTAGTATTCAAAGCAGAGTGCATAGTACACTACACGTAAACCGTTTAAGCCCCAATGTCCACATATCACATTTCCTTACATAATTTGAGAACTCTCATAACCTTTTCTCTTAATAATGTATGAAATTTTTTTAAGTGAAAATTGATGTTGATCATCCTCAGGACTTTTTCATTTTTAAAAATACTTAATGCCGGGCATCAGCGGAGGGTAATCCCGTGAATAAATTATGAGAGTTAAAAACAATTCACATAAAAAATAAAAATTGTGAATTTTACTCTCATAAAGTTAGAACCTAAACTACTTTCTTAAGGTCAAACAAAACAAACAGTTTGGTTAAGAAAAGGCCTTTCTTGTTTAACGCAGAAAACGGAGGACAAAAAAAAGGAAATGTTGTTTCAAAGCAACAACAGTAAACATTGAAGATAAAAAAAAAAATGCAGCGAATTTTTAATTTTTAAAGATATCCTAGAGAAGTGAAAATGTCAAATGTTACTTTTATTCACAAAGGCGCGGTTTTAAAGGGTTACTTCGACCCCTTTTGTACCGAGCTTCGGTCTCCTGTGCCGATCATTTATTCTTCGCATTATCCGAACTGTGGGGCGGATCTCTTGATGGAGGAAGCGCAAAAACATAGCGAGGGGACGGGTAAGAGGAAAAAAGAGCAAAGAGAGAAGGAGGGAGGGAGGGAGGGAGGAGATCTTCCTCTCTTTTCGTCTCATTTCCTAACGGAAGGACTGTCCTGGGGCTATCGTGTTATAGAAAAAATCAATAGACCTTTTCTCTTTTTTTTTCGACTTTTGACCTGTACCAGCTGGAGAAAATCCATCGACACAACTGGAAGAGCGAATTAAACTAATAACATAAAAAGATTTCAAGTCTGAAAGTGATATGTTGAAAACTTACGAAATGATCTGGCCCCACAATCTCGCTAAATCTATGCAGACATTTGTAGGTTGGGGGAAGGGAGAAAAACTTGACCCCCCCACCCCAATACCGCAAACATCAGTAAAATTTCACGACTTTGCGAAGTTCCATCTTTCTGTTTGTTTTGCTGGACCTTAATCAGCATCTTTAAGGAACTAGAAAGCTACTACATAGAAAAGCCTTACGACATGATACATTTCAACGTTTAACTCTGCGACCGAGTTACGTGTCAAAAAACGACATGGTCGTCGCATGTTTTTTTTCCACAAAACTTGTTGTGGACTCATTTGTGCGCCCAAGTATACGCTCTCCCAGCGTATTTTTTTTTACCTCAAAGTCTATTACTGTATGGCTTATATTGAAATATGCAACCTGTCATTACCTTACTAGCATGCGCAGTAACGGGCACTATGTGTGCTGTAGTCTTAGGAGACGTTCTGTTTTGCCTCCGCCTTGTGTTTCACTCAGCCATTCCTTGCAAGGAAACTCGTACCTTTGACCATTTTCGTCCGTTACCGTGATCTGGAGTTTTGAAGAATAAAGCTTAAATGCTTTTTTTTTTGCCTTGTTTGTACCTTAGGCTTCCAAACCCTTAGCCTGAGTTTCAGACACCCCTTTGAGTCACATATCCATATCAGCCGCTAATGCCGTCCAGTGGCGTCACTACTACTTTGCTTTAATTCATGCAAAAAACAAAACACGATTTTCAACTGGCAAACAAAGAAATATCGTCCGGAAGTCTAAATGGTACATAATTGGTTTATTCGTAAATCGTGATTCATTTTAAACGTTCAAACTGTTAACTACATGCAATACTCTGAACGAATCTTTTGCTTCGTATAGCGCCATAATTCAGCAATCAAACGTGTTCGTGTTCGAAAATTTGCTAGCTAGACAGAAGCTAGTCATAAATCTCACAAAGCGGCTCCCTAAATGTAAACCTACCGTCTTTCCGCATTGATTCTTTGTTTTTCAGAGGCTAGGGCTATTCTACTTTTTACAACAAAGATTGTCGAAATTTTGAACTTCACGCAAGCATTCATAATTAAACATAATTATGCGAATGTTCGGACAATCAACCGATCAAAACCACTACCCGGTTTTCGGGTAGTGACGTCACTGGACGGCATCAACTGCTCGTCGATTCAGACGTCCCTGATGGGAGTATGTGACTCGAAGGGATGTCTGAAATTCAAGCTACTAAAGCCTATGAAAACTGGAAAACATTGTGATGATGTAACAACATTTTTTTGGTATAATGTGGCTAAACTGATTTGCGTCCGTGACATTTTTGTCAAAGATTTAACGTAGGTTTATTTAACGAGTATTTCGTACTTGCCATTTTCATAATACTTCATATTTTCAGGCGAAGTTTTATTCATGATGGCTTTTATAAGAACTACTCATCTGGCTGGGGGTTAACTTTAACCCAGAATCAAGCAGAGTTGTAAACCACATTTGCTTATCAGGTATTATTATATAGACACGAGTGTTTTATTGGAAAATATACCTCTCGTAAAATTCATAATACTACATCCAGGACCCGAGTGGTTTATTTTCCATATATCACAAGTGAGTTTATCGATGATGTAATTTCAGTAATTTCCCCCTATTATTTTATCAATGTATTTTTGTCTATATAATAGAAAGAACATTACACAGTGGCTTGAAGCTATAAAATTTATTTTCTCGTGGCAAAAACAATATTTTACTCACTCGCCGCGCGCGTTCGTAAATATTCTTTTGCCACTCGAAAATAAAATTCATATCTTCGCGCCACCGTGTAATATCCTCTATATATGTAAATTGAGCTTATAAAACCTTCTCGAGCTTTCACTTAGAGAGCCGGTAATGTTATCCCAAAATGACAGTCCTAACCAGTCTATAAGAAAGTTAAAATTACTGGGTTCGGTCGGCCCTCGAGGAACTGGACCCTAGACGTACATATCTGTAAAACACGAATGTCTGGGATTGGATTTGGCATCTTTTATTAGAGTTTAGGCATCCGCGACATCTAGTTTTTCTGGGGGCTAAACTGAGAAGCTCATGCGCCCCGAACAATGTTTTCGCAACCGCGTTTCGTAGTACAGTCAGGCCCTGAGTGTGTACTATAGAATATATTTCTTTTGTATTTCAACGGTCGTTTACGTCTTTTTCTTTCTTTTCGCTCAATACGTGCTGCTCTTGTAAAATAATTCTCAGCCCCTTACAGCTCGCCTTTAGCTCCGTCCTACTTATCTACATCAAAACTAACAAAATTTATTTAACGAATACGCGATAAGGAAAAACTTAAAACTTAAAAGATAACTTCAAAGTTAATGTTTAACATGTCAACTTCAGTGACCGTATATCATGCTCAAATTAGTGCCCGGGGCGCTTACTGACTTTCTGAAGCGAGGCCAGAGAAGAGCGGTAATTTGAAGATGGGTACTACATTGAACTCGGGCGATAATTCGCACCGGTAATCACATCATTCCCATTGCGAGTTAGAATAAATAAGGACGAGTAAAGTTTTCAAGGCTAACAAAACTGAAAAAGCCCCAGAAATGTGTGTAATTGAAGTCTAAAACTTAAAAAATGCGCATTTGTTTCAAATTACAAAAAATTCGTTTTTTTTTCCTTTCTTATTTTATGTTACTTTGAGTCTGAGCCTGGAGACTCGCGTGTAAAACTGTACAACACGTAGTTTTCCTTATCCTTTATTCTGTTAAAAAATTTCCCTTACCTTTTCCAGGAACCAACTGGGATTTGATCCGGAGTTATCATGTAATATTCTGACTTGCCTGAGTTTACCAAGATCCGGTAACATCAGAGTGTTATTTTCACTTCTTCAAGAAAGAAAATAAAATGAAAGAATGGTTATTGTTCACTGACTTGGATTAAAAATACCATTTCAGAAAATAGTGCAGCAATTTAACACTTTCTTAGGATCGTTAAATAGCTAAGTTCATGATGCCCATATCATTTCTTCAAGGCAGCGATTTAAATTGGAACCACCACATTTAAGAAGTCGTGCCAAATATGAAAAAAATGTGGCCTTTAGATTCTAAGACAAGGACAAGAATTTCTCAATTCTAAATGGTGGGTGCGCGCGCGCGTGAACCAGCGTCATTTTGGTGGGAAAACGTGGTAGTCCTTGTCATGCGACTAAGTGTTTAGTGAAAATGTTGTAGTGGCAGAAGCAAGGAGTATCAAATGTTTTTATTACTGGTATTTTTCATTTTACGATTGTGAGAGGGTTTAATCTCCCTCATTAACAAAAAAAACCTTGTTAACTTTTCTGGTTAAAAACAAAAGAAGTTAAATAAAGCTTTCCGGGCTGTCTATTTTTTGAGACTGCGCGAAAAACAATTTGAGCCAAATCTGGTCCTCATATTCGTCCTTGTCATCGTCCTCGAATATATAATATAATGCCAAAAATAAAGGCCGACCGGAAAACACTGGTAGACGCCCTCATCGTGTGATAACTCCTGTTTTCCTTTTGCGTCATAAAGAAGGTTAGTGATCCTGATTTTCAGCCTACCCTTTCCAGTGCATGGGAGGTACATGAAAGATCGATTTGTGATCTAGCCTATTTAAATAAGAATAACATAAACTACTTTGCAAGCTTTTGAGCTCTTTGAGTTTGTTACCTACTCTTTCTCCGACCCAAGCCGAGCATGTGTGAATGACTAACCGAACTTAATCGAGCCTTCCCGAGTCTAATCAAGCCCAACCCTTCGTGACAGGCGTCAGTTTATTGATTACTTTTATAAGGCGCGCGAAGTGTGCGAGGGAAACAGGAATGCCTCGCGCGCCTCGCTCGAGATTTCCTCCTTCGCACTAAAAATAACCGGCGCTAACCAAACCCAGAGAATGATGTGGCTAATCTGTCTTCATGGGAATAACTTACTTGTACTAGATATGAACGAGTACTTACTTTCCTCTTGAAAAATGTTTAGTGTCCAATTTTCTGAATCCCGAGTCTCCCTTCTCTCCATATAATGTGATGTAGACATTAGCGTCTGTGTCAGCTCCATCCATGTCTCCAGTCAAACTGCTAATAGTGTAGTTGGTACCTGAAGACACGTCAGATGAGGTTAAATGACGTAGCAATATACCACATACGGTCAAACTCCGCTTTACGGACACCACGATATCACGGACAGTTTGCTTTGTCCCTGGGAAAAGATAGCTCTTACGAACTCTCCTGAGGTTGAAGCCGTGCAGTGACCCCCCACCGCAAGGAAATGTTTAAAAAAACATTCATGAAAAAGGGCGATACATGGGCAAATTCAGGGCTTGCTTGTGTTTTATCAGTCTTATTCACACCACTTGGTGATATGATATCCCCCATGAAATATCCTCTTTCCCGTCAACTGTATTTTGCGTCTGTATTTCTCACTTGGGTTTCGTGTTTGACACTGAAATTTGGGGCTCATAATTGAAAAATGAGCCTTCGGAAATTTCCAAGGATGACCAAAAAAGGATACAATGCGTATATCTTGCGATTCTGTTTCAAATATACACTGTTGTTCTAAGCACGTAAAATACAACTAAATACTGTATGTACTAGACACTACGGCCCGCTATGATCTTCTACGTAATCGGGAAGCGGAGTACGGCCAGTCACTAAGTTTAATTAGTAAAATCCAACTAGTAATCTATTATCAATGCTGCGTTCTGATTGGTTGAGCTACTACTAGGCCATATGTTATAGCCCACTAGTAGCGAAAAGCGCCTGCTTTGAAAATCAAAACAATGGCGGCTGAATCGCATTTTGCTAGCTAAAGTTGTTTCTCCTCGATATTTTTGACCAACTAGTTGGATTTTACTAAAACAATTATTCCTCTCGCCCTCATGGCCCCTGAATCAATAGCCCATTCGGCCTTCGGCCTCATGGCCTGTTGACTCCGAGACCATTCGGGCTCGAGGAATAATTGTTAATTAGCAAATCAACAACTTTGCACGTGCGTCTTATTGTTTTATTAACTTTTCTTTGCCATCACTTCACGACACAACGTGAAAATGTCTAATTTCAAGTTTTAATGAGGACGTAAACAAACGTAGACGAACTTTTTTCCTCTATGAATTTGCCTACTGAGCGACTTGTAATAGTCGCGAAAAAGGTTGAAAGAATGCGAATTTAATTTTTGCTAAAAAGTGATGTTTTGACCGCTGTCGCAGTCGTGGTTTCTTAAACTTGAGGCATTGACGCGTGGCGGGAAAAAGGTACTTCCGGTCACCGTACTAGACCATTCCGTAGTCGTTGCTTAAAGTCCTTATCCACCCGTTTAGTACGGACATCCCGTATTAAAATATGGACACTTTTGGCCCCCTCGGTGTCCGTATTAACGGGGTTTGACTGTCGTGACAAAACGGCTTGAAAAGTATTGCCCATATTTTCTGAAGCTTCCAAAACGGAATGACGCGATCGAACCATTGGATTTTCCATTCTCCATGTAAATGGTAAGTGCCCACTGTCTTTTCTTGTAGCGACGGAAATTTGAACACGCACAAGGTTATGTTAAAACCAGACGAGTTAAGACACGAACAAAGATAAGATACGGAATAAAAGGAGGAACTTCAGCAAAACGTGAATAAAGCTCATCGCCTCATTTGTTCATTTTGCTGTGTTTCATCTTGGCTAAGTCTTACTCGTGAAATAACGTAAACGTAAATATTTTTTCTTATTCATCACGATAGTTATGTTTTACTTACCTAGACCAAAGAAATACACCATATTTGTAGAATTACCGCCACAGTTTTCTTTGTCATTTCCTGTGCACGGCATGTTACAATTTGCCTCATCCGCTTTGCCGTATTTGCCATATCTGTGCCCGCAGTAACATGTGTCAGAGTTCTGAAGTCCAAAGTACGAATAGCCCTTCTCCTCTAATGCGCATGATCGTACGCAGTCTTCTTGTGACACAGATTTCACTATGGCTCTGTCAGGCAGATCATGTCGGACGCTCTCATCCTTGTAACAACCGACTTTTTGGAAAAGTAAGAGCACATCTTGCTTCTTTTCTTCTGGTATGTTTTCTGTTAGAAAGAATGTATCTAGTTTGTCACTTGGGACCATCTGCAAACCCTACTAAAAGTAATAGTCGTGTTTTGTATTGTCTCTCAAGAGAAAATTAAATAAACGAATAACTGTTAGAGAACTCGAATCTCCTATATAGGCCAAATTAGGCCTATGTAGGAGATTTATAATTCCTCGTATATAATTTTCGCAATAAAATGGCGAGAAATTCAAATCATGTTTGGATATCTTTCTAGGCTTTCACGCAAGTGCCTCGAAAATGAAAATCATTATTTACCAAAACATTCTTTTTTCACTTTTTCAAATCTTGACATGTTTGCGAGGAAAATGAAGTCACATATTTGGCGCAAAATTGTGGCTTTTTCATCATGGGATATCCAGAGAGCGTTTCTAAAAAGCTGTTTCACGGGGATTTCGAAGCTGAAAAAAATAAACGTTTTAAAACATAACATTTTTGTCGCTTAAATAACGCTTAAATGGATTCTTTATGGAATGAAGAATCATGTGTGTGTTCGCTCTCTTTACTATTATAGGCTATTTTCAGTGCAAACGAAGTTAATGTAAACTAAACCAAAAGCTCACCAATGATGCTGAGAGAACTGGCATTTTTCTGATAATCTTCGCTGCCAGTCTTGAGTTCGGGTTTGGGGATTTTTGCTCTCTTAACGACTGGATTTTCAGCGTCTGGCTTGGACACTTGAAATTAAAAAAGAGAAAAAGAAATCAAGATTTTATATACAATAGTAATGTATTTAGATTGTCAGAGCGTCTGGGAACGTAGCTACACCTACAAATCGCGACTTACTTAAAGTATACCACTTATGTATTGTTCTTAATCCAAGAAATACGCGTACATAAACTTTAATCCTGATCGATTTCTTTATGCAAAATAACCTATTATTTATTATTTGGCGCTTTCCATTCAACCCAAACGTCTGCTTTGAATTTTTGGCAACTTCCAGTAGCGAAACGAACAGCATTTTCCAAAATTTTCAAAAAGGAGGACAACCTCGCGAGTTATATCCAACTTTTTGAAAATTTTTTCCCGGAAGTTTTCTTTCCATTTAATTTTGCTCCCGGAATTTCGGTGAAATGGTTCGTATTTCGGAAATAAAACAGTTTCTGGAATTTCTGGAAACTTTTTTGTGAAATTTTTGAACCATTTGCTTCTGGTTCCAAATTTTCGAAAGTTTTGGTTGAGTGTAAATCGCCCAGTTATATCCGTCAGTTGCAGCAGCCAAATATCATTTGTCAGTAAAATCCTACTAGTTGTCTATTATCAATGCTGCGTTCTGATTGGTTGAGCTACTACTAGGCTATTTGTTATAGCCCAATAGTAGCGAAAAGCGCGGGCTTTTTGGCGGCAAAAAAGGGTTAAAGTCTAGCTTTAACTAGCTAAAATTTTTTTATTCTCGATATTTTTGACCAAATAGTTAGATTTTACTAAAACAATTATTCCTCTCGCCGTCATGGCCTCTGAGTTAATGAGGCCTATTGACTCAGAGCCCGTTCGGGCTCGAGGAATAATTGTTGAACTTGCCATCGAGTTACTTCCATCGCTGCCAAAAGGCGAGAGACGACATACCCTATTCACACCACAGCTTAAACACGTTTAATAGCTGTTTAGTTCAACATGGTTTAAAATTGTTTTCCTCATAAAAGCTGCTTACTGACTTATGGCTATTCCAAATCATGTGAAAATTACAGAGAATGTTAAAGTTTGTTTTAATCTTGTATATATGTATGTACTCCAGTTTTCCATTTACGTTTTCCAATTTTTTTTAAACCTGGCTTAATAAAACATGTTTAATTGGTGTAAAATGGGGCACTAATTGTGATAATCAATCATAAATCCTGACATATAAAAAGGATTTTTTTAAAAATCAGTGTGTTACCTTGACAGTTTCGCCCAGTAAAATCTGATGTACATTTACACCTATATCCATCTAGTCTCTTGCTGTCTCGAATGCACTTAGCTCCATTCTCACACGGTTGAGGTTCACACTTGTTTCCTACAAGTGATATTTAATTTTATTTACTCTTAAAACGTATAGAGACAACAAACTAAACAAACAAAAACACAGCCTGCGAATATAACTGTCTCTCCTCGTTTCTCGCGGCTAGGGACCAGGGGCACCCAACGACCGAATGTTTCCAAATACGCCAGAAGTGTCTCAGATGGTTTTCTCTATTCTTTAGAGGCCTGTTTGGTCAAATTCAGAGTTGGCCTAAAAACTATTTATCTGTTAGGATGTCTTAGGGGAACTTTGGTTGCCACGAAAGTTTTAGGTGTTTTTTTCGTCTCATCCGAAAGTGTTAGCTGCCGTCATGGGTCCGGGCGAAAGTTCGAGGACATGAAGTAACCTTGCTTTCATACAAAATTGTAGGGGACGTTTTGTCTTTATTCCGAAAGTTTTAGGAGGCCTTTTTTTAAACAATAATCGCAATATTTTGATATTAAAATGTGAAAACACAACCTCCAAAAATCGCAGTTAAGCTATTAGAAAATCTCTGAATATTTTAGACGAATGGAACAGTTATCCAGAAATTTTTAGCCTTTCTCAAGCTTTAGAAACTTCTAGGCAATATTTGCTCTCTCGAACAGATATTTTACAGAATATAGTCATTGGGTGCCCCTGAGGGACGTTTTACAGGAGATACTACGAAACGTTTTAAGCGGCAAGGAAGGAGGGGGAGGGCTGTATTCGCAGGCTAAGAAAAAGTCAAAAGATGGACGCCTAAGTTATGATATTTTGTATGCCTTTCAAAATTGGATTCTCACCTGAATAGGACTCAGAACCTAGAAAAATAAGTGAGATAATAAAAAATAAGTGAGATAATATTGGTATCAAATAATTTAAATAATTACCATTTTAAATGTGAACAATTATTTATCTACCCTCAATCAGTCGTTACAATTAAAGCATGATTATCATAAAAAGAGGTTGAGTGTTTACTGCATATCATTGCTAAATGTGCCGATGTGAAATCTACAAATTGAAGATGATTTACACAAAGATAAAAGTCTTACAAGTCACCATGTCTAACAAAAACATCTACAACGATATGTCAGAGATAGAGCAGAGCCCTTATGATTGTTACACCTTACTAGTTTAGCTACAGATCAGCGGAAATTGTACATTTAAAGATTACTGAGATAATCATTATTGGTAATAAATTTTAATTACCAATCAATTTTTGATTACTGAATAATTTTAGAATACTGTTTAATTTTGTCAAACTTAGTGAAGGAACAAGATTTTTAGTTGCCCCTCCAACAAGAGCATCATTTCCGAGCCCAAGTAACAAACTAAGGGATAATAGACCATTTTAGCTTGTCTCTTTAGTTTTCCTATTTCAGACCACGTGATGGTACCCAGAAAACTGTGTCTTTCAAGTGTTGTCTTATGCACATGCATCCACGTGCATATGTATGCATAATTAATGAAAAGACAAAAGGCAAAAGGCAAATTCCCCGGAGAACATCACGTGGTCTGAAACCAAACGTCAAGCTAAAAAGGTCTATTAAGGGCCTGTTTGCATGGAGGTGGGGGACCCCAGGTAGGTGAGGTAACCCGCTTAGGTGAGGTAACCCGCCTGTCCGGCCATATAATCTCTCATTTTAATTTGATCACGTTTACATGATAGGTGGGGTGACCCACCACATGTTACTTCATTTATCTGGGGTCCCCCACATCCATGTAAACAGGCCGTCAGACCCCATCCAGAAGAATCCGCATATTTTTGAAACTGCATATTTTTTTACATGAATAGGCCACGGATGAATGAGCTGATTCACTGGTTTCCTATGGACGGAAGACTGATTCGTGTAGAGAAAATGCCTTTCCAAAAAAGTCCGGATTCGTGTTGACGGGACCTCTGACACAGTCGCCACTTAAGAAACAAGAAGGGAACTGGAGCCGAAATGCGTCCCGCAATTGTCTCTGGGATCGTTAAGGAGGACGCGTCGATCAGCTATTGGCCAATTTTTTCCCTGTCCCTAGTAACAGTCCCAGAAGTCTTTGCCAACGTTAACTCGGTCCAGTTTCCTTCTTTGCCCCGATCATACTTGATCTGATTCTTACCCTGAATCTCATCATCGGCTTCTTCATCCTTATCATATTTACCAGCATTGTGAGAAAAGGAAACGGCACTTGCTGTAAGGGAATTATATACCACTGTTAAGGAAAGTAAACACGATCTCATGTCTAGTTGAACTATTCATTCTCGCTATTGATACTTGAATTTTCCTTGTAATTTTGTAGCATACTTGCTTCCTTCATATTCATGAAGAACTTCAAAATAACTTACAATCCAAGTCTTGTTCGTCCCAATCTCCCGACCCTGATCCAAAACCAGAATCTTGTTCGTCATCCAGGGAAATTTTCGCTGTGAATCGAATATCATCAATACATGAATAAACGAATAAAATTAACGTAAGGGAAATAGGTAGTTTTATTCCTCAATGTCGTAAATGTATTACCCGAGCTGTATATTCGGGTGGGTGAAAAAATAATTTTAATTCAGTTCTGAATATATCATCATATTTACCCTGTAGTAACAAAAGCAACTACCTAGCAGCTACAATTAAAAAGTTATTAATGAAAAGTAAATTATACTGTTCAGTTTATTTACTATTGGCAGGGTCAAAAGAAATAAGAAATTAGAAACATTGAAAACTGAACATAACAATCGTATTTCTCTTGGTGGTAGGTTTCTCGATAAGTTGTTATTGACTGACGAGCAGTTTCGTTTGTAGTGAAAGGTGACGTAGGTGTGACTGTGGAGTCTACCTGTAATGGGTAGCCTGTGGCACAACTTTGATATGTTTACTAGATGAAAAGCAGCAATCATTACCTTTGACTGGACAACTCTTAAGGTTTCCAATCTGTTGCTCGTCCAGAGCCTTGTCATAAATCTGCAAACAGGAAATTTTGCCAGCGAATCTTCTATCATCCCCATCCCTTGCACCGATTCTGATTGGATACTGGGTGGCAAGTTTGATCTGACCAATGTTGCGACTCTTCACCATCTTGCCATTGTGCCACAGCTGTGCTACACCAGTCGTGTTGTCGTATGTTGCACCAACCTGATTCCACTCGTTCAGCTGTAAAAATAACACACGAATATCTTAATATATCCATTTAGCCAAGCCTAAAAGCGGAGCTCTTTTAACATTCACTAGAATCAATAGAATTTAAAACAGTATGGCCCACTAAGTGTGCCCACCCTCCCCCTGATCTCAGCCGCATTTGTGTCATTTGTCATCAGAAGTCTACGTGGGGATGTTAGTTATTCATTCCCTTGGAGATTTTAAGGGATAATTTACACCACTGTGTGGGGGATTACGCTAGACTGCTTACGGGCTCAAATGGCTGTCTGGAAGTTTCCAATCAGTGACGTTATCAGTTGTTAGGTAAATGTGAACTGAGGAGGACACTAGTGGAGATAACTGTTTGAGATTTGTTACGGATCATCAGAAGTCCTTTTCCGACCGTCAGAGTCAGTTTATGTGAAACATGTGACATGTGGTACATGGTTAATAATAAATCTATTACTTATTTCGCGCAAATTACAAGTGCATATGGTTTCTCGCCCTTATCGGAGAACAAAGGAAAGTGTAACTATAGCAAAGGTGGCACTTCTTCTCTCTTGTTTTAAGAACCTAAGTGTTGGTTCCACAGGGAATCGAGCCCAGTCCTACCGCCTTACAGTTCCGTAGCCTGCAATTAATTTAGCTTGCCAGTCGGCCGTAAAGGATTTATTATATGGCTACTGAGAGTTTCTCTAAACAAAGCTGTCAAGTAAAAATGGTCTGTCAAAAACTGGAACAATCTGATTGGTCATACACACCAGTGAGAAATATCGTATGACCAATCACAGGCCGCATACGAAATTTTTCACTAGTGGAAAACCTGTATCGATTTCCCGCCTTTTGGTGTGCCGCGACGTGTCAAAGTGGATGAAAGTGAACGTTTGCATGACTTGAAGGTTTGCAGACATTAGTTCAGTCAATGAATTTATTAAGAGTCAAGAAAACGAAAAGAACAAAAAAGAAAACTCGACAGAATGTTACTATGCTTAAACAACTGTTGAGGTCGAGGAAGGTTCAAGACTTGACGAGAAGGAATTCCCCCGAAGGAGATGAACGCATGTATCAGCGAATTTATTACTATGGTTCGAAAGAAGGACGAGATCGTAACATTTAAAACCACTCTGTTTAGGGTGGGTCTGTCGTAAATACTCTAGTAAATAATACCAATTTCAGCATTGAAGCACACGTACCAACACCACGGTATGGCCAGTACCTTACGCACGTGCACGACCAATCACCCTAGCAATGGTAGCCATGGACAGCTGTTTCCTCATTAGGACTTGTCGGCGTGGCATAGCCCCAGGCAAGAGGGTCTCACTTGCGATCATCGACCCCGCTGTTTACTGCCGAGGCGAGTACAAAAGCATTCCTCTAAGTGCCAGCTCCACCGTACACAAGCTACCACTTGGGATCGATGATGAGTCCTAAAAAGGACGAAACAGCTGTCCATGGCTGCCACTGCCGGGGTGATATGGTTGTGCGCATGCGTAAGGTACTAGCCATACCAGGGAGTTGGTACGTGCGTGAAGCGCTGAAATGAATACCCTTGTAAGTCACCTTAAAATGATTAAACAATACAGTAACAAAGTTTAAGGCATAGTAATATCGAAACAGAAAAGCCACCACAAACCTGTAAAACTCTTGAAGCGATTGGTTTATGGAAAATTCCGTTGCGGTGTACAAATCTTACAAACAGCTCCGTAGATTCAAACTGCCACAAGTGTACTCCCCAGCCGTCTGTTTTGTAGTTCAATATGGGTCCCCCACTCCCGCTGGGGTAAATGTTTGCTAAAATTGTCATGGAGTTCTGTGTATCGAGCTTCCCGTCATTTGGAATTTCAACAAAGGAATCAGCTGTTCCTTTAAATTCGTACGCGCCACCGTCATCATCTGATAAAACAAGAAAACATATCACATTTAGCTGGTAAACGGCTTAACTGATTCAATAAGCAACGACGACCGACTAAACGTGCCGGCGTCTTTACTCAGAGAAGTCGGCTTTTATTTTTCCCGGATATATACGATATGTTTTCATAACGGCGGACTGGTTTTATGTTATGCTTTAGTAATGTTGAGACTGTATTTCAGTCAATTTTTCACAAGTTTCTTTATAGGTTTACGCAGAATTTATTCACGTACAGATGTACGTAATCTAATTACCGACATTTGTTCATTGCTTGCGGCGGATTTGATTTTGTGGCTGATAAATTGAAACTTTATTAAAAGCTACATTTCCTTTGATCAAAAACAAGCTGTTTTGTACTGAATTTAGTTCCCAGAACGCTGAAAATCGCACTTTAGGGTTTTGAAATTTCAAAATGAGAAAGGGCAATCGGTCCCTTGTTGCTGCAGTCGGTTACTCTACACAAACCTGCTTCAATTTGTATTGAAACCGCTGAGCTGTAGGAGCGCAAAGTAGTAATAACTTCCTCGGATTGTTACAGAAGTACGGTGTTAAATAAAAGAGATCATTTTCTTTCAGGGGTAAGACAGTGATGTGAGTGTCTGACCGGCAAATGTACATACAAACTGGGCTGTAGAATAGACGAGACTTTCAAATACTGTCTAAAGCTTAGTCAAATGCAGTATGAAGAATTTTGCGCTCATTCTACAGCCAGAATTCTACCCTAGTAATGTTTAAACTGGATGAGCTGCATTAAAAAGCGACGATTTCTAAACGAAGTACCACAACAACAGGACAGAAAGTAACAAGCTTATTCAGTGTCTACATAGCTACGTAAATAAGTCAAAAAATCGTTCAAAAGAAAAACGCAACAAATAAGTCGATTCCAAGGGAAAACATCTGTGCAAAGTTTTAGAAATTTTCACGCTACTGCACATGGCAATAGTGTGTTATAGGCCAATAACATACGCGGGGGCGGTACTCAACAAAGTTTATAAGGGTAGGATCCGCCACGACCTTAAAATACAAATGAACCACAATACCAGAACGTTTTTCGACTTTTTCAAAGCCATAACATGCATCTGTTTAGTGTTAGCTCTTTTGGGCCTTTGAACAGACTGACCTCTCTTGACTGAAATGGCAGATTTTTCTAACCTTTTACATACCTCAACTAGTGAAATCCCTACCCTTTCATATACCTGAAGTCTGAAAAAAAATACCCCGTATGGGCCATTAAAGGGAGCACCCCCCTGAAACGTACTACAGTCAACCAATGAGCTCCCAGAATATTATAAAAGCGCACTAAGTTTGAATATCAAGTTTAATCCTTTTAGTCTCACCATTAGGTCCTGTTGAAAGATCTACGTTGCTAAGCACTCCGTTTTCGTTGTTAGGACCGGCGTCTTTACCGCCAAAGGCTTTGTTTAGTGGATACAAACCAACTGGCTTGGGTATGGCTAAAACGGAAAAAGAAACAAATGTTAATAATAAAGGCCTCTGGTACTGAGCTTTCTAAGTGAACATCCCGGGTGTTCGGGAGGTCATAGGTTCGAATTCTGTAGAGGACTCAAGAGTTTTTCTTTCTCTCTCGCTGGTGACATGCTGTTTATTTTACCGACGCAAAGGTTTCGATTTTTAATGAACTTCTTTCCTTCCCATACTTTAACAAAGACATTTTTCACAGTCTTCATGTTGTAGTAACATGAAGTAAGGTATCCTCTAGCTAGTAAGATCAATTCAATTTTTATTATTCACACTTTCTAGAGTATTTACATTATATATAGTAAGGTAGGAATACACTAATAAAGGAGAAGAAGAAGGACAAAGAGAAGAAAATTAGTGGCTTGGGTAGAAGTGTACGGTGTTCAGAGGAGCTTAGCTTTCGAGCTAACCACCGCTATATTATGATCAGGTGGCTCTTTGGGGATTTCTCAAGGGTATTTCCGGCCTCTAACCTAACATTTGCGTAGTAAGGCTTAGTCTATCTAAAAGCCGATTTAGACGGCACGATATTTGCTTACGATTATCGTGCGCGACTAGCATGCGTCACGACTTGATGACAGATCGTGTCGTGTAAATTAGATCTACGACATTCATACGACACATTGTAGATGTCGTAAGTGTAAATTGTGCACGTGTGGATGGTCGAAAGTCATGACGTATGCTAGTCACGCATGATAGTAGTAACCAAAAATCGTATCGTCTAAATCGGCCGTAACAAACCTTCTTCCTGCGATGAAGGTCCCGGACCGGTTCTTCCATCTAAAGAAGAAAAATATTAATTCAATTCAATGTCACTACTTTCCATTGTAAGTTGAACAAGTCCAAGTTTATCTGTTTCTGTTAGGATGTAATTATATTCTCCGCTAACTACATCAAGAGATGAAATGCCAGTAAAATACGACAATCTAAAAGCTACCGTATTTATTGGAATAAGCGCCCAACCTCGAATAAGCGCCCACTCTCAAGTTACAAAAATTTAATAAGCGCCCAGAGCGGTTAATCGAATAAATACGATATTTACAATTAAAAAGCATATTTGCTGAATAGGACACAGTCAGCTTTGGGACCGAGCTGACCTGGATACTAGTTTTGCAACTTTGAAAAGCGTTTTTCTCAACCCGAAATCAAAGGCACGCGTCGAACACATCTAGAAATCCGCTTCACTCTTGCCCAGTTTCATTCGATCTTCGATATTTTATTGACAACCTGTTCCTGAGTATCCTTTCAATCATCCTATAATATTATTTTATCATATTTGTTAAAAACAGTATAAATCGCGTATCTTGTGATATGCAAATCAGCTAAGAAATGGTCTCTAATGCGCATGTGCAACAGCTGACGGTGTCCTTTGAGAACCTCACTGGGGACTTTACGATCTGACGATGCGACGGCAACGAGAACGTAAAAAACCAAAATAGATTAAGTAGGCAAAACAACAACTTTACACGAGCATCTCACTTTTTTGTACAATTCTTTACGTAATATATCAAACATGAGATGCAGTGTTTCATCACCAGATGAAACACCGAGAAGAGAGTTGAAAATACGACGCGCAGCGGAGTATTTTTGACGAACTTCGAGGTGTTTCATCTGGTGATGAAACATTGTGTCGAATGTTTGATATTTCTTCTCAAACAAAATCATTTTTGAAGGAGAAATTAAGGATGCAAATACTAAGCAGTGTTTCATCCGATTTCCAAACACTCATTAAACATTAATTTCCTTTGTATTTTCTTAATGAATTATTAATGAGTTTGAGAACGTTTATGCACGACTACGACGTGAAATTGCCTAATTTTACTTTTTCGGGAGGACGTAAACAGGTCACGACGAAATGTTATTCTCTTTCTAAACTTGAATATGGTTCTTAGAAAATTCAGCTCCGGGAGGATTCGCATACACTTGACAAACTACGTGAGTTGGAATAATCGCGATAAAGATTGAAAGAACGCAAATTCATTTTTGAAGCGACGTTTTCGCTGCCTTCGCGTCGTCGTATCGTAACGTCCCTACTGTTGTGGTCTACCTGGCAACCAGTGTGAGTGATGTAATAAGAGAGTGCACATGACCCTTCTATACAAAGCATACCACCTCACCTGGTAACCGCCAACTCAAATGAACTCTTTTGATTGGTCCCTCAAAGTGCCCACTGGGAAGCTCGACAGCCACAGATACACAGTCTGCTAGTTTGTCTGCTTTCTGATATGCTTCCATGTAATAATACTTGCCTTTCTTCAGGTGGATACGCTCAGACTTTTGTTCTGGGAATCTACAATGTTTAAGAAGTGATTTTTACACACAGTCATTCATTGTTTTTCTAACGATGAATGTCTGATCTTTGTTTTTTGTGTGACGTATGTTGGAAACGAGTTAGGGAGCTCAAGTAAAATAAATAGTTTAAATACCCAATCGTAAATAGCTACAAGTCACTAATAACCGTAGTGTAGTAATGGTTTCTCAAGGCCAATAGACATCTTCCCCTAAGAAGACCGACCGTTGACTGAGCAGTCGAAACGTAGCGATCAATATTAGAGAGACTATCGCGAGACAAACGACGAACAAGGATGGATAATCGTATCTACGACTTTCACGATCCTCATAATACAATTTGTTTTCCCCATAAAATTTTGCCGTTCGCTTTTCATTTTCTCAAGGGACGATTGTAGGCTACCCCCAAGATAAATTAAACACAAAGCTTATGCAAAATTTTGTGGGGGAAATACATTGCATTATGAGGAAAGTGAAAGTCGCTAATGGTCTCTTTATACTCTAAGTTAACGAAAACTTAGAAGGTCATGTTGAATCATAGTGCCTTGGACAAATTGCTGAAAATAACATTTTTTACCTTTCGTCCATTAATGATCTTACAAGTCGATTAGAACTTGAAAAGTCAGGCTATCGTCATCGTGCCTTGGACGATAATGAAAATAATCTTTTTTGTCTTTATTTCATTTTTGTTCTTGAAAACTATTTCTGTTTTCAAGAGAAAAAAATACTCGCCTATATTATTAAACTAGAAATACGTGTATCGCAGAACCTCGAGGTTTCTCATGACGGCACGTCAATGAAATTTTTTCTCCTTAGGAGAGAGGCTTCGGTATATAGATACGCACAGCAAATACAGATCATTGTGGAAGTGTTTGTCACAAGGTATATTTTAATGGACGTCCTTAATGTTTTAGCTTATACTGAAAGTATCTGCGGGTAATCTACTATCCATTAGCGGCGTAAGCTTTGATCAAATTCGCTGTACTTGAAAAAACAGCTCTTTCAATTTACGTTGTCGGAAAATCCACTCTTCCAGATCATATATCAGTAGGGATAATTTCATTAAAAAAATAATGATACAAAAAAATTTTCACTCTAGTCATAAAGCAACTACCATGAGCGCCAGACTTTTCATGCGCGGTTTTCGGTTTCGGTTAATAAGTCTCTTTTTCTCGCGGCTTTGGCCTAAAAGCCGAAAACGTGTCGGCCTGCGGCCGAACCCGAAGCGTCTCCACCGCACTAGCACGCGAGAAAATACTTCTGGTACCCAGGGTATGAAGCAACTCTTCAGTTATAACAAAAGGTAGACTTTTGTCACATTCTTATACCGTTATACGGCGTTGAAAACTGCCAAGGCATGGCCGAATTACAAAGGATTAACAACTCCGACCATGACCTTGCGGCTTCGTCCTGTTTTGTCGGGTAGGCTTGAGGCCACAAAATCCAACAATGTTAATTGAAATAGTTGTGTACAAAGAACTCACATCTAAGTAAGAAATGGATTGAATTGTTAATTGAAGTGAAAGCTAATCCCGGTATGAATCAAAATTAGGGCTTAGAATATTGCTGGTGATGGGGGGCATTATTTCAGGGATCGGAAGAAAGGATCTGTCGATCTTATCCTCTAATTACGCAATTTCTGCCCTTGCTTCGGCTTCACTTTCCAACAGTTTAAAAATCTAATCAACCCATAAACAGAAAAAGCCTATGGATTTCCAGTGAAAGTCTTTTTAAAGGCTATTGTTCCATAATTAATTCTTTTTGTAATTGTCGTCTTGATAATTATCACACCGCATTCATGGACGCATATGTACATCTCTTTTTTTCTAACGATCCATCGTCAATAACTTCCGCTGAAAATTTCTCTCTGATTTCGAACCCCGACTTTCAAGATCTTGCTTTTATATAACATTATTAGCCTGACTTAGCATTATTTGACACTTTTCCTTTTCACTATAAATGTATTTTCGTATTTTATATTGTACTCAGTGTTATCAGTTCGTATCTTCATTTTCAAGTAAAGATTTGTTTTAAGAAAAGCATGTTTATCACCTTTAAAATGTATGTCCATATTTAAGCGCAAAGATATAGGTTAGCATCTTATTAATCACTTTTTTTTGTATCGTTAGTACATTTTGTGTTGGCTTAATGATAATTAATGGTCTTTGACGCCTGTCAAGTATATCTGTTTTTTAGACAGAAGACAGAAAAAGGAAAGTAAATATTATTTGTCCTGATTTTCGTGAGAACATAGAAATCTCACGTACGCATGGAGCAACCTTACTCGTGTAAAGACGATTCAGTTCTTACGTACAAAAGTGAAAGTCGATGGAGTAGAAAAACCGATACGTCACAAAAGGAGAAATCGATCCACATGAGTGCACGACCAAACCAGAAAGGCAAAACGTATTTTCCAGCGATAACAAAAATGACCTCCCGTGAAAAAAAGAACAAAACAGACGAGCTTAACTACAGGCGAGCGAACCAAAACAAACAGAGGCCTTTACACCGTGCTGTGTCTTCGTTTAGTCTCCCTCAGATAAAAGTGAAACAAGAATCATCAAGGGTCTGCCAAAGATGGCTTTCTCATAGTAATCTCTGTGCATCTACGAGGGAAAGTTCACTTTTGGATAACAAAACATCTTCACTACACTCATTAAGGACGAAAAAAATCAACTCCGTACTTCAAGAAGACACAAAAACGCCAAACTTTGCGACCGATTTGTCGTCCACTCAGAATCTTTGGAAGTCACTACGAATCATTAACTTTGAAATAAGCGGAAAGGAAAAGAGAATGTCAAAAGTTCAAAAGGAGGAAAGCCTGAAAATTGGCCGTATGGAATTAATTCCAAGACGCGCACGAAAGCCCAAGGAAAACACGGTTAAGCTAATCAGTCCAAGAGCTGAACTGCAAGTCACATATCCAACCCTTAAACTCACGCCCATCGATCAATGCACATTTTTTTCATCACCATCCCCAAGTTTGAGCATGGGGTCTTTAGATTCAATCATATATGGACCTCTTACTTTAACACAGCCTCCTCCAGATGTAACGTCGTCTTGTTCACCTTCAGAAAACGAATCCACATCACCTTCAAGTCCTCAGGATCTTAGTAACTAAAGACACAGAACTTTGGTCCATGGGTCTCAAATTATATCAAGAACGAAGGTGGACAACGTTATAGTCCTACTGAGCTGCTTCTAAGTGTTTTTGAAGAAAAGAGGAGACTGTTTTATTCATGCTTTGAAGAAAAAAAATGCTAAAACGGAGTACATTGCTATGCCTCAGTTTTCATACACATTTTTTTTAAGTGAAAAAAGAGACTGATCTTTTGAGCAAACGATTCTCACATACTACTTTTTGCTTGGATTCTAAATCTTAGGCGGCATAAGAGGAAATTCATACATTTCGTAACCGGGGTTGATCCTTTTGTGTTATTTGACAGAGCTTCAAAATTCTACAACTGATGATTTAATGCTGCACGGTAAGTGCGGTGCAAACGCTTGACCACATGCTGCGCAATTGACTCGAATTGTACACGACAACTTAACGAAAAAAATAACGAACATACAGTCGGGATGAAAATATCTATCGAAAACGACCAAACTCAGTAATATTTTGCCATGTAATTAATCTTTGTTTATCGTTTACAAAAAGGGATAAAGTTGTGCGCTGCTGCTTGATATGCAAATCATGGCTAACGTTGAGTTGAGTAGACTTCTATGCAAAAACAAAAATCATACCGAAATCGGAAGCAACTCAGTTAATTAGCCTAAACTCAATTAGGGAACCTAAAAGTTTTTAGGTGATTTAGCCTACATCAATTACAGTTTCTCCGCACACTTTTGTCATGGCCATTCACTAACATGGACGTCAGGGAGGAACGCTTTAAATATTAAACTGACTGTCTCTCACTGGAAACGACCCTAAAAAATGAAAATTTTGATTAGCAAACTCTGCCATTGAATAAAGTATACAGTTTAATCTTCGCTTAAAAATTCGTTTTACTTAAAATAGAATAATACAGGCAAGACCGACAAAGGAAGAAACTTTTAGCTAGGGATCAACGTGTCAAAATAAAACTATACCGGTCAGATTTACTTTGTGCAAACACCCAAAACTAACAAAGCCTGACTGTTATTTCCATAATCACACTCAATGTATATAATTTCATTCCAGTAAAAATGATTAAATTGCATTGACGCACACTGGTGTATTTACTTGAGAATATTTTTTTCTATCAGTTTTTTCCTTCATCGTTTCAATTTGTCGGTGTCTGTGGGACAAACACCACCTGCTTTATTCAATATATTTGTTAAGGACAAAAAAAGGTATTTGTAGTCGCCTCGATTTAGGCAATAACACAAACTTCCATTTCCTTTTCCTTTAGACAAGGTATATCTAAATTTTAAACTATTTCTCCCATACTTCAGTGTTCAGATTCCGACCAAAAACCATCAAGTGTCATTTCATTAGATCCTTTTTTCCTGGATTGATAATTAACAGTGCACAGGGTGCAAAGAAAGTCAGTTGAAAAGCTTGCTCTAAGGGCAGGTTTTAGCTAGCATTGAGGATTGACTACAGTTCTTCGATAATTTGAATCTCCCCCAATACCTTGCCTGTCGGGCAAGTTAAGAACAGAATTCATTAAGCCGATAGCAAAATCTACTAGCCCCGGTATAACAGACATGACTTTCTTTGCCCACTGGTGTGCAGCAAAAAACTCCACCTGCCGCCGGCCTTCATAGACTGGGCTAAAAAGCTTTCACAAAGGGACGTAACCGATAGACAATGGGATTAGTTTGCAGTAGTGTGACAGAAAGGTTGTTGCTAGTGGTTTATATACAATGGGCGAAAAAGGTTTTAAGTTATGAAAATTTTTCTACTCTTGCAAAAAAAACCCTCTTTTTCAGGAGTAAAAATGACCCCAAATTCGGAGTTAAATTAGGAGTTAAAGTGACCCCCACAAAAGGGGTTATCCTATACCTAAAATTTGTAGCCCATTTTTGGAGTTATAATAACTCCCTAAAAATTACGGTGTTGTTAAGCCTATACCTTACTATCGACTCATATATTTGAGTTTGATTTTACAACCCCAACCCAAAGACTAATAAAAAAAGTGATTTATACATCCTGCCTTAGTTTGAAGCGTTATTTAAGGGTACATTAACCAGAACCTCTGGAGTGAGGTGACTTGACCTATGAACCATTAAAGATTCAAGAAAACGGTCATTAAATCACGACTTAAGAAAACAGTGGTGTTTCGGAAACCTTTACAGGATAATAGCTCATAGTTCTGCTAATGCTTCCATAAAGCCAAAAAGCGGGCTAAAAGCTCATTGTTTTATGGGATTCTGGCTTAGATCTCCGGCTTTTGACAGGTAACATTCGATAAAATGGAAAGGAGTTCGTATAAAATCTGGAACTGTTTTTATGCGAAGCATTGGGAGTTTAGGTAGCTGGTAAATTGGTAAATGGTTTCAGTTCTAGTAACGGTAACCCAGGTCGAGAAAACAAAACGTTAAAGGATGGAAGATTAAAATAATAGAATTCAGCAGTTATCCAAAGCACTTTTTGTGTGCACTTTTTTAGTCCATTACTTGCCGAATTTTCTAATGGATTTTTTATAGAACTCTTAGAGAAGTTTGAACTACATGGGCCTAATCACATGCGCCTTGGTGTACTTTTTTAAATCGATTTAATGGGGTGGACTTCAGTAGTAAAGCCGTCAGAATAAATGAAAATTATGACACATTTCGAAGCAACTGATTCAAGGCCGGATCGATAAGTTTGCAGCCTAGCAAAGCGTCAAACTTCGAACAAAAATGGACGAAAATACAGTAGCAGCCAAAATCACTTATTACAATTTAACTGCACGGTGCACAGACCACCCTTTAATGGCACAAAACGTTACGTGTTTTGTAAATTTAGTGTGAAGTAGAACGAAACATACTGTCTAGAAATAAAGGACTAGATTCTTCACTCCATACGAAAATGTCGAAGGACTGATTTAAAAGGCTGGGAGACAGAAAAAAGCAAAGGTGCCGAGGATATGTCGCGGGAAAAAGTCTCTTACTCTGTGCAATTTATTCTACTTTTTAATTCGTGCGACAAAAAAATTTGCGGGACAAACTTCTCCGGGAGCATGTCCTACGAAGTTCAACGCTGTCCTTTCTGGAGCAAGTTGTGAAGGAAAAATGTGTCAAAGACGAGGGCACCATGAATCATCGTGTGTGCGATTGTTCAACGTTTCTGTGCAACAACGTCTAGGACGGGGTTATGAGTTGTACCAGTCAGAAGCAAAAAAACGACTTAATTCCTTTGTGTTCGTGCAGTAACAACATGCGTTACGTGTGTTGACATTGTGATTTTTGCCCTGCAAAATGCCTGCCAGATAACGTTGTTACATATCCCTTCGAGTGTTCTACACACAGGGTTTATTCTAGAAATTAGCCAATGAGGGTCAAATGGGCCCCCTTCTGTAATTTTAGGGGACCCTTTTTCAAGAAAAGGAATCCCCCAAAAGGTATTTGAACTTATTGGTACAGACTGTTCCGTGAGAAAACGAACGCTCATTGACGCTTTGCCGCCACTTTGGAACATTCTGGGCAACTGGAAATGTCTGGGCTCGAATTACTGCAGAATCCCGGATGTTTGTCTGGTGAAATAATGACTCAAAAGAAGAAGAGAAAGGCAATTGAGACAGTAAGAGGATATGAAAGTTCAAAGTAAGTTTACAGAGCGGCCGTCAAATCAGTGTTGTTGTCAGTGATGTTTTCGAATACTTTATTTCAAAAAATAGTGGTTATCCTTGGGTCTTTCTTTTTTGCGCCCCATCTGACGCGGCAACGTAAATTTTATGCGGCATTTTTTTCCAAATTGCGGAAATCCCGCAAGGTCGCTTTCTAGAATAAACCCTGAAAATGTACTTATTACATGTCCCCGCTAGGCGAAACTGTTACATAGACCCGTAAATTTTATGCGGCATTTTTTTCCAAATTGAGGAAATCCCGCAAGGTCGCTTTCTAGAATAAACCCTGAAAATGTACTTATTACATGTCCCCGCTAGGCGAAACTGTTACATAGACTGTTCACAGTCGCCTATTCTTTCGTAAGATCGTCAGGATCGAGCGCTTACCGGTACGGGCGGCCATCTCGGTTTCATATGTACTAAGGGGGCGGGCGTCGGGTTTTATACCGGTGGGGGAAGGGAGGCAAGAAAAATTCCTCCAGCAAAACCGTTCACAGCCCCCTAAGCAGATTTGACACTCACCTCCAGGGTAGACTCGGAACTTGAAACCAAGACGGCTACGTGTAACACAAAGCGTTCGATCTCGACGATCTTACAGTAAAATAGGGAACTGTGAACACTCTACTGTGACATGTCCCTGCTCCATGAGTGTACTACACGTAATTTCCCCTTTTCTCTTTTAAAAGGAGACAGAATTCATCAGATTAAAGACTTACTTGAGCCATTCATTGTGAGCGGTCCAGCCATTTATTGCCACAACTTTCTTCAGGCTCTTCTCTGTCTCGTCAGAACTAAGCCATAATTCTCCAGTTGTGTCGGCCGCCAGGAAAAACCTCAAAGAAAAAAGTTAATCTCAGTCTCAAAGGTAACCTTAATTTCGCGATTTAAGTGGAAAGGTTTGATATTAGAGCATTAAATGTCGCTATTCAAGCGTTCTCAACTTCATTTTATTTTGAAGTCTGAATTTTTAATTTTTAGACAAACAAGATAAACTGGAACAAGCAAAACGCATGTTTCTTTTTTTGCACGAATCTAGCGATTCAGAATGAATATGATATTTAGATTATCTACTCCATATAAAATCTTTGCAAATTAACGTTTTTGACAACGGAAGATTCAAAATGGAATTTACTGAACCAGTAAAATGCCGTTTAATAATGTGGGTATTTGCCGATACATATCCTGTATATGTTGTCATTACATGTCAATCATTTCTTTCTGCGATTTAAATTTTCTTTATGAGTATGAAATTTCGCGTGTTTAAATTTAGCGCATATTTTTATTCGTGGTTCTCTAATTTCGCGACCTTTTTTACAATGACCAAAAACGCCAAAATATACCTGTAGAGACCACTTTCTGGTGCCTTGAAGAAGCCTCTGATCCTTGAACCATAATTGTCATCAACATTGTGAGGAGCATCAAACTTGTCCAATACCTCAATGCTTGAGGGATTATTCGGGAAGTTGGGATTGGAGGTGAGATCCATAATTTTATAGCCAGGGATGTCTTGCCATAATTCACGGATTACACCAGCGAACGGGTCACCTGGAAGGAAAAGAGTTGAAGGGTGAACTGTAAGTATGAGGTAGAGGGCTTCCCCGCTTCAGATTCGAGGACGAGAACGACTACGGGACGAGGAGACACACCCGTATCAAGGTTCACGCACCCGCATTACTTAGTATTGAGAAAATCACGTCCACCCTGTCGTCCTCGTCTTAAAACCTAAAGGTCTCACTCGTGAATAATAAAAGAAAATTGGCTTTTAACCTCTCTCTTTAGTTGGAAAAAAAAAACCACTCTTACACTACCATGGATCTCCTTTACACTGGGCTTTTCAGTTTTACTTATTAGTGAGAAACATATCAAGTATGCGTTCTCAGCATTCCGCTATACAGCTGCTAATCTTAGTCTACTCACACACGACAAAAGAGGCCGATTAGAAAGGTTTTTAGTCTGCTATCTTCGTAGCCGAAGCAAAAAGCTGACATTTGACGACGCCACCACTGGTTTCCCCGCGAAATGAAATCTGAGCAACGACTGCAGAAATTCCAGACTGATTAAGTGTTACAACTCATATTTGGAAAGTGCTTCTGATTGGTCATGGCAGCGAGAGAAATTTTCTTCAACCAATCAGAAGCTATACCGAGATGTGTGTAGTGACACGTCATCAGTATGGAATTTCTGCGCACGTTTCTCAAACGTCATTTCGCCGGGAAATCAGTAGCGGATTCGCGACATGTCGGCTTTTTTCTTAGGCTATCATCTTCGTCGTTCTTGGCGTTTTGTGGCAACTACCGACTCCTTCGAACACTGTTTTATGGCCTGTTTATAGATTGTGTGGCAAAAGTTGTCATCTTCTGTTAGTACGGACGTTGTTACTGCTGTACTTTCGAATTACTGGCAACATTTTTGCAAACGTTACCGCCGAATAGACCTCTTCCGTCAAGCAGTTTTTTCTCGTTCTAAAACGAAGAAGTCAATATAAAAACGAGTGCAACCATTTTTCTTTCACTTCTCCTCCTTCCTTTCTCCTCGCCTTTTCTATTTTTCCCGACTTTCTTTTGCTTCGTTAGTGTGATTTTTGGTCATAGCGGAGGCAAACACCTGCCTTTTGGCCCCTGTCTACTCAAATGCCTGCAAATGTCGCTAGGTAAGTTTTCAAAAATTCGGGTTGATACAGGAAAATGCCGCCTACTGTATTTTAAACCACAAAAATTACAGCTTTTCTTTCCATGATAAAGGTCTTCTGAAGTCCTCAGGCATCCCTTTGGTTTAGCTCTGTTCTGTTAAACAAGGCAAGTACTTCAACAAACCAAGTCCAAACTTACCAGGCAACCTCCATTGTAGTATTTCTTTTGTGATAGGTCTCATAAAGCGACCGCTGGGCAGACGAACTCCAGCTGAGAGAGAGTCAGTAGACTCGGTGCCTTTCTGTAATCCAACAACGTAATAATATTTACCAGCCTCTAAAACTACAGACCTGGAGCTTTGGCCGGCGTACCTAAAGATAACATAAAAGATCATATGAAAACCCATTCTAATTATTCTTAGGTGAGTCATAAGGGCTGGTCATGTGGCGAGAAGAACAGACCACCGTTGGAAAGCCCGCATTACGTTTTGGACGCTCTGGGGACACACAAGGACCAAAACAGACTAAGAACGAGATGGAGGAACGACTTGGATAGTTTCATAAAACGCTGGCATCGTGTCGCGCAAAACGTGAACCAGTGGAGGTCAATGTGAAGGGCCTACGTCCAACCAAAGACATTCAACGGCAGAAACTGAGCTGAGCTGAGTCATAAGATTATTGACGATCAGGCGCAATGTGCAAGATGTTTTCACACGTGATTAGTGATTATTGGTCTTGAGCAGGTTTTAGAAAAACGCTTGGAAAACGTAGCTCAAAATCAAATCAGCAATGCTCGGTCAATAGGAAAGAATCACGGGCCTGCAAAGAATTTTAAGTTTTGCTGATCCCGCTTTGAAGCCAGGATGTGAAAAGAATGTGCTAGTCAGATCAAAACACCCTCTTAGTCTGTTCACATTTTGGAAATGGCTGTTACATTTGAATCATGATTAACTACTGAAATGTGATACTCATTTAAAAATATTGATTAAGTAAACGTCTATTAAAATTTGCAGTCCATATTGATAATATCCATCTGAATTTTGTGTATGTATTTAATTTAATTGCGGCAAGATGATGATAATAATAATGATAATAATAATAGTAATAATAATAATAATAATAATAATAATAATTATACTACTACATAAAAAATTTCTGCAATTTGCTTGGCTTAGAGCAGTGGTGTTTCAGCTTAATTTGAAATACCCACATGTAAAAATTACAAACCTTTTGCAGGTAGTAGTATAAACAAATAATAGTATGATTTGTACGTGATATTCGTCATAAATACCACTTGTGATACTTCAAAATTGTCTCAAATTTCACTCGCCTAATGGCTCGTGAAATTACGTAAAACAATTTTGAAATATCACTCGTGGTATTTATGCCAAATATCACTACAAATCATGCTATTACCTATACTAATAATAATACGTAATAATAATAAATAGATGGTCCCAAAAAACCACCCCAAGAGGCAGAGGACACGAGGCGTCTCATCAGGCTTTGAACTGGAACAAGAGAAAGTCGATCCTGATTGGATCTCCCCCAGCCCCACCCACCCCTCCCTTATTTTTTCCCCACAATACTGCTTCCTCTTTCTTGTCTTGTTTTTTTGAAATATCCAAAAATGAATGTAAGCCTGGTAAAACACAGCACAAAAAGTTCAGTGCCTTTAACTCGTCGGGTCGAATTTAAATTGCCATCAACAAGTTATTACTGTACATACTTGTTCCACTGATTATGACCAGTTGGCTGATCCAGGGAAATCATTTTGGTGAGATTTTGCTGGCTTTCTGTACTGCTCATCCACAATTCCCCGCTTTGTGAGCCAGACATATAGAAAGTGTAGTTACCGGTCTCCGGAGCAACGAAGTAGCCTTTCACCTTACTACCGTAATCTTTGTCAATGTCAAAAGGAGAGTCGAAGTTTTCAATAATCTCCACAAGTGAAGGGTCGTTAGGGTAGTAGGGATCGTCTTTGAGTTGACTGATTGATTTTCCGGCGAGTTCTTTCCAGACTTCGCGTATAAGTCCTGGGTATGGCATCTCTGTTGAAAATGAGTCAGTTCGTTACAGCATTAGTTTAGTATAGTTTATCGATGTTTGTCGGATAATGTTATTACTTACATACAAGGAAAAGAAAAAACAAAACAAACAAAAAAAATTATATTAACAACAACAACAAAACAAAAAACCTAATAAACAAACGAAGACGCACACACAAAAGTACGCTGACAGGAGAAGAAAAAAAAAAGGCTCCCAATTTACTTTCAACCCCTACAATTTCTAAAACGTCCTTGATATTTTGTCCTGTTACCCATTAAAGGAAAAAAATAGAAAAAAAATACTTTTTAGCGGTAGCACAATAATAGGTAACCCAGTAGTTTTCTTTTTGGCCTACAAATAAGGACAAATACTTAAATAATTTATTCAATTTTGAGAAGACAAGAGATTTATAATCAAACAATAAAAACAAACAACAAAGTAAACATAAATAAAGAAATGAATAGAATAACTACAGTCCTAAAAACAAGAATAAAGAAAAGCAAAATACTACTCAACTTAAAGAATAAATACTTGAAACAAACATAACAGTAAGTTTAGACTTCCACCTGAATTGAGGCAACTAGTTGGAATTTGAAAAGCTTGGCCTAGGAGATGGCCTCGGGACCACCGAGAAAAAAAATCCATCAAGCCGACAGGGCAGGCATCGAATTTGGGGCCTACGAATTGCATTCCAGCACTCTAAGCGCTCGGCCAAGCTGCCTCACAAAGGCATGATGCACTGGGATCAATGTTGTTTTTGTTATTGTTTGACAATCTTCGGCTCAATTGGAAAATATATTACACAGTACTTACTTTTGCCACCAAACACTTTCTCGACATCTTTCTTCTCAAGAAATCTTGGAAAGACCGCCAGAGAGCCAATGGAAAACTCTGCTGGGGAGACGTCGGGTCCAACGTTTTTACGACCAACAACAAAATCTGCACTCTCGGCTACCACATCACGTGGTACACTCTTGGGTGTCTTTGTCCAACCTCGGAACTGACTGTCTGTGTAAAGCCACAGTCCGTCAGACAGACTCCAGCTCAGTACAACACGCTGCCATCTGGGTGCGAAACACAACCATGACAATCATGAAAATCACGGAATTCGATAAACAACAATTGATAAACAACTATTGGACCCTAAACGAATATCAATCAACTCCTCTAATATTAGCACCAAGCATGAAGCGTATCACACTCGAACTTGATAAGTGATAAAAAGTATTCACACTAGAGACGCACTATCCGTCCGAGACGTTTTGTCCGTTGGCTAATTCGCGTTAAACAGATAATAAGTCTTAATCTGAAAATGGAACGGTCTTGACTTTTAATGCACTATCCGTCTGATTTTATCCATCTGTTTTTCCGTCAGTTTTGGCGAATTTTGAAGATGGATTATCCGACACAGACGGATAATTAGTCTCTAGTGTGAAAACGGCCACTACTTTTTTGTCAGGTCAAGCGTACACCCATACATTTTTATCAAACATCGTTGAATTCGATAGTCGTTGCCGCGACGCCTGATACTGAGAATCTATGAGGATGCTTTGACCGTGAAAATCTGTTCCTTTTTCATCTTTAAATTCTCTGGAACTATAACTGATTTTTGCTTTAGAGACAGAAACGTCACTGTCTTATAGTACGCAATAAAAATGAGCTAAGTTACCTGACAGTAAAAATAGAAGTTCTAACTGTCCAAGTCAGAGTGTCTTCATCGGTACTCATTGCGACGCTGAAGTACAAATTGTTGTTTAACAGATATGCAGACAGACCTTTGGTGCCTTTCTGGTGGCCACCAGAGTCAAGGATATAATGAGGTTCTTTATAGCTTCGCACAACCTTGAAGGTATACACATACAATCATATTAGAGTAAGACAAATACAGAGATCATAGCTGGGGAATCACGACCTTTCGGCGATTTTTACCCATTTACAAACTTATACACCTGGCTCCAGTTGTTCAAAAGTTGAATAGCGTTATGCTTTGGATAAATCACTATCCAGTGGATAAGGCAATTGGTCTTGGTACTACTTATCCGGTGGATATCGCTATCCAACTTTTGAACAACCAGGGCCAGGGGCCCGTTTCTCAAAAGTCCCTGGAGCCCTTCGGACCCGAAATGAAATATTCCACTCAAAATCTAAAAATCAGGAGAGCGGATCCTAGCTAACAAACCAGTCCATTTTGTTTTGCTAAGAGAGACTGATAGTTTTATCATGTTATCTGTAAAATAGAGTTAACTCTGTCATAGCGACCACTTCTCGTAAGCGACCACTTTGTAACGGGTTTTGTTTCTTACTCAAATACTGTTTCAAAAACTCTCTCGAAAGCGACCACTTCTCAGATTTCTTAAGCGACAGCGACCACTTTTAAGGCCAGAAATTTTTCTTTTTTTTTTTGTTTTGTGTTTCTGGTAAGCGACCACCACTCCCTCTAGAATACTAGAACGTCATAAAAGTTCAATTTTGTAGTCGCGCTGACCTAGATTACTGACAAACACATTGCAATAACAGTACAGAGTGTGCTTCCGAAAAAGAAAAAAAAAGGAGTTCGCAGTCTATCGGGGTTGCGAAGAGTTGTCCTCTGGAGTCACAAAGTGTCTGATATTCTCGTTGACTTGAGGCTCAAAGTAATGGAATATTCTAGACTTCATAAAGAAGCGTTGGAATGCGACTGAGTGATTGTAAAATGTAAATACTGTACAGCCTGAACTAGAGTGCAGGTAAGTATACGCACCCCAGGTTTCGCATATTTATCAGTTTTGTTAAGGTTTAATTTAAGTGATTCGTGATTAGTAAGGGACACATTTTAAACTGCATTGCACTTGTTACTCGTAAAAAGAACAAATTAGTTTCAGGCAGAGAAAACATTTTCTGTTTGCCAAATTTTAACTTATAAGGTGTTATCTTTAACTGATTGCGTTAATCAATTACGTTTGAGCTTATTTTTCTACTTTTTCCCATAGGCGACCATTTGCACCAAAGGTGGTCGCTTCATACCAACCTAATACTAAATAAAAAGAATACTCACCCTGTTAAATTTAAGCTTGCAGCTCAAACTGAGTCCATTAGGACACTTGGCAGGATCATGGAGACATTTGCCGTCAAAGTTTCCAACTTTAAGGTAGGATTCCTTGCCGTCCAAGTGCACCCCTCCATCAACTGCTCTAACTGGTCCATTTACCTCAATATCTGGACTACCGCTTAACTTCTGGTCATCAAGTATAGGTAGGAGCCACATGTAACGTGGAACAACTAAGGATATAAAAGAAAACAGCCCGCATTTTATAAGCTAGGGAAAAACGTCATTGCTGTAGGTAAAAGATTTCGGTTGATATAACGCGGCTGTTATACTTTTAAATCCGTAGGCAAGCCTGTAGCATACATTACGCTGACTTTCAAAATCCTTATTTACTATGCAAATCTTCTGCTTTACATCAATGATATTTAGTACTTTTGATCTCTCCAGTCATTGTCCGACCACAGGTAGGATTTCATCCAACATACGCAATTTTTAGTCGGAGATTGTCCAATGACCAACTATCATTTGCAGATTTGTGTAGATGAAATACTGAAACGTGAAATTTTTGTTAAGTAATGGTCCAGATAAGAAGTAAAGAACCAAACACAACGAACACGTCGGAAGGCAAAAAGATGCTAACTTTACTTTTGTCTCTACTACATTTCTGATTAGTTTAGACAGCAAATTTTACGAAATCTTCGCAAAGCAGCATGTATATTAATCCTTAGTTTTCTACCCAACCTCCTTATAACAAAATCTCTTCTGAATCTAAGTAACACAGAAATCCTATGAGAGGAACATGTAAAATTGTAAACTTGGCTATTTATTTCAACACCTATGATTGGTCGAAATCTTTTAACACAATGAAACACCCATTAAAAATGGAGTTTTTGAAAAAATATATTTAAAAATACATTTAAGTTCGTAAACTGCCTTTTTGTAGATTTATGCATTCTCCGTGTGAAAATGGAAACATTCTTCTGTGAGGAAAACGTATTGTGCCATTGCAAAAGAAATTGCTCCCCTTCTTACCCCGATCATTACTTAAGTATTGATCGAAGTGAACATCGATTTTAATTTTGCAATCGATACTGGACAGTAGAGTAGAGTAGAGTATTTGCAAGGAAATCCCAAGGTCCGGCTAGACATAGTCATGCCCAAATTGTTTTCGCCATCTTTAGCTCCCTCCTCTCCCTGCTCCTTTGGTGTCCAACATTTTTGGTTCCTTTTTTACCTTTTATAACGCCTGGAAAGAGCTTGAAAAACATTTTAAAAAGCTACATGTAATAAAATGATTAACCACTATGTTTTGCCCCCTCCGTCTGTGAGAAGGCATCAAACGCATCTACCATACACAAGCTCAGGGATACGAGACTTTATTGGCATCGCTGGATGATACTCACCAGTATTATCGAATGTAAACACATAAGGTACGTCCTCTGGTGCTAGAAAGCGGGTGAATGCGTACAAAGAACTGATGTACATTCTGTGGAATGAAGACATACAATTTCTTACTTTGTTGAACGCGATTAAATAAACTGTAAACCAGTGATGAGGGAAAAGCAACTAAACAGGAAATTAACAGCCTCACATGTACTTGGGAATACGTATACTTAACGGTACAAGAGTCAGGCAGGTCAGACATTTAGCAATTATTGAATGAGGTTGAGTGGGATGTGAAGAATTATGCAGATTGAGGAGGATGTTATCCACCGAGTCGGGTCATGTAGCAACTGCTCGGAAGAGAAGTCACCAATGCTGCGTTTCCCTGACCACAAACAATACTAAAACAATTGGAAGAATGACATGTCATTCATTTCTGCGACCAATCAGGAGAGATCTTACGGGCAGCTCCTACACTACCCATTCAGCCTCGGTGGATAACTTCCTCCGAGATCTGCATAATTCTTCACATCATACGAAAGCCGGCTGTAATAGTTGTGTTATCATTCATTCAAAATACTTCTACGTTCTTAATATGTTATCCTCCTCATAGGCTTTCTTCAAAACTTTGGCCTATTTCTCCGCACAGTTTTAGGATATAAACAGATGTTTTATCTTGCAGATACTCCTCAAAAAGTAGATAAAATCCATCGAGCAATATGTTTTGCGTATTCTTGCATTTCTTCCATTCTGTTTAAGTCAGAAGTTCAGCTATTCCGTCTTCGAATAGCCGTGAAAGCCATTTTTCAGTTCACTTTTGCCTAAGCAGCCTCGTTTCCAAGCAAATATACCATCGATCAGCCTCGTTTCCAATCAAATGTACCGTCGAATCGATGGTATATTGCTCGCCTCTTCCAAATATGGTAAGCGCCCGTCGGTTATGACGAATTAGCCGGAGGATTGGAGCCAACCAGTGACGACGAAATATTTTGAATGAATAATCAGTACATGGGGTATATTCGGAAAACAGTTTGTTGTCGTGTCGGAACATTACCTTGGCTCTCAATATTAGTATTAACTTGGCCCTCAGTATTGTTATTACCTTGTGTACTTGTAGGGCGGGTTTCCACTCTTTCTACCAATGGTAAGACGAGCTTGTTTGTTTGGCACCAGTCCTGTTTCTGTTCCTTCCTTTAGTGAGTCTCTGAATGCGCCATTAACATACAACATTAAACCCTCTTCTTTTTTCCAAGTCATGGCGATATCCTGCCACTCATTGGTCACCAGTTCCGTGAAAAGTTGCCATTCCTTGGTCGACGTTACAACCTGCACGACGCAATTATCACTGGATTAACGGTCAATGTACCATTACTTGTCCCTTCGAGATAGATTTGATACTGTTTAATATAATATGGCTGAATCCGCGAGTGGGCAAGATCAAGCGAATCCCGATGTTCTGATTTGCTACCCGAAAGGGCAAGGTGGGCGTATCTTAACCGCTCATTTCCCGCTTTGGTCCCGCAAGAAAAACGTTCTCTTGGCCATGTAAAAAATCCTTCATTGGCCAAGCCTGTTTGGTCAAGATGGCATCTTTTCTTTTGCGCTTTCGTTGACAACGACTTCGCCCCGGTCCATGAAAACGCAACAAAACACATGGCCAATATCCAATTATACGCTTGCTCGATAACGCACATAGATAAACCTTATAAAGATGTTGTAAGGGTTCTTACTACTTTAAACGTGTCCGTTTGTTCTTGTTCGAATTGGAATTTGGAAGTGTTAGGTTTTGAGGAGAGGGGAAAACAGGAGTGAAAGGAATTACAGTACATGAATACCCTTCTCTATCATTTATATGTTATACAAGACCTTATTCACTAGATTAGACAATGATAGCACGCACGCTAGAAATTTAAAATCCCAATCCATAAATTTGCGGTAAACGATAATCTAATTTAATGGCATCTTGCTTTTTAATGTATAACTCACTGAAACCCTGCAGCTACTGTACTCGGTTAATCAAACAGTTGCTTTCGGTATACAAACAGTGCTTGAAAACATCGTTCCATAAATTACCCAAAAGAAAACACTTTCTGTTTTTACCTTGTAAAAGAGAGAGCCATTTTGAATGAAAATTGACACGCCGCGCGAATTGCCACTGGAGTCCAAGATGTATCGTTTGTCTTTGTAGGACAAAGCATCGTCGTCAAAATTTAGCTGTAACAAAGAAACATACTTGTAAGAGTAACATATTTAACTGTCATTACGCTGCTACATCTCTTATATATAAACAAGTCAATGTATATAAGCAATATAGCAGCGTATTCTACGATATAATTGTGTCATTATAGATATACATCATGAACATTATCGTCTAGTTTAAAAAACATACTGCCATTTAAGAAAAGAGTCTTGCCTACCCACTTCTATGTTTCCGCAATAATCAACTGGAATAAGAATCTATGACACTTTGGCTTTCACCTATCACAATAGGAGTCCATAATCCAGATCACGAATAATACAATACGAGAAAATTTACTATTAAGCTTCCTTTTCAAAACGAGGCTAAGTGCGAAGCCTGCTGCGAGAACAATTTTTCACTCTCATGCAAAACAAAGCAATTTTGACATGAAAAGGTTTTGCATAACACGTTGAAAACAATTTTCCATGGTCTACACTTATTTCGACCATAGAATGACGTCAAAATGTTCGCACCTCAAGTGGAACGACGAACCGCAGGCCAACATTTTGACTTCCAGTCATTCCTGTTGTCGGTAAGAGTATAGACCATGAAAATTGTTGTTCAATTGTTTTTTTTGCAATAACATTGACAGTTTTTGACGACCATTTCCATTTTCATTTTCTTCATCAAGTCATTTCTATGGTTCATAATCTCCTAGATAATAGTTCTCGACCAATCAGCGCGCGAAAAATCGCTCTGTTAATTAAATAGACTTCTTTCATAATGGCCAACCATTTATTTTTTCGTTCATATGTAGATAAATGAACCTTTCTGTTTGGAAGTAAGAATTGTATTTTGCACATGCCAACGAAGACAGAAATGCTAATTATCATACATATAAAACAACATATTAATAGTCCGCCATTATGAAACGGCATGTTACACATTGCCATGTCAACAGACCACCCCAATCGTAACATTTCTCAGTCGATAAATGGTAACATTAGCAGTGAAATAAAAGGAAAAGATTGAAGAAACTTAGGTATTAAAGTTAAATGTTGTACCTGTAAAGCGAAGGAGAACCCCTTGATGCATAGGTCGGGATCCCCCAAGCACTGTCCATAGAAATCTCCTGCGTCAAGCCATGCGTCAACTCCATTCAGTTGAAGACCGCCGTCTTCTGCCTTGACATTACCGTGTGCAGCAATTGGGTTGGAACCGTGAATACGGCTGTCAGATATCTTTTGCACAGTCCACAAATACTGAGGAGTCACTGATAAGATAAAATAACACATGTGTATACAAATGACGAAGTGTTGCCATGACACAAATGAATGGCTAATCCTAAATGGGAACTGTGGAAGTGAAATGAAAAGACCACATATTTCTCGCAGTAATTTCGCTATTTACGACAGGTTTAAAATGTAAAATTCTGTGCATTTACAGGGTTCGTACATTTCTTCCCGTACAAAATTCAAGGACTTATCAAAGACTTTGATGGACCTAATTTATTACTTTTAACAAACGAAGAATATATTCCGATAATAATGGGATTTGTTCTAAATGGCATCCATTTTTATGAAAAATTCGTTTGTGAGTCCACACCTGACTTTCATTTAATCAATGCTGATTTTATTCCGTTGGCTTCAAACTGGTATTTGCCAAAGTTGTTGGAGGTTTGAAAATGTTGAAAATTCAAGGACTTTGAAGGACAAAAATGAATGAAGGAGAATTTCAAGGACTTGAAAAAGGATTCTAAAGCACAAGGGTTTTCAAGACGCGTATGAATCCTGATTTTACTCTACCTGAATGCCTTCCAAAAATCGTTACGCTAGTGTCAATGTCAGGATTCAGCAATGATTTGTTTGAGACAAATTTCTCAACCTCGTGAGTCAAAGTTGCGTCTACAATGCAAGATAAAAGGTACAATGAACATATGAGTGGCAGCTATTTAGACCAGAGTAAAGGTTAAATGTTTTAACAGAATTCCGACAATGCAGCCGTACAATCGACACTCTTCTTACGACCAGCTTCGAGGTCGGTCTCTGTACTGAAAATTTAACTCTCATAAGCGACCTCGACTACGTTTATGAATCACCAGCTGGTCTTTTCCTTTGTTTGTAAGATCTCGTAAGTGACCACTTGGTCAATAACTGAACAAAACCATTAACTATTTGATCAAATGTAAGGTTACACATAACTTAAGCGCTAATGGTTCGTTTACTTATCAACAATATAAACACAAGCGTTTTGCTAAAAGCTCTCGTAAGTGACCGCCTTCAGTAAATTGATTACATGGTCGTTTACGAGAGCTCATTCTCGTAACCGATCAGCTCCAGCTGCAACCACCTTTATGGATTCCCGAGGTGGTAGCTCACACCTCAGAGCTTTGACTATCGCTTATTACTTTTCCTTACCATTTAACGGATGATGTGGGCCTTTGGGACCTAAGAAAAAAAAGATAAGTTAAAAGGTTTATAATGGAAAATGCATTTAGCTTATCCAGCCAGTTTACAGGCACTCCACTCAAATAATTAGAAATGATTAATCCAAATACAACATAAGAAGATTAAAAACCCCAACTGGCAGGAGGCATTCAGTTGGCTATTTACAAGCGTGGCCAATCGAGGATTTGAACTTGGGAGTACCCGAGAACAAATTCAGCAAGTGGCCAGAGAGGGATTCGAATATCGGATTGCAAGTCAGAGGCGCCGATCACTCACACTATTTGCTTCTTTATAAAATGAGTTAGATTTGCCTAATCATCATTTTCGACAATTTTTTTTTTTTTCGAAGCAAGTGAGATTGCTGCACTGATGGCTGATAAGAGGCTGTGGAAAGATCTAGTGGTTGCCCGCCTTCGGGCGACCAAGTGAGTGTGTGTGAGTGAGTTGTTTTTACTAAGTGTATTGTGTTGGCAAAACATTTTTGAGCCAGCCTTCCATCAATAGATACATTGTCCACTACGGGCTTCATTCATAGATTTTTCTCTAATTGCTCTTAAGAAGACACAACTCTTTTAAGTCACCTTTGACTATAGTTTCGTTCTTGCCTTCTTATCAAGTGTAATGTGTTGGCCAAACATTTTTGAACCCGCTCTCTATCAATAAATACATTGTGTACTGAGAGCGTTACAACCTCGTTCCCAGGGTTCTCTCAGTCCCTTTTTCAAAGATCAATCACTACGTGCGCTTAAGAGGAGTAGCCTCCCACGCAGACGTTCTCACGCGTTCCGTCCCCACGAACATAGTTTGTGAAGAAGGAACGCGTTACGAAGCCCTAAGAACGTCTGCGTGCGAGGCTAAAGGAGAGAGATCTCATTTTGATCAAGGGGGCTATCAGTGTCACGAGGATATTTCTGTTATTAGGTCAGTTCTTTGCTTGAGGCTTTTATCTTGAACCATACACAAAATGCTCCTGTAGAGGTGGCGCAGGTAAAGCATTAAAACTTTTTTTCAAGGTTTTATCTATGTTCATCCTTGCTATCCGTAGCAATAGACGACCGGAAACAGTGTCAGTGCCTTAATATAGTCTTAAATAACAAATCTGGGCCATTAATGTTGGAATTCAATTGACGCAAAGTCACGATATAGGTTTTTCAAAGAGATAGCAATCAGCGAGTTTAAGGTGGACCCAACACAAGTTTGGTTTCAAGACCCTCTCTCAGTATAAACCTTATTCACGATACCCACCATCTTTGCAGGAGCTTAACGACTGATTGGATAAAAGCAATAGCACGTGGTTTCTCAGGTGGCAAACAAGAGATAAAAGTTGCCAATACGAGAAATCGCGGCCATTTTTGTTTATTCTAGAAGACAGAAAATGAAGAACTTTTTATCTTAAAGACGATAATGGCAAATTATGGTTGGAAGTGATCTTGATGAAGTGGTGACCATAACTGTCCTCACAGCAAGCAACAATGAAGTGAAACTTGTTAAAACTCGAACTGTGCATTTTGCAAGTCTAAAATTGCCGTACCATTTTAAGAGAATAAACACACTCGACCGCGGTTGGTCGTAATGGCAAATTTTAACACTTGTTTGTCCCCGGAAAACCACGTGACATTGCTTTTAACCCATCCATTCTAAAGCGCTTGCAAAGATGGCGGGTATCGTGAATGAAGTCTATTAAGAGAAGGAGAGTCTTAGGACCAATAATTTTTGAGTAAAAAAAAAGGTTTTGGAATAGAGGCCCGAAAAATGTAAATAGCGTATCGCACACTTACTTGGTTTCTTACAAATAAAACTATACTGGCTTTGACATGGCTCATCATGCCACCTTCCGGTGCTGGTCACTATTGCGCATGACACGCCGCCATTGTTTGGTGACTTATCGTCCCAGTTTGTGTAAGATGAAGTAGTACGATCGCTCCAGACCCAGTCACCCTCGTTATCGATGTCATTGTAACCAATCCAGAAGTCGGAATTAGAATAAACCTGACAAAGCATGACTCATGTTAATAGAATTTCTTTCAATGAAATAATATTTAAAATCTCGGCTAAAAGGAGGAGCACTTATTGGAAGGAGGGCGCTTAATTGACGGGGCGCTTCTTAAGTTTTCCTTTCAACGAAATGTAACTTTCATTTGAGCAAATCTTTAATAGAAGAACCAAAACGGTAATGCTGTTGGCTGGTACCAACAAGCGTTGTATCGGTATACACGTGCAAAAAAAATATTGATTACCGTAAAATTCCGAAAATAAGCCCCTCCATGTATAAGCCCCTCAAACTCGTAACGCAAAAAACCCTCCGTTAAATCGCCCCTCCGAATATAAGCCCCTGGGGGCTTGCACTTGGAAAGTGCCCTAAAATACAAAATAAAACAAGGCAAAAACGGTAGAGTAACATATAAATTTTTGTATTTGCCAAAGAGCTATTTCGTGTTTGCGAAGTGTTTGTAGTCAGAAAGTGTCACCGTTAATTGCTGTTTGCGTGGTTCCTCTTCACTCTTGGCTTTGATTTTCTCGGTCCATATGGACAAAGCACTTGAATGGCCACGCTTTAGAAAGGTCTACGTCCTCAAGGCGAGTTTCAGTAAAAACTTTCTCCAAATTACTGATATAAATTTCCTTTCAACTATAAGCTAGCCCAATAGATTTCCCTCCAAGTATAAGCCTAGCCGATTTTGAAACGCAAACTTCCCTCCGTTTATTAGCCCCTCCGAATATAAGCCCCTCCAAAAATAAGCCCCTCAAAAAGGGCCTTTGAAAAATATAAGCCCCGGGGCTTATTTTCGGAATTGTACGGTATTTGATCATCATCATCATCATCATCATCATCATCATATCATCAAATATCCTCATCAATAAAGTGGCAAAAGGCAGCTTTTATCCCCACTGTTTTAGAAAGTTAGCGGGGAGGGGAAGGGAGGGGCGCTTGTTCGATGTTTCGGTCTTGGGGATAGGCGATTATTCGAGGGAGGGTGCTTATTAGACTAGGAGCGTGGGCGCTTATTCAAGGAAATACGAACACTGAAAGGAACAAGTACTTTTTTTTGGAATTTATGCAACGTTCTCGCACTAAATTTCTGTTTGGCATACTTTTTTCAGTTTTCAAAAAGGAGAAATAATAATCAAGGAAAAAATAGCCATGCTAGTTTCCAACCTGTGAAATCATGGTTTCTTCATCATCACTAAGTATGCTGGCAAGCGATGCTTTCTGGTCCATACAAGACACAAGTGCGTGCTCCCACGTTTTCCTGTCTTTAAAGAGTTTGTAACATCCTTGGACTGAATTCAGAGTCAATTTCTTCCAGCCCTTATTACAATCTTTTAAAATAAAAGAAGACCATTAATTTGACACATGCTTACAAATAATTGGTGATAGTTTTCAGTGACACAGGCAACCCAAAAAACTATTCCTGGACAAGTGCGACTCCTCTTAGGAGAAGTTGGAATTTTTACGAGTCGCTCGTATCAATGACAGAAAAACAATCAATTTCATTTATTGTATCTCATTTATGTCATTGCTGACATAAAACAAGACGCTCTTTTAAAGCGTTAAGTCGATCTTGCTTGGAGATTAAATACGGAGTGAGGAGGCGATTTTATTCTTGGTGAGCCTGTGAGTGGGCGTGGAAGCCACGTGGGGGAGGAGAAAAAACTGCCAGCTCAGTAACAGGCTCAATTAAATACATACAACAAATTGAACCTGAAATAAAAAAAACAAACCTATTTTACGATAGAGTTCCAGGAATTGCTTCAAAACTTTGAGAAACGTAACGTCTCTTTTCACGGGTATTTAAATTCACTTGCATTCGAACTCTTCGCTTTCGTAATTAATACACCGGCTTTCTACACGAAACAGGATTTCCTCCCTACAAGTTTTTCACGTCCTACTTTATGAACGGTCGAGTATTCTTCCGGGTATTTACTTTTTATATCGTATATATTCGACGATTTGTTTCTGGATTGATTTAGTACGCGTGAAAAATACACGAATATCAATGGCCTCAATTCGAAATTGCATCATTGCCAAAGAGCTAAAAAGTGATGAACATGGCGTGTCATTCCAATCATCACGGACAATATGCATGCATGCATGCTTATCGCAAAACTCATTTGCATAGAATGGAAGTTTACAACACCCGACGGGTTTGCCTCATCATTGAAGTTTTTCTCATAAAGATTCTGCTTTTTTCGACTACTGAAATATTCACTTCTTCCAAAGTAATCAGCACTTTTAAGCGATAATATTCATAGACCGACCCGTTCCCGAAAAGCTCGACATATTTCGCTTCCAAAGCTTTCTTCACAAAACACGCAGGGCGCTGTGGAAAATTTTTAATACATTGTATGTTCTCAGTGACGTCACCATTCTTATTCCTAGTTTCTACGGTCTCCGCTAGGAACGCCTAGGTCCATGATCCCCTTTTCTGGCCTAAATACGACGGAAAAAATGGCTTGCCCATTACGAGTCTCGCTGCTACGCAAGCTCGACTACAAATGAAAGTACGATGATGTTTAAGAAAACATTCGTTGTTTGAAAGATCTCCGTCGCCGTTTTCCTTCGGTGACCCAGTTACTCAAAAAGAAAAGAAATTTATCTCAAACACATTCCTCTTTGGTATATATGTTGTGGTTCAACGTTCTTCTTGGTTGAAATTTTATTTTCCTTTGTTTTAAGGTTAGTGGTAATGTATGATTAAAAGACTGAAACAAAGGGAAATAAGGCTTACACCAAGGATAAAAATGAACCACAAAATAAACCTGATTCAATAAAGGTTGCTTTGGGAAATTGCACATTGGAAAGCTATTATTTGGTGGTCACTCAAGTAAATCTTTGAAGTGAGTTCGGTACGCCCAAATGTGCAATTCGCCATTTGCACATCTCCCAGAATTGTTTTTCCTCCAAAATGTTGCATAGGCATTGTTTTCAATTTCTCCTGGGACGACTGTAATACCCAGTAGAAATTGAAAACAAAGGATATACAAAATTTTGGGGGGCAAACAAAATGTATTGTGGGAGATATGCAAATGATGAGTGCCCAATAACCAATGACAATTTACCAAAGCAACCTTTCAGGTTTCTTAATCTACTTACCTTCAACATTTTTCTTGCAAAGATATTCATGCGTCTGGGAACATGACGCATCCTTCCATTTACCCTCTTGGGAATTTAGCAAGACACAGTCTCTCCCCTTCCCATTATCATTTTTCGCGCTGCTGTCCCAGTTCGTGAACACAGACAGACTGGAGTCACTCCAAGACCACGTCCCGTCGCGGGATTGGTCCCGATATCCCAACCAAGACTCGATGTTTGTAAAGTTTTCAAGAAAACGTTGTTCATAAGCGTTGGTGACGCTGAAAAGTTCGCCTCCAAGGCTCTTACATGTTTGATGTGCGTTATCCCAAGTTTTATGTTCAAAAATTTCTTGGTAACAGAAGGAGCCAAAGTCACCTAAAGCCCCTGTCCAACCAGCGCCACACTGAAGGTCTAAAAACAAGTGCATTCATTTACATTAGGTTTTTATCTCTCGTCGCTTCTGATTGAATACCATTTCGTTCCTTTTCCTCTTTCTTAAAACCTCATTCTCTTTCGTTTTTTCTTCCATTTTTGTTTCCACATAATTACAAAAACGTAACATATTTCGATAGATAATGTAAGATTCTACTTAAATCACGCTAAGACTAGCATTTTTTGGCTTAATACCCCGAAAATTAATATTAGCTAATAAGAAGTTGTTAATGTTGATGTTGCTATTCTCGGTACTGGAAATAAAACAAGAATATTTTCATAACAAGAGATATTCCACAATTCGTAGCGTTCGTTATATTACCACCATCCTTCCTATTGTCTGCATTTGTGCTTTCACTGTATTGTTTTCAAAACTAACAAAAAATAAACCTAAAAGATATCTGGTCTCTCAAGAAATGGGCCCCTGAATTTACTGATTGTCGTGCTTCAAACCGAGATCTTCGTTAACTTTGTTTTTAAAATCAGCTGCCCCACGTTGCCACTGTCACATATTTGTTCGCAAAGAAAAACGCTACGTTAGGATTAGCAAAAGAGAAACGATTATACAAGACCCCTTTACGTACAAGATATCTATCTGTATTTGTATGCTTTTTGTAAGTCTATGGAAATTTGTAAAGCTGCAAAGTAAGCAATGATAAGCAGCAAATTAATTGTAATGGTTGAAAGAGTACGTGTGTGGGTGTTTGGTGCCAGTGTGTGTTTACGTAGATGAGTGTATTTTGCTTGAGTGGACACTGCTGTAACTATTGTCTGCATAGCCATCTGTTCGGTTGCATAAAGAATACAACACATCAATTAGTTATAATTTATTGTCAGTAGCTCCTCAGTATCTAACCTGGTTTAGGTCGAATCAAGTTCTTCTTTCCAATATTGGGATTTGGATTGGTATTTTGCCCTGTCCCTTGGTTTAGCTGATCCTCTTGTTGCCCCTCTGGTGGGAGTGGTATTGGATAGGGTAGGGGGTAGGGGCAAAACTCGTTTCCTTCACATGGCTTTGGAGTCTATAAATACATATCGACGTCAATTGAAAGTATACACACAATTATAAACTTTCTACCAGAATTTGGTCGAAATAGGCCTCAGAAAAGTTACTTAAGGGGTAATTAACAACCACCCTTGGCCAGTTACCGCAATAGAACAGAAAATGCAAAAACAAACATTACTAAATATAATCGCATTTTTTTAGCTGAACGAATACTTGATGTTTCTTATGCCTCAACATACATCTCCAGAACTGAGAAGCTGAGTCGTAATAACTTGATTACCGGTCCTAACGGAAACAGTGAGTTAATTTTCTTTCCCGCCAATTTCATTGTTTCCCAAAGCGTAGCCGGATGAAAAACTGAGATTGGAGAGAAAATAGCTAATTTCCTGGGGTACCAGTCATTAAGGCTATGTTCATACTACGTACCGGATAGCTTTCATTGCCGGATCCAGACCTCGAGATAAGGGGGTGCCCGGTCATCCAGACCCTTAGATAGGGAAGGGGGTCTCAAATGTTTTTTTGGCCCTTCGGGCCTCAGTTTGGTCTAAAAATAAGGAGGGGGCGGCCCTCAGGGCCCCTCCCCTGGATCCGCCACTGGCTTTTCGTAGCGCCACAAAAACCAATCTGGTATGACTCTCCGCTTTAGAAATCGGCGCGGTGCAGCTTTGCTCCGTCACAGAAATCGCGCCGCCACAACCGTTCCTGTGTGTGAACAGAAGCCTTATCCGGTATGGTTTTCACGGCGACGCAAAAGCGCTCCGGTACAGTATGAACATAGCGTAAGTGATTCATTAAATTATAGCCCAAGATAGTCCATTCTCTCATGTTATTTTAGCGTCTACTGAAACTACTAAAGCCTGGTTTTCACCAGCGCATGAGCATAAGCATAAGGACATACGAACGCGCAGAATGGTATTTTTCACTCAATTCTCGATGCCAGCTCTCCTCAACCCCATGATAAACAAGATGGCGGACGCTTCGTCCGCCATATTGCTTTTTATATGTTCGCATGAGGTCTGGGTCAAAGTGGCCTATGATTAGACCTCGTTTTCACCAGTCAAAGCTACGAATAAGCATAAGTACAAGCACAAGAAGAACCAACTTGTCCGTTTTCCTTGTGCTAATGCTTATGTCAACCCAGTTTTCACTTGCTTACATATGTGCTTGTAGTTATGCTTAATCTTATGCTAATGCGTCAGTGAAAACCAGGCTTATTAACGAAACAAAGAAAGAAAAAATATATAGACAATAATAATAATAATAATAATAATAAACAAAAAATAAAACACACAGACACACACACCTCGTTATGACGACGGGTAGGGTTCGAGGCTGGTCGTATTAACGGGGTTTTACGGTAAGTATCTACTTTATAAGTAGAGTACAAAATAATTTTGCCTTGCGATAGTATGTATAGTATTTTACGAACCTTTTACAGGAAAACTGTGGAGATTATGGAATATGTCACGGTATCGTATGACATGGTATGGTATGATATGAACTGGTAATGCGGGGTCTGGCATATATTCTTACTTTCGTGTTTTTACGTATTGATCGCGGGATTTCCAAACGTTATAGTTCAAGAACTATCAAGTAAAGCGGCTTCCTACGAGTCATTGAAAAAGTTCAATGAATGGAACTCTAATGCGGACCGAAAAGTGCTGAAAGCTAATTGTCTTACAGTTTTACGAGAATCTCCCTTCTTCCACAATGCTGTCAACTGAGGCGCTGAGTCTGTTTCTGGATCCACCAACAAGTTGCTGTCAAACGGCTGGCGCTGTTCCTGCGGCCCTTGCAGCTGCTGAATGAAATTGTGACGATAAAAGGGGACAGGCCAGAAAATATTGTTTAAGATTTTTCAAGTTTTCTTTAAGTACATCATTTTGTTTCGTGCCCTGAGACTAAGAACCAATCAGATATAGACATTGTCAACTGCCCACAGGTAAGTATCTGGTAAAACTACCTTCGTTTGGTTTTGAGTCGAACAAAAAATATCAAATTGAATCTTGCTATTTAACTTGCTAAGAAGAACATCCTAATTAGACAACTAAGTATACGACGTTTGCTAATATAAGTTTTTTTTGGCCGACGGATTTCCCTCGCGTTCTCTCTTGCGACGTTAAAATGAATAAAACTGTATTTGTATTTAATTTGATCTTACAGTGTAGCCAGCGCTGTTTTTATCAATTGGATCATTCTGACCTCCTTCTGGTGGCAGTGGGATTGGATACGGGTTTCCACCCTCCGGGAACCATTGGCGAGCTACCGCTTGCTGTTGACATTACAGGTTAACGCAATTTACACGAGAGAAACATAGAAATAACAGTAGGAAATATGTATCTTTCCTTTCTTCCAACAGTTAATCGGACTTGCCCTGACTTCTTCAGGGAATATAACTACATCATTGGCGGGTGAAGTAATTAATTATTTTCGTCCCCTGGAGCGCCCCAACCCACGGGTTGATCTGCGTCGAGTCTGCATCCTCTCGTGGTCTCTACGCTTATTGGTCGCATTACAGTGGCCTTGCAGCTCTTCAGAAACAGTAATTTAATTGGCCTTCACGGGTTGCTGCTGTTTTGTTTTAGGGCTAGGTTCAATTGTTAACTTGCGGGTTGTTCATTGTTTTCCCAACTAATCCCGTGAGGTGTTCCGAGAGCTGCAAGGTCGCCCATGGTATTAGCTTTCAACTGCTTTAGTTATTGGGGTTTGGGGCATTGTCTGGGTTCTCTGTCTGTCACTTCATGAACAAATCATAGCCCTCGCTGCACACGGTGCAGATCGCCTCAAACCTTCTCCAGCGTACATAGACCACACGCCCATCACACCAACAGTACAAATGCAAGTAAACACCAAAATTTTATCCGACGAGCATTAAGTTCCAGTCTAATTAACATAAGTGTTGCGACGCCACACGCAAAGTTCAGAAAATATGACAAACACGAGAGACAGTATTTTAACACTTATTAAAAACCGAACCAAGAAGAGGGTTGAATATACGACAAATAGCGCAGTTTTGTTTACAATCAAAATTCGAGGAGTTTGATATAAGTCCTCAAGCAAAATGATTCGGAACAACAAGAGAAAGGATGCAAAAACCGAGAAGTTTTGTGTGTTTATCAGATATCCAGTGAACACCGCTGGGAGCACAATTCCCTTTGTCTTTTGAAATATTAGCGAGTTTGATAACTCAGTCATCTATTGGAATTTTCAGGAAAAATCCGTTATATTCCCTCAAAAAAACCAGGCAGCCTCACGAAATATTACATGAAGGAATGTATACATATTATCCCACTATATTGTCAGCCTTACTTCATCGCTGAATTCAAACATAAATCACAAACCAAACATACCACGGATACAAAACTGAAAGCACTTGTACGTTAAATTAGTCGGTAAGTGTATCGACTCCTTGAAAAGGTTAATAGTTACGTTGTCGAGGCGAAAAGGTTGATGTTATGATTATGAGTGATGGTGACTGTGTATGTGAGATAAAAGATGGAAAAGGTTTACTTTTTGTTATTCAAATATTAATTATAAGATTACTAGTCAATAATATAATTAACATTTTAAATCCATATCTATATTATTAGCAATAATTAGCTAATTTAACCTTTAACGGCTGAGATTACTTTATTACAAGGAAGATAAGTTACAGGGATTTGTCTAGTTACTGTAGGTAATAAAATACAATATGTAGGTAATACAATAAAGTCATTTGATTAGACGGGTGATTCATGTTTCTTCTATGGCACGTCCACAAGAGGCCGTTTAATGTCCTAAACGCAGAAGAACCAATCTTGTTCGGTGATGATAGCTGAATGTTCAATAATCAATAATGCATACTTGTTTCATATTAGGGAGCCTAGGTATCTTGAGCAGTGGTTTTGCCCAAAAGTTCGGAAAAATTGCCTCTATAAGAGTAAAGACACTTAATAACACATATTTGGTATTAACATTTTAACAGGGAAGAGGCCTCACTTTCGGTTAGACGTGCGTCGCTCAAAACCGCCTTTAAGCTCCCTATATATCTATATCCCCATATATCTTGCAGGATCGTTGTTGACTCATCTGTGAAGATGGGCGTCGTCGATGAGTGCCAGAAAACGACTGTTGCCGTGAATACAACGACTGATAGTAGCGCCAGGTTGTAAAACGTTATCGCAACCTTACGTAACTTTGGAGTTGAGACAAAGACTTGAAAGAACACGACAATTATTGACTGGGAGATACTGCTCCATTAAAACACCCATAAGATCCAGACGTCATATTTAACATCTGCCCAATCTGAGTAAAAGCTATTAGGGAGCTTAAGCCTCGTTTTTAGCGACGAACGTTAATCGGAAGAGAGACCTTTTCCTTTTAATATGCCTTGATGATTCCAAATTTGAATTGCTAAGTGTCTTTTTCTCTTATAGAGACGATTTAGCCCAAAATATGGGAAAAACCACTTCCCACGAATGCAAATATCCCACTTTCAGTTGACGTGCGTCTTTTTGCTTAAGTTCGCTATCGTTCTTAAGCATCCACATTATTAGAAATTTGGAACAGCCCTAATCATACCTGGGGGTATTTTGGCGGGCCCACTGGGTAAAACTGAGCGAGCTGCGACGATGGTAGAAATCCACGAGCCGAGGCATCAGAACCGGCCTTAAAGGAGGAAAGGAGGTGCATTGAGGGAGAATTACAATAAAAAATTTATATTATCTTATTTTCCCAACATTTTTTACAGTTGCAGTAACTTACCAATAGCAAAACAAAAAACCAAAAATGGTAAAAGAATTCACAGCAATTCAGACGGTGAGAGAGAGCCTTTTTATGATATGACTGATATGACGTCACATCCGCCATGTTGATGTCCAAAAACAATGAAAAGGCGGCCATGTTTGTGTCCCAAACCAGTCCTGTGGGAGCTGAACTTGTTTTCTTACGTAAACGCTTTCCGTTGTCATAGTAAATTTGCATTTGTGAGTGAAAACCCTGTATACACTTTATGTGGATATCGGAAACGGAAATATCTCGCATCACAGAATTTATGCAATTTCTCCTTGACAAAACTAAACTCAAAGCATGGAGCAAAAAAAAGAGGTCAACGCTTTATCCATAGAGGAAGTACGTGCAGTAAGCTGCGCTAACAAGTTGCAGGTAAATTGAAGCAAATGATACAAATATAACATATCAGGATTAAAAACCAACTGGCATTTACAAGGACGGCTTTGGATTTGAACTCAGGAGGACCAAGAAACAACTCCGGCTGGTCGTAGGCGCGGAACTCAAATCCCGGGGAGCCGGATTGCGAGTCCGACACGCTGACCACTCGGCCATGCAGTCCACTTAAAGCAAACATAAAAAGATACCTTTGGTGTTTCATGATAGCTGTTCCTTCCCTTGTCTCCATGGTAACCTTGGTTCTCTTGCTCTCCCTCAGGGGGGATGGTGAAGGGATATATCGGGGGTGCGGGTTTCGAGTAAGTCCTTGTTTGACCTGTTTGAGGTAGATTTCCTGACGTGTAAAAGTTGATTATAACAGTCAAATCAGCCAGCATCGCCAAGGTTTCTGTTAGTTTACTTTTATCTTCCTTAGCTGATTTTTAGTGGTTAGCAGTTAATTTATTTTTATAACATAGCGCGCGTGCTTACCCTATATAAGTCCTATTGAGCCGCTATGAACAAAATCTTTATTTACGCACGCCCGTACCTGGTTGCAAAGGTGTCGTCTTTTAAGCTGCTGTGCGGTTTTCGTTCTCTTTAAAATATGGAAGAAACCAGCGAAGAACACCCCAATTTTTCTATCGGCATTGACCTTTTAGGTCCTGATCCAACAAGCAGCAAAAATAAAGCCGAATTAAAAAAACACTCGCAAGTTGCGCGTTTCGCAAATTTGTCGGAAGACCAGCTGCAGCAAATTTTGGCCAAAAGACATTCACTGGGAACAGAACAGACACCAACTGGTCATCAACATCATTTAAAGGTAAAATTTCCGTTTTTATTGTTGTTTTTAAATTTGTTATGCACTTTTGTTATCTTCGGACAATCCGACTGAAGCAGTAAAATTTCTCTCGCAATAACAACATAAATTACAGTATGTGGTCCTTGGTCCGCAACTTTTCTGAAAATGATGAAATATTTCTTGGAGCAACAAAATACGGTGAATAATGAAAGATATCGTGATTTACTGATTAACATTCTTTCATACGACGAAGTCTCGGCTTTCTTGTTGTTGGTGAAGACGCGAAATTAAAGTTTGTTGACAGGTAGGTTAATTTGTCTTTCTTGAAGTTCGGATTTTTGCGGCACCGTAAATTACATGGTCATGTTTACTTCAGGGGCACCCAACGAGAATATAGTTCAAAACCACATAAACATAGCATTGTTGAACGTACTTTAGTATTTAAACGGTAGATAAAGGCTTATTTTTATGCCCTAAAAATTTTCCATCTGTTCGGATTTCCTAGCTGAAAGTATAGTGATCCGAAAATTATAGGGATCAAAATTTACCTTTTCGAAAATTTCAGGAAGAAAAAAGGCTCCCGAAAATTCTAGGTGACCTTTTTAGGGTAAAAATCCGTTAAAAATGGGCAATTATACGATTTTTTTGAAGTTCGAAAATCTTAGGAGAGGCAGGCAAGCGAGAAATTTTTCAGAAAATGATCCGAAAATTCTAGACCTCAAATCGTCTTCCGAACAGATAATTTTCCGAAAATTGTCGTTGGGTGCCCCTGTTACTTAGCCTGCGAATAGATGGTTTTCACAGTGACGTCATCAAATTGTAAAGTCAAAATAGCGAGGATTTACGAATTCTTATGTACACTAAGTCGAAGATAAACAAAAAGTGAATCTTTGTACAAGTTTCCATTCCCGAAGCATGTTTCATTTCGAAAGTACAGCAATTTGAACTTCTGAGTTTTCACAGTGCGTGACATCAAAATAGGAATGCTGTCTCGTTGAAAAAAAGTCTCTCCTTTTGATTTTCAGTAGTATAACCATTTCAAGTATTAGAAGATATGTTTATGCGCACGTACGCTTCTAGTTATCGAGAGAAAAGAAAGAGCTTTTATCGGACAAGTGAACTTCAGATGTTTTTATCGATTTCCGGCGGCCATATTGGTGCACCAAAACGGTGCACCAATATGGCGTCACCATACAAAGCTCTACAAAGGTGCGTGAAACGTTTCGGCAATTAACTCAAAAACTGCGAGCCAAACAGACCTGAGACTTGGAAAAATTGTTTAAAAATTAGTCCTTTGTAACACTTCATTTTCTTGGCTTCTTCCACTGGACGGTTTCCAGTTTATTTTTTTGTTGCGTGACAGTGAAAACGATCAATAAATAAAACGCAACGGGAAGACGTGCTTTTTTGCCGAACGGGTTCTCAGATCAACTTATTTCTGCGGTTGGAAGCATGTTGCTGTAGACTCTGAATTTTTTGTTTCACCGACTCTTGAAAAATATCACCAAATTTCGCTTAGCGATCTTTGGTCGGCGACCTATGACCTTGGTTGAATAAAACTTCCCAAAATAAAAAGCGACAGCCTTTGTTTTATGAAGAATGTTTTGAAAATCGTCCCTATTACATGTCTACAAGTTCTCCTTTTTTAATACCTCGAATACATACAGAGTTTTTGGTAATTATTTTCGACCGCGCTGAAAACCGCTCGTCGACGCTCGTGTGGGAGACCGGAGGAGACTGTTGTCTGAAGTCTTTGAAAGAAAAGCAGATTATTTTATACTCACAACATCTTCCGAAAAAAACTTTAGCTTAATTACATCAAGAAAAGAAAAAAAAATACATGAAATAGTGTGAAAATCACGATTTCGCGTGGAAACTATAAAATTTTTACGTTTTTTTTCGTGCTGCTTGCCTGAGACGCGGACCAAGGACCACATTCGCGGACCAAGGACCATCGAAAACGGTCGCCTTTTTTCGAATTCTAAGCAAAATATTTATGTCTGGAACTTTAAACCTCAGGATTATCGAGAGGAACATAAAAGCTATATTTAGGGAGTATTTCAGCTCGTCACGTGAAGATTTGGGTAAGATATTCAAGATAATGACTTTTAGACTAGGACTAAGGACCGCATACTGTACACAAGAAGACATAAATTTATTACTCACAAAAACAACTGCTGCCAGGTCTTCTCAAGAAGCCGTAATGACCAGCCAATGTTCGTAAATGTATATGAGTTTAAAGAAGGATGACAGTCGTCATGAGTCGTCTCCGCTAAAAACATGTTTTCTGGATTTCGCCGAGCAAAACGTAAACGTGTTTTCAGCAAATCCAAACCATACTCCACGACTTCTTACGAACATGTCAGCTGACATGTTAGTATTTTAACTTTAGGTGAACTTTAAGACTCTTTTAACCTTTGTTTCTGCTTAGTTTCCATTGATCGTTAACGAATAAAGAAGGAAATTTTCTTTCTCAGTTTTACCGAAAGAATATTTTCATTCAAACTAGACGATTATGGCGTGTTCGTAATAAGCCAATAGAACCGTTTGTTATTGTGTAGCGCGTTACGAGAATTTTGCAGTTAACCAAAAAGCAAGCATTTTTGTCAGTTATGTTATAAAAGAATTTGCTCATGCTTTTAGCTGTGCGTATATCGAGTTATGGATGCACTTGGGAAGTTTGGAGAGCACTCAAGAAGCTAGGGTTGCACTCGGCTATTGCCTCGTGCAACTCTTACGCATCTTTCGTGCTCTCCAAACTTCCCGCGTGCATCCATAACTCGAAATACGCACGCTAAGCATGAACAAATTCTTAAATCTAGAAACGTTTGCACAAGACTCTAACACACAGCCTATCGATATAGTGTTCGTTTTATCCAAGTAAAGCTTTTTATCCCAACCATGGCAAAAGAATTACATAGCTTAAAGGAATAGGCCATTTCCGAGTTCCCCCGGGCCTCTGTATCAAAACGAGGTTAGGTGCTCAACCCTTCTTGTGGAAATGAGTTCTATTTGCTTGAGAAAGAAAAATCATTTCCATATCAAAGGTTGAGCACCTAACCTCGTTTGATACATTGGCCCGGGGGAACTCGGAAATGGCTCAGTATGCAGGGATTAGGTCAAGCGAATTGCTGACTCACGACTCAACATGTGCCTTAAGCTACAATATTCAAGAATGGTGGTAAATGTGGTGTAAATGTAGCTTATGCGTTTCAATAAAAACAGCTATGCAGCCTCGTACCAAATGGTCCTCGTCGAGTTCGGATGCGACGTCGCCCGTCAAGCATGTCGGCTGAATAGACTTCATTCACGAAACCCGCCATCTTTCCACGCGCTTGAGGATTGATGGAATAAAAGCAATGTCACGAAGTTTCTCAGGTGGCAAACAAGTGATAAAAAAATACCAATACAAGAAATCGCTGTCGTGTTTGTTTATTCTTGACGACAGAAAGTGAAGAACATTTTATCTTAAAAACAAAAATGGTGAATTATGGGTAAAAGTGATTCGGTTGTATTAGCGACCGTACATGTCATCACAACAAGAAATAATGACGTAAAACTTGTCGAGACTTGAACTGTACATTTTGCAAGACTATAAATATCGTCTCGTTTTTAGAGAATAAAAAAACTCGCACGCGATTACTCATATTGGCAGATTTTATCTTTATTGTTTGCCCCTGGAATACCATGTGACATTGCTTTTCTCCCATCAATCATACAGCGCGTGCAAAGATGGCGCGTATCTCGAATAAAGTCTATTCGCCTGGGCCACGCTCGGTTCCAAGCCTTCTCCGCTTACCCGCATGACGCAAATTAACCTGTGGACGAGGCTGCAGCTATTTTATTTTTCTTTGCAACCTTAAGTTAATACAATGTGCCTTACCTTGGCTTGACAACGCATTTGCATCACTTCCGGTATACCTGGAGGTCTCAGGAGCAGCTAGCAAGTTATTGTGGTTGAGAGGCGGAAGTTCCTGGTGATTTAATGGCGGGAGAAGAGCCGCATGCTGATGGCTCATTTGCGGATACGCATGCTCAAGAGGGGGAGTCAAGGGAGGTTTACCAACGTAGCTCTGTAACATGTCACCTGGGTTAATAAGATATTGGTTAACATAGTTAGGCGAACTAGGTGAATTAAAGTCATTACTATAAGGAGGCTGGCTGGTCATGGAGACCCCACCATTGCCTATTTCGTTACCGTTTCTCTGTCGATTGTCAACTGTATTATACATTAAATTTAGACTAGTATTCACTGGGTTAGTTTTTACTTCATTAAATCTCAAGCTTTGGGCTTGTTGATTTACATTTGAGGTCAACTCATTAGATACTGGATTAGGCACCAGGCGCTGGAATTCGTCGTCAAGTTTTGGTTGATAATTTTGTACGTTTGATAAATAAGGCTGTCCCTGGGGTACGTACGGTCCTGAAGTAAACCTATTAGCCATCCAGTTTACCGCCACTTCTGGAGGATGCCAAGCGTGAGGCGTATTAGTTCTACTACTTAAAAGTTGGGACCTCGGACGTACATTATTAGTTGGTAAATTTAGCGTTGGGTTATATCGTTCGTCATGTGGATTGTAGGTTTTGTCTCGTGGTAATTGAATGTTGGGCGGACCAGGACTGGGAGCTTGAACTTGGAATCGCAGTCTCTCATCAAAGTTGTTCCTCGAAACCGGTTTTGGAACGTTTGCTCTTGTTTCAGCAAGAGCCTCTTCTAGGCCCTGCTCTAGTTTTCCTAGAGAGTCCACAATCTGCTCTTTCTCTTTTGCAATTTCTTGCTTTAGCGATGCTTTGTTATTTTTGACACTCGCATGATCCTTGTAATTTGTAGCTGGTTTGTCAAACATTTTGCCCGAGGGCGAATTCGTGGTGTGACGTAGTTCGTTCAGTTGGGAAGAAAAGGGGCGAAATTCTTGTGCTGGTTTCTTCTGCCAAACGCGGAGAAAATTCGCGAGTGGATCTTTGGCCGCCCCTATTGTTGATGGCAATGTGTTTTTTCTCAATTTAATGTTTCACGGTATCTGCTTATATGGAATCATGCCATTGGATTGCTGACCGAACGGACGTTTGTTTTTCAAAGCATTTAACAAGACGTTAGACGATTCTATGTTTCTAAAATCATTATCAAGAATCAAAACCGTTAAGTGTCAAAGTTGTGAAAAGAGTTAAGGTAGCATGAAGCATGAACGAATGCCATCGAATTTATCAAACTTCAACTCTTTTAACAACTTTGACACTTGACGGTTTACGTTATTGATAACGACGTTAGAAAGAACGAAACGTCGTATAACGTTACACTATACTTCAATTTTTTGGAACAAACTTTTTTCCCGTGGATTTGTTTTCCTTTTGGGGCTTTCCGAATACCACTTCCGAGATTGAAAAACGTATATTTTAAGCGCACTGGAGTTCCACAAAATAGGTCAGTAAATTCACCTACTATTTTTCTCTGGGCGTTATCTCTATTTAGGCTTATCGAAGCACTGAGAACTAATAAATTAACAGAAACTGATTAAAACTTATCAACGATAATTCGCTGTTTTTCTTTTCACACATAAGAGAAATTATACTTTCAAAATAAACCACGTGTTGTACCTTGAGATTCCTTATTCTCGAACAACGCTGAAGAGGTTGATTTTGTCTTGCCTTGCGACATTCGATCCGCATCTAGAAGTTTTTGATGTTCCTCCTCGTCATTATAAGCGGACGGAACAGAATCTTTTGACTGAGCATTTTCATAGGATTCTGTCGATGCTAGTTCGGTATCGATTTTAGAACTGTTAATGGTTTGCTTATTGTCGGCAGCTACATACGGCTGTTGGTCAATGAATTCTTTTCCTTGAACGACAGGTTTCGTTGAGTAGTAGTAATTCTTAAGCGAATCAGTTTCCTCGTCTGATTGTTCTTCGCTAGGCTGAAGTAAATTGGACTTCGCAGTGTCAGCATTGTAAAGTTTTTCTTCGGAATCTTTTAACACCGAATAAGAGTGTAAAGGAAATTCTGTAAGAGGTTGCTTACCCTTATTGCTGAAATCGTTGTTTGTCTGTGATGTGAAGGCTGATAACGCATCCACGCTTGCTGCAGATTCCTTTTCAAAATCGTCTAAACTTGGAGCGTTTTTCGCTTGCTCAACGCCATGCAATAAGGGCGGCAATACTCCCGCCTGCTCATTTGCATGATTCAAGGGCGGAAGTCTGTTGGTTTCGATTCCGTGATTAAGGGGTGGAAGGTTCTCTGCTTGTTCTGTGCCATGATTCAAAGGGGGAAGGCTATGAAAACTCTGTACAGCATCATTACCATGGTTTAATGGAGGGAGACTTGCTGCTTGCTCAATTCCATGCATCAGTGGAGGCAAATTTTCCGCTTCTTCTTTAGCGTGATTCAGTGGAGGCAGACTTGACGCTGTCTCCACGTTGTGATTAAGCGGAGGCAAAGCGCCCGCCATTTCAGTACCATAGTTCAGCGGCGGTAGGTTCTGCGCAGGCTCAGTTAGATGGTTTAGTGGTGGCAGGTTTGAAGCTGAATTTGAGGCGGGAATCTTTCCATTTGCGATTCCTTTTTCCGTGGCCGGAGGGTTGTTTCCTATGACATGAATTCAAAACAAGAAAATCCTAAAGAGCAGTTAAGATTGATAGTGAAACATTCAACTGTCATACCAAGAACCTACACAGAAGAAAGAATATCAAAAGTAGATTGAATTTTTTTAATGACCCCTACCTTCACTACAATCAGTATCATTGACGTTATTGTCCTCCTCCTCATCAGTATCATTATCATCATCATAACAGACTTGATAACTATTTGGTCATCCATAATTCTGTATCAATCACGTACCTCAATTTTTCAATCGTTCTGTCGCATTTACTAATGAGTCTGTTCATTAGTCGAAATACGGTATCGGTATAAACTTAATCACTTATAATTACACCCAAGGAATGAACTGAGACCAAGATTATTAAAATTTCAAAGCGGGAGACATTCCTTTCTGCTAAAACTACACGTGTTATGTACAGAGAGATTAACTCTGTTAATGCATGTTTGAATTTGACCTGTTACCATCCCCTCAGAACACACCATCCCCCCCCCGGGGGATTTGTATTTGTTTTTCTTTCTTGCTGGTCTATTCCCCGCCCTCCTACCCTGGGACAGCACCGCTTCAAACAATTCCCCACCACCCGGACCTGAAGGGCTGGATTTGTCCCGGGGGTTGCCCGAGGGGATGGCAACAAGTCAAACTGAACCCGACGGCTATCTACGGGACCCGACAACTGTGTTCTGTAAATTATCTGTTCGGAGAAGCAAATGTTGCCTAGAATTTTTTATTATTTGAGGATGGCTAAAATTCCTAGATGACCGTTCTATTCACGTACAATTTTCGAAGCTTACCTAATAAATTCTCTCCGATTTTTTGAAGTTTATTTTATTTTTTATATTTCACACCCAAGTTAGGCAAAAAGGGAACCTTAAATGTTTTGATTCAAAATGCAAACAAGAGAGGAATTCACTTTCGCAATGGCCTCAATTGCATCTAAAATTTTCAGGAAAATAATACTGAAGCCAAGTTCCTCTAGGATGACCAAACAGATACAAATTTTATAGCGCCGCTTAGAATGCATTTCTAGGGGTCTAAAAATACTCTGGGTAGCCTGAAAAGTGTTTTCAATGTATTTGGGAGAAAACCATCGTTGGGTGCCGGTGAACCATGCATAACTTACCAGTGGCCTTTGAAACTTCTGCCCGACTTGCCGCAGTTGCGTCTGGCACAATGCCGGAATTTCCTCCACTTGGGATTTTTCCGGAGATCTGTACTTCTGGATTAAAAAAATTGTCGATGGGCTCATCGTTGAGTTTTACTTCCGGGTTTGAAGTGATCTGTGAGTTTAGCGATGCAAATAATGGATCAGCGGAATGTTGATTCTCAGAGATTATCTTGGGGCTTGTGAGCGCCTCATTGATTGACGCTGCTGCTGTTTCAGTGTTGTCTCCAAGTAAATTGCTCCTCCCTGTGAAAAGATTAAGATGAAATCCATCAGGAAATTGAGTAATTTTTATTTTCAGTGGACAAAAACCTTGTACCAGAAACAATATCACATTCTTTTTTACATTTTTCAAAGGCTATAGATGTAATTAGTTATCTGTAATAACACCAAAGAAAATTGTTATGAGAGCCCGAGCAAATAAATGTCAAATTTCACAAAATGACACCTTACACACGAAATTGTCAGAATTTTACCTGTGTTTTCACAATTCTTGTGAAATTTGACATTTATTTTCTCAGGCTCCCATGAGAAATAGTCTTTGGTGTTATTACAGATAACTAATTATATCTATAGAAAAGAATGCGATATTGTTTAAGTAATTTAGACAATATCGCAATATCTTCTTATTCTGGTAGAAGGTTTTTGTCCCCTGAAATTGAAATTACTCAATTTCCTGATGGATTCCGTCTTAAAAATGTTTTTTTGATGTTGCAAAGGTGATCATTTTTTTTTGTCAACTTGTGTAAAATATTCGTGCAATGGTGCAGGTAAAACCTGAGACAGAGGAGAGACACTACGATGCCATCTACAATAGTGTAAAAAAATCAGGTTTTCCATCTAAAACAGTTGGATATGTGCTCAAAATCCAATAATGCAGTCTGCAGTAAGCATTTAATTAAGACAAGAATCAGTTCGAAAGAGAATTTTGAGCTACAAAAAGCAGGAAAGTATTACAGCAGGAAACAAAAAACACTTCAAATGAGTTTCTTCAAGTGAAAAAGGCATCTATCGATTTCAAACATAAAGGTAAATCATTACAGTCATTAGTTTCGGGAACGAGAACCACTATGAAATTTAACTTGAGGCTTTTTCACATCTTTTCAAAAAATAGACACCCGGCCTGGAAAGCATCATTGTACTTTTTTTTTAACCAGAAAAAGTTAGCATGGTTATTTTCTGGCTGAGAAAAACTGTGTCATGTGACCATGGAGAATTACATGCTCAAATGTCACTAAGGTCATTGACTTGATGGTTTAACTTAAGCATTCATAGTATGGCACAAAACATGAGATTAGTAGAGCCACTGAATCAAAGCTTTAGCAACTTAACAAGTTATTTACTGGAAGTCACCCCTCCCCAATAAAGAGTTGGAAGAAAATAAATTTGTTTCTTACAGAAACTATATGTCTTAACCTGCCTTCCTGCATCACAGTTAAAGACTACTACACAAGCCAAACTCATAACACAACTTTTTTAGTGAAATTTAAGGCAAATTTTTTGTCATTTCTGTAATTTTTACAAGTGGTTCAGAAACCAGTTTTATTTAGATTTACAAAAGTTAGTCTTGGTCTAAACCCATCATGAAAAGTTAAAAGGAAAAGAAACTTTCTTTCAGTGAGTGAATGGTAATAAAGGCAAAAAGGCCTAGAAAAACTCTTTTAGTTATTTGAAAGCTAATGTAAACTACGTGTTTTGTGTGATCAATGCGACAATTAATAGGTTGAGGGAACGGTTCTATCATGATTAGAAAATACTCATGTTTAGCTCCTCGGTTGTTTGTTTGTCTTTTACTATTTAAAATACCTTCAAAAATAAGAAAGGTACTATTAAAATTATAGTCTATAAATCTGTCATTGAGATTAATCAGATTGATGATTGCATTAAATACAATGAATGATGATTGCATTAACCACAATGAAGGGTGCTTCACACATAGATTTCTTATAAATATGGCATTTGCAGCTTATTTACTGGAAAATGCAATTCTGGTGTTGTTTTAGAGTGGGACATTTGTACACTTTTTTTAAGCCCAACCATGGGGATTTTGAATGAACTACCTGGCCTGACTGTGGGGCATTTGCAGCTTTTCCAAAAAAAAGAAAAAAAAAATAGAAATGCTCAAAAAATGTCTGTGGGGGAGGGTGGTGGGCATCCTTGACTGAAGGCGCTTTCCAAACGTCAAAACTGGCCGGGAAGACCATGGCTGCACCAGACATTTCGGCAATGAAACAGACTTTTTCCAAGAGGTTTTGCTGAAAAACCATATCCTTAGCTTTGTGCATAACATTTATGATGAGAATGGGCTGGCCTGTGAATTTTGACAAATGGAAAGCGCTCTGAAGCACAAGAGAAGCATAGAATTTATATCTAACAATGTCAAATTGTTTACTTACAAATGTTCAGGTATTGAACAACATCTCCAGAAACGGTTTTAAAAACCTTTCCAGGATGACGTTTCTCACTGCGTATCTTATATAACATTAGCTTATTGAAAACAGAAAATCACAGGTTCTTTTACCGGGTGTTAACTGTAACGTGAACGCACGAAAACATTGCAGCAGGAAATATAAATCGTTCTCGAGAGTGTTAGGTTCTTTAACCTACCAGTGATATCCCCTGTACAGAAGACGGTGAACCTGAAGATACCAGTGAAAGCTCACAGACCGAGAAACCGAGCACAAGCGACTACCGTACATGCACTGAACACAGGTGCTTGTTTTGCCGCCATCTTGTTTGTTATGCTTAGCGGCCGCTCAGTCAGTTGTCCGCTGACTGTAATGACTGTCCGCTTAGGAAAATTGCACATTTCAGGAGGGTGCCTAGGCCAGGGTACAATCCCTCAGGGTAAACAGAACTTGAGGTTTCAAGGGGAAAGTGTTCAGAGAAGTTTGATTTTTTAAAATCATATTTTACCTGGTAAGACACCTGATCGAGACACGCCTGGTCTGGCCAGTATTGCGGGTTGCGGGACGGGATTGCTCATTGCGGGATTTTTGGTTACCTGACCCGTAACCAAGTTTGAAGTGCCAGAGGGAACGCTGTTCATCTTGATTTCTGAATTAAAAAGGTGAAAAATCTTAGAAAAACACGGTGTTAGTAAAACAGGTGTTAGTATTACTGTGTGAGAATTAGCAAGTTTATAGCAATTTCTATTTTCTATGTTAGTCCTGTTTACTTTATAAAGTGAAAAAAACACGAGGTGTATAAAGAAGATAAAATGCACAAGTTTTAAACAATAGTAAGTTACTTCATAATTTAATTTGATTAATTTTGATCAATTCGATGTGAACAAAATTACTTCGTGTTATATTAAATTTAAGGTTTGTTAGTCGAATTTATGTGAGTCGATACAAAGGAGGACTCAAGGAGACCTACCTCTCAGTTTACTTTCCTTTTTTTAAATAAAAATATTTTTTATCATATGTTACTGGCAGCATTAACAAACATGACAAGCAGTTGTGTCGACGTTTAAAAGCCCAACATAGTTTATTCAAAAGTAAATCAATTACCAATAAAACGAAACCACCCCCCAGCCCATATTTAGCCTGCTGATTTTTCAATCAATGGTTAGTAAAATTCTCTTTTTGATTATCTCAGATTATTGGTCTGTCTATGCGTCAGAATGTTTTAAACGTATTGGTCAGTCTGTGATTGAACATGCCCTAACCTTCCTGTACTTGTTTATACAGTTCATCCTTCTTCTGAGCCATGCCGGGAACGATCTTGCGCAGCGACAATGGAAAAGACCCTGGAAGCGGTGCATGATGGGACACCACCCTTAACCTAGTTCCCACAATGCTTTGTGGGATGGTGTTTTTAGAATCAGCGGAAGTAGAGTTGCTTCGCTGCCCCGTAAGACGTGCAAATATACCTAACGCAAGTCAGGAGCATCATGCATAAATCAGTTAAAAGAGTTAGGTAATTATTAAATGTTATTTTAATGCTTTAAGGTTTTATCTTTATAATTAATGAGTGCTCATCAGATATGCGTAGAATTCCCTAATTCAAAAAGGGACCCTCAGAAAGACAGTTATTTAAGCTTCTTCCTGTTAACGCATTAACTGACTTGAAAATGGCAACCTGTTTTGACGAAAGTGTGTACACGATCGGTCGGTCACGATTTCTTTTTTCTAGTCGTGTAAGAGGAATCAGCACACAAATTAATCTCCATCAACGACGTCGTTGACATTATTTTCTTCACACAATGTATAATACGACAAAATTATCAGATTCTCTTTTTGTGATCATTGTGATATCTGGAAAAATCCTAAGTGCCGATAAGTGTCATCAGCCTCAGCCAACTAGACCTAGATTATTCTGGATACCACAAAACCTCAACCTATAATTTTGCAGTAATAGTGGTTGCCATTCCCGTGATTTCAGAGGCGGTTAGAAATTGCAGACAATTGTGCATGTGAGCTATTCCTTAGTGCTCTTTACAGTTAATGACCTAGACGGAGCTTACTGGATAATTTAACCGTTAAAGACGAAATGTTAACTTAACATTAAATGTTAAGGTTGCTCACAACGCTTTACAGCATTTTTCTAATTCTTTGATGGATCAGTACTACCCCCTTTTTCCAGCGATGCTAAGGTAACGTCTTCCGAAAAAAACCAGTTATTAAAGAAAACATTATCATGGTTATTTTCATGACGGCAAATGTTTTAAAGCAGCAGTGTAACTGTAGTTAAAACCCTCCAAATATTTTGATAGGCCCGTTACAATAAGAAATGTTTGCCAATTTAAAAAAAAATCTTCATAGTTGTTGCATTTCCTTGAAAAGCTGGCTTTAAGCCCACTCATTTTTTGAACCCAAATTATTTTTTAAATGGGTTAATCTTCGCACCCTGATTAAAATTCCATAATAAGAAAAGGAAAAGAAGTCGCCGAAAATGAGTGGCTTTTAATTGAGTATACTGTTGCATTGGTAACTTGCAACGTCCGAAAAATTCTATAACTTGTAGCCGTAACATCGATCCACCTCGATTTAGCGCTGAAACACGTTGGCAACTGTTACCAGCCACCATAAGAACTTGATTAAGTAAATAAAATGACAATTTTGGACAGCAGGTTATTGATCTTTTCTTAATGTGGATAAGTTCAGTGATTTTAAACAATGCTCCGTACTCGGCCTTGATTTCTTGAAAGCACGCGCTCAACCTGAATCTTAGATTTGGTAAGAAACGAGCTGCTAATTTTTATTGGATGCCCTTGAGAAACCTCCCTTTGGATTTGTTCATTCCTTTTTACGTGGGTAGAAAATTGTAAAAGATTCTTTTGAACGACGACTTTTTAAAATCATTTGTTGTTAGAGCAAAGTAAAAAGTAAGAGTCCCCACCTAGGCCTTTTTTAGTTTTAATTAACAAGGTAAAATTGCTCATACAACAGTAAGCGGTAATTAATTCCCAATAGTTACCATTTAAAATGGTTAGACTTTGTGTAACAGTAACAAAGTACGATCAAGGTTAAAGGGTGATTACGTAGTATGTTACGAGTTACTGTTTTAAGAAAACCATCGATACCACTATTTTCTATCTTATAGAGTAATGGCTGTCTGTAATAATTGTCCTATGGGTTATCAGGTAAGAATAATGTCACGTTTACGTCACTGAGTGGGAAAAGAAGAAACTCATAGAGTGTAGTATCCCTTAGAAACCACAAAGTAAAAGACCGACCAGAGATTTTACAGTGTTACTGCCCCAAGGAAGAGTAAGTTGAAAGAAAAGGAGGAAAGGAAAGAAAAGAATAAGAATGTTGTCGTTGTCCGTTGTTCTTTGGTGACCTGTTTTCAAAACACTTAACATAGAAATGGAAGTTAGGTTGCCAGTATTAATGTCTTAATATTGTGCGATTTTGCATCAGTCAAAATTTGATTTTATCTGGTGCCTAGTTGTCTCAAACAGAAGATATATTATCATTGTGCACCCAAAAAACAAAGGATATCAAGAATATTTTATTTTTCACCGTCTTCTGGGAGAAAAAATATCAAGTCATGGCCTTCACATTACGGCGACCAAACAGAAAAGCCCTTCAGACCACTCATGAACAAACACCGTTAAAACCTTTACCAGCATCTTAATCAAGCATTGAATAACCGCCAATTACCAAATAATTACAAGAAATTTCAAGTTGTCTGATGAGTTGAAACGTCCCAATAATTTATGAACGAGTAATTAAATTTTACGAAGAGCAATCAAGGCCCTACTGTTAACAGCAAAAACCATTCTATAGAATCCCTCTAGGACCCGGCTTTAATTTGAGAGAAACGTGACGTGGCTTATTAGCAAGGCTTTACGGAAAAGATCAGAGATTAACGAAACTAACTACATGAGCTATTAACTGTGAAACCGCTGAGCTAAGAAAAAGTGTCACAATATTTTCTTTAGCTAAGTATCACTTTAAATAAATAGATTTTACATAGTTAATGTTTATTTGGTACCAATAGTGGTGATTATAGAGGCTTAGAAATGGGTTGCACTTTGCACTCTCTGTTGGTCAATGAGCCTGGTAAAAATGCTCTCTCCATATAAATATAGGGTGACACCGTTTGATAACTACTATAATAGGTTCAAAGGAGAGCTCCATCGTTACAACAAATTCAAGTAAAATTGCTGGAAATAAAGTCTTATTAACATTATCATTACAGCAAAAAGAACAAACTTTTGATGTACAAAGAGTTTGTTATACATATGGTAACTTTTTTAAAAGACGATATTCCCAATAAACTGTGGATTTGTTGTAATAGTGGTCTGGTAAAAAACAAATCGACTTCACTGTTATTTCGCTTGTCGACGATTACCAACCTGCTGGGCTTGAAAAAGACATAAGGCAGCAAATATATAACTTAACAGAAAAAGTGCAAGAATCAAAATTCTAGATACCCTAACATTTTAAAATGAATTTTAAAAATCCCTCTATGCTCTCAGTTCATCATATACAACATCAACTGAATTCTACCGCCACTGTGGTTTTAATTTATTGGAGGTAACAATTTGATACTTTTCGAGGAACATCAATAGGATAAAGTCCAGGGCATACCTTTTATTTAGTTTCTATGAAACGACTTACATGGGCAGATAAAAAAAGGAATTCAACTCAAATAACACAAACCTAGCGCTTTATTTCACATTTTTACAAACACCACCTGAAATTGCAACCGTGTATCTACAAGCACATTGTGTAAAAAGAAGAAGAAATACTGCTAACTAAACCTGTTAGTTGGGTAGCTAGGACATTTAAGTGAAAGAATAATTTGCTAATCGAAAACCAATTAGTTAAATACTATACGGGAGGTATACTGATGAGGTTACAATTTATTTACAATGTAGCTAGAATCTGTACAAACTGAGCCATGGTTTAACGGTTTGTAAAACCATTCTAATAATCCATCTGGCTGCAACCATAACGATGAATTTCGAAATCACTATTTATCCATTTTAGAATAAAAACTCAGCATTTCTGTCATCTCAAGGAAATTATGCTGCCAATTGTTGATCTAAACAAAAACGACACGCTTGATTCCGTAGTCAAAACGATGATAACCATATGGCAACAATGTAACATTAATAACCTATCTTACGAAACAGGAAAAAGACGAAACTAGGATTATAGGTTGTACGCTGCAGTGCATAAAATGGATAACAGAAAAGAACAAGAAAAACAAAAACAAAAACAGAATTGAGGCTTCTGAACGTATAATAAGAAACTTAACTTACTCAAACTTTTTTAGGTTGTACTGGCTGACGAGCACCTATTTAGACATGATACGCGGGAGTCCCTGATAACCCACGTGACACACCCACGCCTCAATGCGATGCGTGGGTGCATCAGAAAAACAATGAAAGATGGTCAGGCCAGGAACATCCTGGCCTTTATAATCCTACTATTTATCACAGAACGTCCTCAAATCACACATTGTTTATTTCGCGCCAGGAGTCCATTAGCTGAAACTGTCAATGCCTAGATAAATTTTGTGCACATTTTGGCAACCCTAAGAGTTCACGTAAACCAATTATGTCCCGTCTACACAAGAAAATGTTTCGTAAATTTTCCGTTATTATCATTTTTAATTACGTACTTATTAAGGCCAAAAATGAGAGCGAAGATTTGTTTGAGAAGAAAGCGATAGGGCGGATAAGGGAGCATGGTCGCCACTGTTAACCTTGAATACGTGACGAAAAGTGTACGCAAACAATTTTTCAATGTGATAATATTTATTTATCACGCAAAATTGATTTCGGCAAGTACGCAAGCATATAACACGCTCCAAGTTAAAGGCTCCTGTTAGACCCACATCAAGTACTTTTAAATTACCCACCTTAAACAACTGAATTGATAAACTTTGTACTAAACGGTGCCGAAGAGGCAAACGGAATTATCATTGTGTCGTAGTCACTACTTACAATAGACTTTAAGAAGATTTGTATGCGTATAAAATTTCTTCTTGTCCTGGGATTTAAATTAACATAACGTCATACAACTTTCACGTTATAGTTTTTTTCCCATGTTTGTGAGTGAAATAATCATCTAGCTATGTTATATAGTTACATTTTATGCAGGAATTATTCCTCGAAAATCAATTGGTTATCTAAGGGTATCCCACTATTTTTATTAAAAAGAAAGGGTGGTGATTTTAATTCAAAAATTATCATCAGGTCGGATCCCCTTATCTCCATGCACCAGTCTTTGTTGCAGTTATTTACTCGGACTACTATTTTTCATTGAAGAAACTGTTGATCTCGTCAAGTCGTGGTTGTCCGTCGTATACTGTATCGCTGACGGCGGCTAGCTAGCAAAGCTTGTTTTCTAACTCCATTGCGAGCCAAAGTTACTCGTCTTGGGGAAAATAACTTCGTAACTCTCTCAAGTTGCTTTCTTGCTCGCCTATTAGTTGTTAGGAAAATGAAGACCTAATGTTAGAGAAGTTTTTGTAACAATGCGAGCAGTTGAGAATATATCCTATTGTTGATATGTTGATAAGAAGAACAAACCGACTTCTCCAAATCGATGCCATGCAGACCAGGTCAGCCGGTTTTTGTTTGAGCATCTGACACAAGTCAAACGTTCGCTGGCTATGAACCTTGTGAGTGCTGGGGCGTGTTACGTTTTTCACCTTGCGAGCTATCCTTTCGCCAAGCATACAGTATACGTGGCGAACATGAGTTAGTGAACGGTCCGTCATTGTGTGCGAAATCAACGGTATTTATTTGTGTTTTGGATTTACCTAAGAAATAAATTAACCAGTTTTTGAGGTGATTTAAGAACACATAGAAAGAAACGAAAAAGTGATCCCAAGTGACAAGTGGGATTAAAAGAGTGAAAAAGAGGAGAAAAATGAAGACAAAGCTTATTTCTCAGAAAGGTAGAAGAAATGAATAAAAGTCCTAAAAGAGGTGATCAATGATGAGTTAATCAATAAAAGGAGATCTATACCATGTTTAGTAATTAGTTAAAGGCGAAGGTAGAGAAAAAAATAGTTCCCGCCAAAAACATTCTTGTTACTTTCGTGTTAAAATTGCTATTTGAGGATGAAAAGCACGGAGAAGTTGTACTATTCTTTTACAACGTCTACACGGCATTATTTACGGGTGTTTATAATTTGGAACAAAACTAACGCTTTATTTAACCGACCCACCGATAAAGGACTGATTTTTTTAAATCTTAAATTGGTTAATCACAAATCCTCCTCCGTTTCAGCCTGTGGATTCATATAAACAAAACTCTGGACACCCGCCTCGTCAAAGTAAAACCCAAACCTGACTCAGTTCGATCATCATATAACAACAAAACTGTTCGATACTAAAGCAAAACGATCCAGATCATCCATCCTTACCGAAATATCTCTCGAGAAATGATTTTAATGGCTTTGGGAAGAGAGAAAGAACAGGTGCAAGTGCTGCTTTGGACATTGTTGAAAGAAAGGACACCGTTTGGCAAAACAGAACCGCGAATGCGAAAGTCATGACTTGATATTGTTTACTTCGAGCACACCACTAACATCTATCGGAGAAGTCGCTTTTTCCTACTTATCAACAATACATAGTACACGTGTTCAGTACATCGTCAGTCTTATTAAGATCACATTTTCAATATTTTGGTTATTAGATTATCCCTTCCCACATGTACAAGATAATTAAGGAGCAATAATAGGCACAAAATAGCAATGATAATAGGTACATAATAAGCACAATAATAGGCACATCGTTTGTCAAAGCATTTCATTTCAAAACGAAACATCCAGGTACCCCTTGAAATGTTATAAGTATAAAGTTTAACCTTGCAGTTTTAGCCTCACATGAAATGACATACCTTGTTCCTGGGGTTGTTGACCAGCAAAAGTTTGGGTAATCTGACTTCCTGTTAGTAACAAAAAACGGAACATTAGAAAACTACCACTTGCGTAAAATGAAAAATATAAGGAGGTATGATCATCCCACGTACAGTATTTTTGTTGTTTTTTTAATTGACGCGAAAGGACGAAAATGTATATTATCAAAGAACGCGTGTTATGAGCAGTATGCACAATTTTCTTGCTATGAGCAAACGTGTATATCCTTATACGTCCTTATTCTTTTCGTTGACAACTTTGAACAATTGGCTAAATACGATCTGTACAAGGGTACGTAAATCGATCATTTCACGCTGCCAGTTACTTTGAAAACAGTATAATTTACACTCATTTTTATATTACCTAATTGCGCTTTTAGAAGTATAAAAGGCCCTTCTTTTGTGATCAAGTTAGGGAAGGAGGCATTCTGTATTGAAATCACTTAACTTACAAATAGTTGACAAATGCGCATATGCATTCCTAATTTGCTTGATCGCGAATTTGACAGGGCCAAACAGGTAAGATATCTCTGCAAAGTGTTCCTGCATTATAATCTCCGCCCATGCAATTTGAATTTCAATGAAGAATGCTATGTAACTTACTCGCAGAAACTCCATCATCAGGGTTTTGTGTCAAAGCCTCGCCTTGGGGTGTATACTGCTGAAAGACCGGTGAGACTGCTGAGTCTGCTTGCGTCATGTAAGACGCATCACTTGTCGCGTTTTGTTGCGGTATATCTGATCTAAATTGCGGCTGCTCAAGCCCCTGAGTGAATTGTGACTGCGAGTCGGGGAAGGCTGGCATAAAGGGCTGGTTCTGGCTGGCTATGAGACAAAATATGTTCGATTCAACTTGTACTTTGTCCCTAATGGCGAAAATGGACTACGAGCACAGTGTTCTTCCTAGGATATTTGAGCGGTAGAAGCTGCCCCCCCAAATATTTTTATCATTACGGTATATAAGTAACTATATCGAAAAAATCATCCAGACGCGACGAGGTCAGTGCACATGAAGTAAGTATTCCCTGTCTAAGGACACTATATAACAAGGAACATGGAGTATTCTTATTTTTAAAATAAAATACCACTGTAACATTTCTGAAAATGGTCTCAAAATGCAAAAGATTGCATCTCAGCGCATATTCATTTCAAAAAATTTCCGGGGGGGCATGCCTTTGGCCACTAGGGACTTCTCCCCCAAACGATAAATCCTAGACAAAACCCTGCAACAGATCCAGTTGCATTCATTTTTTCCTATTTTTATTAACGGGGTAAAAGGTTGGGAAACACAATGAAAATCTTCTATGACCTCATACCAATAGGGAAACCTTTTACTCTGGATAAAGAATTACAAGACGATCAATTCAATTTGAATTTTTAATCTACCTACCTGGTATTGGAATTGAACTTTTCTTTTCTGCCAAAACATTCATGGAAGTGGATTGAGAATTCTTCCACAAGATCAGAGGATCTGAGTGACCAGCGTTTTTGAAATTAGAGGCGGTCTTTGAGCGAATGGGCTCCATTGATGCGCCTTCGCCCATGTTTCGCACATACTCGAAGGGGTCAACAATCTCAGACTTTTTGCTGTTGCTCTCAGTGGTCTTGTTTTGCGATTCTTGTGGTTTATCCTGAAGAACAGAGGGTTTAGATTAAAATTTGGATTAAACTTTATGCACGTTGATTTCGAGTTTTGCATATCAATCCAGTTGATCGATTTTGAATTGTGAATTGTCCCGACCATAAATGAGAGAGTCTACCATAGTCAAAGAGGTGTACTTTCACGGCTAAAAAAGAAACTTTGAAAGATGCAGCTCTCAGTATCATTTAAAAAACACTGAAGGAAGCTATGATAGCAATACCGTTAGTTAATCATTAATTTAATTACATATTAAAATAAATAAATGAATAAATATGTTATTAGCTGGTCTATATCTGCCTCCTCACCTCCTTAAAATCAGGGAGAGAGACGTCTATATACTCTGGTTGTTGAGGGGAGGAGGGAAAGTACATTTTACCGTGGTCAAATGAAAAAAATAGGCAAAAGCTAGGCAAAGTACTTCAAAGTTAAGATTGCTAACTTCACTGTTTACAGTTAAAGATATAACGAATACGGTAGTAAATTTAAGATAGGTTTTACCAGATCTACACTTAAAAGCGTTTGAAAACTGAAACTGTTGTTATCGTCGGCCCGAATTGCCAGCATATTTTTCCCCCTCAAACGCAAAGAATTCTCATTAGAACTAAAGAAGATCAATATTTTGAGAAAAATGATAAGGTGGCTACATAAGAAAAATTATTTTAAACATCCTTGCCCATGTTTCTATTCGATGGTAAATGGAAAACCAGTGAATAAAGCGTTCAAAAAAAAATCACAAGAAATAAATAAACAACACCTTCAACATTTGACTGCGGTGGGGACGTAAAGGCTAGTACAATAAATTAAAGACCTTAAGATTAATTAAGGTTTTTCGGCATTTCTTCCGAACCGCGAACATCAAGAAGTCACGTGACCAGGGCCTTGCCGTCAAGTTGGCGGTTTGAAGTTTATGTTTGTACGGCTAGACCACGCTTCAGAGGTGAGTGATTTACCGCAAGGTTTTTTGCACCCTAAAACATCACAATCCCATGTTTGAGAAGAAATACGACTATTTAGAACTCTTTTGCTTATTGATTATCGAATTCTATTTCAAAAAACGTAACTTTGAGGAAAGTTTCTCAGCTAAAATAGAAGTAAACGGATGAAGGAAAACAAATATGGCAGCCGCGAGCTACCGCCCGCAAATCTTAAGTCCCAAATATGGGCAGACGGGTTACGTGAAACCGTTAACCACAAACAGCAGTTTGTCGTTTGAAGTAAAATGACCAGAACTCGATCTTAAGGTCCGCATCATGTAATAGACGCCTGGGTCCGAGAGGAGGGCGGGGGGCGCTTATAGATAGAAGGCGTTTTAGAAAGGCGTTTATTCGCATAACTGTGACAAGCTCAACAAAAATTATATGCCTTCAGCGAAAATACCAAAAGAGTTTACAAACAAAGATATTTAGTCCACCCATTGATACTTGTGGGCCTTCTGGAGTTCTTTCGTGCATATCGCTCTCAGTCAAATCTCAATTCCGATGTCAGAATCCTCTTTCAGGGTCATCGTTAGCGTATTCTTACTCATTTCAAACTTGAAATTGAAAAAGATGTAATGTGCAAGCCCTTGGTATACATAATCAGCCAAGAAACTGAATAAATTGAATGATTTTGCTCCGTTTCACTGTTTCCTAGTATTATTGAGTAACTATAATGAAGGGCGTCTATTAGACACGGGGGGCGTCTAATACAAACTTAATATCGTAGGGGAGCGGTTATTGGACAAGAGGCGTTTATTTGTAGAGACGGTGTGTCAGTTAGATCATTTACGGTAAGTTATTAACGTTCCCTTAACTTCTATATCTATCACGGTATTTTCACCTGTTTTTCTGTCTCAATTGCAGTCGCATTCTTAGCTTCGTCTGCAGGAGATGTAACGGGTTGAATCTCCTCAGGTTGCTCGGCCTGAGCTGCCCCTTCATCGTCGCTTTGTGGCGGTTCTTCTCCAGGTGTGGCCATGATATCTGATCTTGCCATATTTGGTTGCTGCTGGTACTGGCCGTAAAAATCGGCCAAAGGCTCATTAAGTGCAGGGGCTTGTGGGTAATTATACGCGTAGCCATTATTGCCATATCCCAGCATGCCATAGTTGGGATCCATCGGATTAAAAACTGGCGTCGTATTGGGAATCATGTTTCGCTTTGATCCTTCGTCATACCTAAATAAGCAATCACGTACATTCTTTATACGGTTATAGTTTTTACATGTGATGAACATTTCATCTGTCGCGCATCTTTTTGTCTTGATTTTCGAACGTCACGCCAAGAGAAAAAAATTCAAATTATACCTTAAAGTTAAGCGGCAATAGAGCGCTTTCACTCACGTGGCCAGAATCTATGCTAATTTATTTGATCAAAAGAAAGTTTTTACATAAGAAAAGAATTCAACGCCCACAGGATTGTCTAGGTACACCAACATGGCCGCCGTTCCATTGTTTTGGAACACCAATATGGCCGCCGTGACGTCATCTGAAAACTGTTTCCCTAGTCTGGGTTCTCTTCTCCAAAATGCCTCTTGATTTTTCACGAAAATCTCTAACTTGTTGAGTCCGTATGGGCCACAGAACAAAGATATCGACCGTATTTCACAGACGTCACTAACCGGGGTTCGATCACGTCTGCGACACAGGCTATCCTTAAGCGCGCGCAAAGATGGCGCGTATCGTGAACATGGTATATATCAGTGTTCATCTCGAACTTACCCAATGGGAAATCCCATCTGCTGTAAAATGCCGGTAGCGGGTGGAAGCGGAATGTGGGACTTTTTCGCGAGTTCCTCTTCCTTCTGTTCGGCAGCTCCCTCGAGTGCCTCCCCGAGCATTTTAAGTGCAACACCACGGTACATGTTGACAGCCTTTGCTATCTCTTTCAGATCAATCTTTGGATATACTGATACTTGCGGAGCAGGGGGAGGGGGTCGTGGAATGGAGCTGTGTTTTTCGTTGAATCTGCTGACAGTCCCCGTCGCAAGATCTTTAGGGAGAAATATAAGCCTCATCACGTTGTTGCTAAGGTCACGTGGCATGGAGACCTCTCCATTATCCAATTCCTTAAAACATACTCTGTTTCCTCCCAAATTTAGAAGAAAATTTCATTTTTAAATGTCCCTGGGAGAACTGCTATTTCAAAACAATGACTTACGCAAAATTTCGGGGGCGAACAGAGCGTATTATGAGGGAATCGAAAAAAATCAAATCAAGAAATTCCCTTTGAAATACCTCATACAAAAATTTTTCGATGAAATCAACAATTGCAAGCTATAATAACAACAATTAAAGTACGTTACGCTTAGAAAAAAAAAACAATCTGCAGAATAAATTGTACGTCATAAGCCGTGTCACATCTAGGACTAGAAAACATTTTAAGGGCCATTTAAACTAGCCTCCCACGCGGGCATTTTACACAGGACTTGCATCTTACCTTCCTCGACTAAATGAAAATATTTATTCACTGGTATGAGGATTTTTTAGTTTGAACCAATGTAAAATTTAATAATGGTAATTGAACTGGAGTGGAGTACAATTTGGTCTGAGATCATACGTGTGACTGCGCGTGACTGCGCGTGACTGCGCGCGAGTGCGATTTGAAATCAAAAGTATGATTTCAGACCAAAATTGCGCAGTTCAATTACCACTTTATTATAGCCATTTTGAAATCGCAGAATTCAGTCAGTACCAATCTGATGGTACCTATCTGATGGCCAGTTTGTTAAAACATGGAAACAAAAAGCCTTTTACATCTCATTTTGTATTCGAAACAGAAATGATGCAATATAGAACAAAAATCAGAATGATGCGATTTACAACAGATGTGATTTAGAGCAAAAAATATTGGGATTCGTGAATAAATCACACTGATGAGAGCCAATCACATTGCAGGGATGGATATAATAAATACGGTAATTGTGTTTTTATACCTTCAGCCAGGTGACTCCCAGAGCCGGACCCAATCTCAGCAGCACCAGGGGTAGGCGATGAAGTATGAGAAACTGTCGCCTCCCCAGAGCCAGACGCCGCCGCCACGCCAGTTTGGACTTCATCCTTCTTTTGAGAGCCTGAGCCCATTTCACCACTCCCAGACGCCTCTGAAATGTCGTCATCAGAAGCGGATGATTCGTCTAGCTCGGGACTTTCCGAGCCTGATCCTGAACCGGAGCCAGCTGCAAACTTGGCCATTAAGACTTTGTGAATTGGCTGAGGAATTCCAGACTTTCTGGTTCCTGGCTCTTCTTCATCCTCTTCTAAACAGAGCAAAATAAAAGGCTGAATATTGGTGTTGTGCAAACTATTGTTGGTATTTCTTTTTTGTGTTATGGTGTGGTTATTGATCACTGTCTTTTCAATCTTTTTTCTTACGTCATTTGGTGATTTCACCCACATGCAACACTAAGAAACTATTCAAAACGTGGAATATTGCCGGCATTATATAGACCGAAAAAGGGTTTTAATTTCGGTTTGAGCACGGAAAGCGTCCTTTAGTCTGTTGGTTTTAAAATCATTTGCTGTGTTTCAGTTTTACTCCTGGATAAAGTTCTTTTTTCAGTAAGGGAATGTATGATCACGAGTTTTGACAAACGGAAATTAAAAATGAACGAAGGGTTAAATTACATGGTTTCTTCGGTACATTGAACCATTAAGATCGCCCTATAAGTCCAGACAGTTCCGCATGCATCTCAAAACAGGTGTTTTCATATGTTTTCATAGCACTGTCCTCTGGGTAAGTTAAGTGTTAGGGACACTTACTGCGTTATCCACTATGTAGATATTTATCTAATGGATAACCTTTTCCACCTTCTGAACAACCGGGGCCTTAGACGATTGCAACTATTAGGACAAACAGGTTGAACTTTAACGAAAAGTCACGCAATGTTAAGTTAGCAGTCTAGAGGGAACTGGGGAAGTGTCATTTTCATAAGCAATAGTTCTTACCATAGTCATCGTCGTCTTTCCAGTCACTTGAACCAGAACCGGACATTTCGTCAGCGTAATACAAACTGGTTGAACCTGATTCATCGTACCCTGATTCGGACTCTTCTTTCAGTTTTTTGGCCTCTGTAAATAGGGGGATCAAGTAAATTTCTGTCAATACGCCATTTCTAAGTTGCCCCAAGCCTCTTCTTTAAAGCGAGGCTAAGTGCAAAACCATTGATATAAAAATGATTGTTTCATCCTCAAGCAAATGCAACACACTTTGTCTTAGCCTAGTTTTGAAACAGAGAGATTTTGAAACCAGAAAAAGGGCTATTATCGTAAGAGGATGTGAATGTTTCCTGTTCATCATTTCATAGTTATTACGTAGTTGAATTGTGAATCGTTGTTATTCCCGACGACAGATTTCGACCTTGAATGAGTCATTTCAAACCAACTTATCTCTAATCGATGGATATATAACTTAAATATACTTTTATAATTTTACTAAAAATACATATATTTTTTGTTTTATTATAATAAACAAATAAACTATACGAGGGCTTCAGTACTATAAAAAAGAAAACAACCATAATAATTAAAATTGAACTACTGACAATTGGGGACGGATAACTATGAGATATTTTACTTGTGTCATCCAAAACTTACTTTCTTCTCTGCTTGTTTTTTTTTTTTTTTTTTTATAGCCAGATAAAGCAAATTTTCAACCAATCAGAAGCACTACCCAGATCTGGGTAGTGACGAGTCATCAGTATGGAATTTCTGCGCTCGTTACTCAGTCGTCATTTCGCGGAGAAACCAGTGGCGACGTCGCGTAAAGTCAGCTGTTTTCACATATCAGTTTTTTATTTTATTTTAGCGCTGTTATGAAAACCCTTACTAAAACAGTTGCAAGGAAAGTCAATCTTACCGCAAAACCCGCAGGACTTCTTGCACTGAATCTTCATAAGGTCAGTGTAATTGGTGCAGTAAAAGTTTTTTTTCATTTCGGGGCATGTTTCATACATATCTTCGCATTCATCTGGCGAAATAATATAAACAAGTAAGTAAACTGAATTACATTCAATTACAAAGCAAATGGCCCTGGATAAGAAGGGTCGATGACGAAACCGGTTCCAATACAACCCATAAATTGGCCATAAATCGGTTAGGAGATCACACAGGGGAGAAAAACCAAACAACTTAAGCAAGGTTAGTCCATTCTTATTTAAATCCTTTCACATTTGTAGGTTAGGGAAACAATTTCGAGTTTGGGATACCTGTGTTTAAATAACAAATAAATTATGTAAATTACACTGATAAAACATTACCGAATTTATAAACGCGCTATAACAAAGCAAATCCAGTATGCACCAATTGGCTTTTAGCCTTGACTTATGGCATTCACAAGGCGACGACATCTCTACTTCTTTGAAAATGAATGTCTGTCTTTACACCCAAATTGTAACTATCAAAAATCCTTGGTAGTTAAAAAAATAAACGTTTTATTTCTTTAAATGGAAGAGGGTTATAGCTTACCTTCCTCAAGCAGTGGCTTCTTTGCCTTAAGTCCCTGATAGACCGGAACAACCTGGGCACCCTGTGCAGGGATACCTGCCGTCTCCTGAGGCGTACCGGGAAACATTTCGTTGTTTATTGTTGAATCTGTATAAAAATCATAAAGGAAAATGAATTTTTCTTGGCTCATTTGTTATCTCGTATCTCGTTTCTAGTTTGAATAGTTAAAGAGTACAGTGGACCACTTACGTGGTGAGTTTCTGCATTAGGGCATTATTAGCCTTTTCCACGCGTTCAGACAGTGGAGAGATGCGAGGAGTAGAGAGCGGAGGGAGGAAAGCGGAAGAAAGGGAGAGAGAGAGACAGAGGGAGGGAGGCAGGTGGGTTCACTTATTTTGTCCTCTCTCTCCCATCCCCCACCCCCTCGATCGCTGTTTCCCTGGTCACTTTTCTTCGCGTTGTCCCCACTATCTGAACGCCTGGAACACGCTAGGGAATCACTTTATAAAGAATCATGTCTCTACTGCTTTAACAAACTGTTGTCGACTCATTTTCAAGCTAATAAGAGATCATATCTAACCTGCTTGATCCGCATATAGTTGCTATTCCCTAATCAAGGGTTAAATAAATTTCATTACTGGTGCCTCTGTCAAATTTATTTCCTAGCTTCGTTGCGTACGTTCAAAAGTTTGAGTCAGGAATTGCTTCAATTGAAAACTACCGCTACGTTGTCTGTGAACTACAACGTTGACGCAATAAAGAAGCACATACTTATCTGGGGCTTTAGGAAGTTCATTTTATTCCCCACAGCCAACCTTCAAGTAAAAACAACCTTTTATTTCTCGTATCGAAAAGGTAACAGTTACTCTTACTCATAGGAAACGCAGCTGCAACATTTTCGGATCCAGGCGCCTGCATATCAGATGGCGCGGGGGCTTGAGGCGCGAAGGCCTGCTCAGGGGCCTGGGGGACGCCACCCTGAACCTGATCAAGTGCTTGCTGTGGATTCTGACCTAAGGAGTTCGAATCTGTCAGGTTAACTGGGGCAAATTGTTGAGGGACAACAGCAGCCTGGGGAGAGGTTTGAGGTGGAGCCTGGAGTTGGTCGCCAAAGGGCATCTGCATTGGATTCACGGCTTGATTAACATCGAGATTTGGGGCCTGGGCTTGAGGAGGACCCTGAGGGTTTGTTGGGTCTTGTTGCTGCTGGGGCGTATTTAGCAGCGGTCGTAGCCCACCGGCATCAGTTAGCCCAGGCACCACTGACTTCTTTGAAGCTTGTTGGTTAGTCCCTAAATCATAAAGTGGTGCAACAGTGTTCATATAGTTAACTGCCTTTATAAGACGTATACTTTCCTTAAACGTACACCTGCAGTTATTCCCATTGTTACAGTGATACGGACATCCCCCCGTTTTGGGCAACCCCATTCCCAAAACCCTAGTGATATGGGCATCCCCTTCTCATATTACCTTAGCGATTTGGGTTAGGGTTACAGGAGATGCCAATATCACTAGGGTTTTGGGAATGGTGATGCCCAAAGCGCGGGAATGCCCATGTCTCTGTGACACCTTCGGACATTTTTCTCACATTATCTTGTATCATCTGTTACAATGTAAATGTAAATGTCGCGATTGAGAGGACAAACATACATGTCCTCTTTACATAGCTTTTTTTGCAGTGGGCTCGGACGTCAGCATACTAAGGGCGCCGATGGCAGCCGCTATCAGTCCATTTATGAGCCCACTGAACCCTCCCAACCCATGATGAGTGATGATGTAAGTGATGAAGATAGACCACAACACCGGGAACTACGTCCCCTACAATGATTTGTGTGGTCCCATTAGCCTTCGAGCCGTGAAGACTGCCAAGGGTAACTGCAGTTGATTTTTTTGTTCTGGCTACGTGCCTTTATTTCCCGACTAGGAAAGCGCGTTCCAAGACGAAGGGTGCGAACTTTATGATAGAAATATAATTATTTTAGTCTGATCTAAAACTGCCGTACATTTTTTGAACAGCATTTTATAACTAGCTTTTAAGCTGCTTTGGCTTACTCTGTTAACAAGAAATAACACGCGAATAACTAACCCGTTCCGGGCTTTGGGACTAAGCCCTTTTTGAGAAGCTTGGCGTATGGTGAGTACTTATGAAGCCGTAGTGGAAAAGAGCCTTTGTATGGGAGCTGGGCCACAGTCGACTTTTGCACGGCTGGGACCTGGGGCGAGAGTAATGGCGCTTGAGGAATTGATGAGCGAACTTGTCCTTCAGTATCCATTTTATTATTATCTGTGGAAAAGGTATTGGATAATGCGGTTATGTCTTTTGTTTTAAAAGTGAAGAATGACTTAATAAGTGAGCAAGAGTGTTTTATCAAGTTTAAAACACGAGCTTGATAAAACATGGTGTTATAAAAGGCTTCAAAAACTCTCTTTTAGTTCTATTCATTTTTCGAGTAATCCTTGGATTATTATTTTCGCAATAAATAGCGTTTTCAGTAGATTTTAAAAGACACTTATCAATAAAAATAAATTTCCTATCTAATTTCTTTATTGATTAACAAAGAGGTTTAGAAGGAAAGGCAAAAGGATTTGCAAGCAGCAAAAACATGCCGTGTTGTGATCGTGACGCGTTTTCGGAAGGTTTTATATACTAGGAAACATTGCAAGAAGCCTTTTCGAGCAAAATGTTCGATAGTGGCTAATAAAATGAACAGGTAGACTAGTAATAAGAGTGTAAGAGTGTATAATATTAGTGGAAGTAAATGTTGGTGGCAGTTAACCATCATCAGTACAATCAAATCCGTCATCTTTCTAGTGGAAAGTGGACTATCTTGTGTTAAGTGATAACATAGTAATATTCAGTTTACTAATAACAAACCCGATTTAGCAAGTGATTATTAGACTCTTTCCTTTCTCAAAAAAACAAACAAACAAACAAACAAAAAAACATTCTGATGTTGTGCTATGAGATGTACCACGAATTCATTGAATCATGTTCATATTAAGGACGACAATAGTTTCTTCTCCAATATCTCTTTCAAAAATGTACTATCAAACTTACCTACAGGCGCTGACAGGGTATCTAAAGCATCTGGTACATTTGCTTTCTTCACTATCGTGGGGTCATACAACGACGAGTCGTCAAATCCGGCTTGAGTTGCCAGCTGACTCACCAAAGACGCTTCAGGATTATCGGCTACAGTTTCCAAAGTGTTTGGAGTTTGGTTAGGGAAAATATCAGCTTTAGGTGCCGACGTGTCATTGAAGGATTTGTCATTCTCCTCTGTTTGTACAACGCTATTTTGGCTCTGCTCCTCTGAAGAAGGTAAATTTACATCTGCGCCTTGTGACGTCACCGGTGATGACGTTGAGGACGAATTCGTCGAACTTTGTTGAGGAGCATTTTGTGCTGTGGTAGAATCAATCAGTGAGTTAGCACTATAAGGGGTGTTGGTATCAACTGAGTTTGCAGTGCTATCACTTGAACTGGTAACAGTATTGTCTTTGCTATTGTCGTTGTCGTTAGTGTCTGAGTTGTCGGTGCTTAAGCTTGCTGTCGTTTCGGTTTGAGTTGATGGAGCAGTCTGTTGTGATACGATCGACGTCACGGTTTCACTTTGTGTGCTACTGTCTTTGGAAGGCTGCGGCTGATCACCCGAGCCCGACCACAGTTCAGAACCTGAGCCGGAAATATCGTCAATGTCACTGTCACTATCCTCGGAGGTGAGTTTTGTTAGACTTGTAGCACCCGGATCGTTAAAGATCTCGCTAAGCAAAGCATCGGGAGCGCTTCGGCGGTCAACAGAGGGTGATACTGGCCGCAAGTCTGAAAATTTGTACGGCAGTGCGAACATTAGTCAGATGAAAATGGGTAGTCAAATGGTAATTAAATTACTGTCAATCCTGTACATAACGGCCCTGTACATAGCGGTCACCGCACAACTTCCCGAAATTTTCAGTTGTCTTATAGTTTCTGCAAAGTTGACCTGTATATAGCAGTCACCCTGTATATAACAGTCACCTTGCCATTTTCCGAGGGTGACCGTTGTACACAGGTTGACTGTATTCTGAGAAACGAGCACCACAAACCACCGCTTGAGAAAGTCATAGATATCACTGAATCTTGTTAGGAGCATAAGATGTTTAAACAGGACGGAATAATTTAAAGCCATGTTTGGTAAATGAGGGGCTGTAAATGTCATATCCGTTGTACGTTAGACTCCTTTCCAAGTTATATCGTTGTACAACGGAACAGCCAATAGCCATGAAATAGCCCCGATTCTTTTCAGTCTATTTTTTGGTGAGAATTCAAATCTGATATTTAGAGGGGCGATATAAATAACGGATCTTTTTTAGTGTGAACTACGCTATAATTATGAAGGTACAGCAGAGTCTGTTCATTTGGCTACCGGTTTAAAAAAGAGACCATATCGTATGACCTTTGTTTAATTGTTTCGCATGTATAATTAAGCAATTTAAAAAAAAATTAAGGAATTAGATGTTTTTGGAAAAAAATTGTTTGTATTACAAATGTAGACCGCTCATCGCCAATCTTCACACTATTTTAAAGGCTTCCGGCTTAAAAAGACGCCATGTTCAACGCGCTAGTTATTGAAATTGTATACGCTGTTTAAGACTCCAGACTCTGAAAACCACACCCTGTTTAGCTCCCCCCCCTCCCCCCCCTTACTGGGTAATATCCAAAAGTCTGAGGCAAGAGATACTAGATGCATTTACTGTGTAGTAGATAAATCATTAGCGCCGTGGGTAACACATTTTCAAAGCGAGAGTGAAAGAAGGATTGAAGATCTTATCGATAAGCCTAACCCTGGGTAGATTTCAATATTTTCACGCTTACCTTTCGCTCTTGACAAAGGTACTAGTGATATTAACAATAGTAGAAAACTAAAACCCATAACTGAGTCGGCGGTAACCTGCGGAAAGGAATCAGCTGTTAGTCAGGAAATATTAAAAATTGGTAAAATCCAACTAGTGGTCTATTATCAATGCTTCGTTCTGATTAGTTGAGCTACTACTAGGCTATATGTTATAGGCCACTAGTAGCGAAAAGTGCCGGCTTTCAAAACCAAAACAATGGCGGCTGAATCGCATTTTGCTAGCTAACAATTATTCCTCTCGCCCTCATGGCCCCTGAGTCAATAGCCCATTCTGCCTTCGGCCTCATGGGCTCGAGGAATAATTGTTAAATAGATCATCAATGTGTTTCTTTAGTCTCGACATGAGACTTAAAAGTTAAGTATTTAACGCAAACACATCTAATTGTATTAACACTGTTACACAAAAAAGCAAAAACAAAAATATAAAAAAGGAAAAAATAAAATAGCCAAAAAAAAGGAACCCTTTAGACAAGCAAATTACTTTTGGATATTTTGATATTCTTGAAAACACTTTTGCTATACGGTATAATACTTAAATAAGTGTTAAAGAAAATAAATCGGCCATTCTGAAGATGTTTTGTGCTTCATTCTTTCGTCAGACCAGATCGCTGAATGTAGTGGATTTAATCCTATTTAGCTTCGTTCAATTTTCTTCTTTCATTATCCTACAACGACGCTCTTGCAGTAAGGTGTAGTTTCCGTCAGAATAGTCCAGTTTATCTGTCATTTACTGACAAACCAAATCGACTATTCTCCTACTTTGGTAACTTTTTGTTAAATAGGTCAATCTAACGTTAATGCTGCTAGATGCAGTAAAAGAAGGGCGTTTAGTATAATTAACGTTAATAAATTGTCCACAGATACGTTTGAAATAATTAACACCTAGGCTGTATGTGAAAATATACTTTGAGCCTGACTGAACGCAAAAATTTATTTTAAGTATTAATACTCAGGTGGTAATAAGAGCAAAAAGCACACCCTCCCTCAAGATGATGAATTTTACTGGTTTGTGTTCTCGTACTCTAAATAGGTCTTGGTGTACACTTCAACTGAGTTGCAAAATAGTCTTGTTGGTGTAATCAGACTTTGGCTAACTGATTTGTTGTTTTTTCAAGGTTTGTCTATTAGAATTAAAAAAATTCACATCTCCTCACATGTTGTATTTTCCTTGATTGTGTTTTAGTTCTTTCTATAATCACCTCAGTCTTGCGAGGTGATTAAAGCAACAAATGACGTAGTCTTTAACCAATCAGATTGAATACTTCCTACTCTCTCTTTACGAGAATAAACTATAAATTTGTTAGATCTTAACTGAACAAAGTCTCAATTGCACTAACTGCCTTTGAATATTCTATGTTCGATTAAAAATTGGGGACTTGGGCGTTTCCTATGCACACCCGCCAACCAGTCTAACACGTTGCGACAAAATTAACTCACGGCAAAAAGATGAATCAGGCCATAATCAGAAATACTTCGCGGAGCAAAGCTACTTCTAAATGGTCCAAAAAAATCCAGCCGAAAGTACTTTGCCTAACAAATCCACAAAGTTAAACTTCCGCGTCTAAAGTATTTAGGTTTACATGCAGCAATCATAATTTTTTTCTTACAAATTATGTTATCTATTATTATACTATATACATTATATTCCTTGCCTTAAGGTCGTCCGAATGTAAAGGTGGTAACTCAAATTATAATGTTGCATAAGGATTCATATAAAAGAAAAGGTTTTCGATGAACTATTTTTAAGTCTGTTGAACTGTTGTATTAAAATTATGCTCGGCTAAAGAATCGCCAATTTTTTTCGAAAAATAAGAAATCTTTCTAAGATAATGGGAAAGCAAATTGTGCAAAAGTAAGAGTCAAGTGATAAAACGGAATCAATTTCTTATGATATCAAGAAGCGTGGACATGTTCTTAAGTGATCTTGAGCTAACCAGATGACAAAAGTTAGAACAAAATCAAAACACCGTAGTCGGCAGATATAATATTGATGCAACATGTATATAAAATATATCTTTCTATATTTTCCTCGTATTCGTTAGAATGAAACTCGATATGGGCCTGTCTTCATGCACGGCTAGAGTTTACTATGATGGAAAACCATGATGACCAAATTTCGAGAGGAGAAAAATTATTTCGAATTCTACGAAAAGTTTTTCATTAAGCAAAAGGAATATAGTACATAAATCGTTAAGAAGGCTCGTTTTCTTTTTCTTCTACGATATCAACCCCTCCATGAAATACAGTTTAGCAAGTTGTAAAATACAAAACATTCTGACACTTACCCGGTGCACTGTTCAAGCTTGCTATGGGTTTTAACTCCTGAGGCACAGCCCTAGCGCTAAATAAACATAAAATTTCTCCCTTTTACCACATGGAAAATTTTCTATTTTTTGCTTTTCCTAAGAAATTCGGCAAGTAATTCGACTTAGTTTTGTAATCGCAAGCGATTTTGGAGCAGATTGCAGTTTTCCTAGGTCAATCGTCATTACAACATCGCATTTGCATTTGATTATGTCATTTTGTTTCCCAAAACCACAGGTCGTGTGAATAATTTACCGAGCGTGAAATCTCGATTGTATCCTTGACACCTCTTATGGCGGATCCCATCTTTAAGATAAAATTAATGTCCCTGGGAATGATCATTTGAACTTAGGTGAAATAACTAGCAAAAATGATAAAAAGTGACTGCTGCGTTAACATCGAGTTAGAAAATGCATGTCAATAATGCATCTGTTTTAATTGTTTTCCTGTGTTTTTAACCTTCTTCATCTAAATGACAGAGTGAAGAACGTGAGAGACAGTTAATATTTCAAATATTGCGGTGAAGAAATTCAGCACCTCCCAGCTCATAAAATTAGATTAATTTCTGTCTATGTAGAACTTTACGTCGATGTTAAATTCGCCTTTATGTCCTGCAAAAGGCGCTTTTCTTGAATTTGTTTCCAGGATTATTAATTATGTACAGGTTACCTAAACATCACACAATCTCCCAACAAACGACCACACGCCATTGCTTTGATCAACACAGATACTAAATGAAAAGGCAGAAAATAGCAAGCTTGTCGTTCTTGGCAAAAAATAGTGGCATTACTGGAGTAAGATTCGGGCTGCAATTTGAGAGCTATCTTTTGAAAGCATGTTGTGCGAAAGATCAAGATTGTACTTCCACCATATCAAAGGCGCGAACTGAGCTCATCGTTAAAATTTAGATCTCCGACCATTTTGGTGTTTACGTCTTGGCGTTTCAAAACTCCAGAAAACGATAATCTGGCTTTCTAGTTAGATTTAGACTAAATAGTTCTTCGCTCTCGGGTGAACGGATAGGCAGAAAAAAAAAACATGTTCCTTTCTTCAAGGGAGTAGTCTTTCCAGATCTTAGCTCGATAAATCTTAAAATCAAAGTTGAAGCTAATTTTTAAGGTGAGGAGGAACTATAAACTTTTTTGTCTCACCTTGTTGGTTTGTTTATTTTCTCTATACTCATAAGCTATTTGTAGTTCTTTTATATTTGAAAAGTTTCTTTGTACTTGGCTATATGGTTATTAACTTGTGTCAACATTTACCCGCAAACAAAGGTCTAGTAACAGATTCTTAAACATTCTGTTAATGATGTCATTTTGTAAACACAGACACTAACTCTACTTATATGATAGAAGGGGAAGCGAATTATGAAGAGCATTTTTTCATCTTTTCCTCTTTCTTCCTTTTTTTCTTAAACAAATAATAACTGAAACGAAATCAAATAATTTTTTCCAAACAAATGTTGAGATTTCTCCGCGTTAAACTAAAAATACATAAAATGTTATGTTAATTTCAAGTGGGAGAGTGCTGCAGTCAAAACATGCCTTATGGTTTACTTTCGCTGATTTATGTAAGCCATTTGAAGTAGCTTATTGAGAAGATGACTCCCCACTTAGCTACAGATGAATTAACAAGCATTGACTAATATTTTGTACCTTTACGTTACAATGCATCCAACAGCCTCCACACCAGCTAAGACATCTGGTCTTGATCTTCTGTTCTCTGTAGTCTTTTAACACTTGACGACAGGAGTCCATAACCAGGAGTGGCAACACCCATACTTAGCTTAAGGAACAGCGTTTTCACAGATCAAATTATTTTTAGCATCATTTTGAGTACTTTTTCCCGCCAAAATGGAAGGACCGTTCCGTATGCGTGCGCATCAATAGTATGATAATTACAAAAAGAGGTAAATGCTTTCAAAACATAAGAAATACTTTTTCTAGTCTTTTTTCTAGATTTTGATGGCTGATTTGTAAAAAAATTCGCAAGATAATCGATCTAAAAATAAACTCGACTGGTCTGTGAAAACGCCGTTGCATAGGCACAACGGAGTTGCTCGCTGCGGGTTATGGGCCCCTGTTAAGGTCTTATGATGCATGTTTCTTCCAGCGCGCTTTGCAGATGCCTAATAAAAAAACACAACAATCTCAAAAAGTGTACCGTGGAGCCTGTATTACTGTGATTGGTTAAAAGCTTCTAGCATGTAAGTACCGTAACTATGGGAACAAAGTATTGATCTTGCCTACCTTCTGACATTCCCACTAAGAGGCTTTCGGCGGAAAAAGAATCCTTTTAGGAGTCATGTGACATCAAAGTAGCCAATTAAAACTGTTCAAGAAGACCTTTTTTCGAGAATACCATTCCCTTTTTGCAGCGATCTTTGAGAGCCCAGGAGCAAGTCGTTTAAGCCTTAATTTTGGAAGTAGAAGCTTAAGCCAGACGTTCATTCCCTGTCAAACTTTTCATTTTAACCCAAGGCTGATATGCAGTTTCGTCAGAGGTTGGGCAACCAATGCCGATATCCCTTGAAGACAGTTTATACAACTCATAAAAGACCTTTTTTCTCGGAGGACATTTTGCGGCATTTTTGTAAAGCGTATCAGTTAGTCTACACTTTCAATAAGAAATCATTTTATATGCATAGTTGCCAGAGCAAGTTACTCTAGGATTTATTGACAAGAACGTTAGGGATCTTAAACTGCTAAACGCATTAACGATCGATAAACTGGGATCGATTAGTGTTTAAACATCAAATTTAAACTTTCAGTAGTTTGTTTGGGCTTACCTTGGTTTTCTTGATCAGTAAGGCGCTTTAGTCAAAACATACATATACATCTGCGACATCGCTTTATTAACCTTGCAGGAGAAATAGAGAGAGGAAGAGAGAAAGAAGTTGTTTATTGGCCTGAAATGTTCCATCATCTCCTTTAACTGTGTTCAAATCTCTACGTAATTTCAATTTACAACCTGAATATGCGTAAGTGTGAGAGACACCACCAAATACTTATTGATTTTCTTGGTAACAGCTTACAACCAGGATTCTTGACGCAATTAATCGTCCGTGTAAGAGAAGTCCTGAATCAAAGAGCTGTAGGTCAAAGTGACAGTTAAAATGACTAGAAAATGATATCAGCCTAAATGCTTTTCTCTCTGAAAATTTTATTGTTAACATTATAAACATTATTCTACACTTTTTACAATCACTAAACTAGCTTTATGTATCAAGGCGCAAGAATGATCTCAGTGAAATGACTTTTTCCTAGAAAGGTGTTGTCTCACTTCAGGGTCGAGTTGTTCAAAGCAGGGTTAAGATAACCCAGGGTTAGTGCGAGATTTATATTCAGATTTGAAAGCTTAAAAGCGTTTCAGTTTTAATTCTTTTTGCCTACAAGTTGATGATTGGAAGCTCTAATAATAGCAGAGAAAATTATCCGAGAAAATGCTTTAGAACACAAGAAAAAGAAACCTAGGTTGAATTTAACCCCGGGTTAAGCGAACAACTGGGCCCAGGATAGTACCAACGCCCCTTCCACAAGTATCCGGATATAAGGACGCTTAAGCAACGACGACGGCGACGGCAACGAGAACGGCAAAAAAGCAATTGGCTTGATTAGTAAAACAACAACTTTGCACGTGCATCACGCTTTTTTTGTACATTTTGTTGCCGTCGGCGCGCGACTACAACGTGAAAGTGCCTAAATTCACGTTTTGCCGAGGACGGCAACCCACGACAACAACTTTCTTGTTCTTTTCCTGAAATTTGATACAGTACTTTAAAATTCAACTCCAACAACATCTGCCAACATTTGACGAAGTAAACGAAATGGAATAAACGCGATAAAGTTTGAAGCAGCGCGAATTCCTTTTTAACTTACGTTTTCGTAGCCGTCACCGCTTTTTTCCGGATACGGCTTGCGTCCACACGTATCCGGTGTATCCGGCATACGAATCCGCAACTTTTTTAATCCGCTCTCCAGAGTGGAAATTTTTGAATACGCTATGAATCCGGAATCGTGTGGACGCTAAATCCGGATCGAGCCCAGTTCTTTAATTTATTACCATGAATATTGTATTCAAGATGGCAGCTTCTACGCTTGCAGAGTGGTCATGTCTTTAAACCTTTCAGAGTTCAAAGTAAGACCGTGTCAAAACAGTTATCATCAGCCCGTCACAGTTCAAATTCGATTTACAAACCCAGACTTTGAGATCATGATATCCTGAAAAACAAGTCCGGCATCTAAATCTTACGGCTCTTCCTTTTTCACTGCCCTACTCTTTATATTTGAAATCACACTTGAATATTTGCAGCTACCACCAAGATCAGCGCCAGAACAATATCTAATAATCTCAAATAAAACAGATTGATATTAGCTAACTTTTATATTTTTTGATCGCAGAATCAGCTGATCGAGTTATCTCCAAATACAGGATTGCGATGCACAGTTGTTATAAGCTTTTGCACTGCGGTTTTTGTAGAATCCTGTTAAGTCCATCATCTTTTGTCACGTGATACAAGGATCCAAGCAGCATATGTTAGGTCCATATAAACTAAGTCATCCATAGAGGTATCATACCCACTGATGCACATCCACAAACTCTTTCACAATCCAATCACTCGATCAAGGGACAGCTTTAAGAGAACATAACTTAAATAAATATAAGACAAACTAGAGACGAAATTTCGAAGTTAATGTAGCCCTCTATCAAAATGAAATGAAATGCTACAAGTAAAAGGCTAATGAGGGAGGACAAGAATGCCAATGTCGACTCTGGTAAAGATATGAGAATCCACAAGTTGAAATGATTATGGGTGAACAATAAAAGCAAAAATATACTAGTTGTTGGAAATGTGTCACATGTTTCGATTGTTAATGTCGATGTGGTGCAACGGTTTTGGGTGGAGGAGTCCAATGCTTCCTCTCCCTGGCGTCCCCTCTAAACAATGTTACCACTGTTTGCCAGGAACAAAATTTAAGTTCGATACGTCTGAACTAGCTCAATTAGCCTTACCCCACGGGTCTGTTGTCGTGTGGCTATCGCCTCCAAAATAGTCAACGGAAGAAGACAGGTTCCCACTTTGGGTAGACTCAAATACTCTTTCACTATTTCAGATCAGAAGTCGTTGTTTCTGGTTATTAGTTTCGTCAACTTTTCCAAATGATATTTATGTTGTTTACGTTCTTACGAGCACGCCACCGAAAGTACGAAAACAAATACACCATACAGGGCATCTGTTACATATCGCTGTGACAAAGCTCTATTGCGGAAGATTCAGCTTTTACTACAGAAAACGAATAATCCCGTAAATGAAAAACATGAATCACTTACTTTTCAGCTCTAGAAATCTTCTTCTAGCCTTCGCTTGCCCATTTGCCATCTGTTTCAGGTTTCGCTTCATCTTAAAGTAAGGCGAAATCTTGTGCAACATGAGAGGAAATGAGCTTTTGTAAGGAACGGGATTAGACTGAGGCACCAGCCACTTTCTGTTGGGGGGATGTGCAATTTCATCCCTTCGATTAGTGTTGAAACTAAACTGACTAGAGACTGGACGATTCTCATTATAACGGAAAGCTGGAAAGCTCGGTACTGTCTGCTGCGGTGTCACGTTCTTTTGGGTACCTCCAGGGGGCAGCTTCCTCGTTTCAGAAGGTGGAGGAAATAGTATATTTTTCAAGGCCAATTCCCTGTTTATAAGGGCTTCCTTAGAAGTATCTTTCCCAGGTGCACTATTTCTAGTCACCACCGCGGTGTTTTTAGGAATCGTATTCGCGCTCGAAGCAGAATTTGGAGAGTACTTTACTTCAGACTGTGGTCTTGACGCAGATATAGACGTAAGCCCTGAATTCAGAATTTGAGCAGTGGTCTTATCGATATTATGGGTATCCAAAGGGAGATCTTCTGAATATTGAGGAATACTCTGGAGATTTTTTACCACGTTGTTAGCAACACCAGTTGTATTAGCAGGTGTAAGTTCTTGTCCAGCTTTGATTGATGAACTTGCACCAAGTAGAGGAGCGTTTGGATTCTTCAGAGGCTGGGAATTTGAGTCACCATGGATTGGAAGCTCGCTAACTGACGTGTGCTGCTCCTTTTCTAAAAGGATTTTTTCACTTTGCTTCTGTCCTGCAATTCTACTATCAGGCACGTTCGTCACTGGAGACTGCTCTTTGTTGAAGTTGCTGGACGTGCCTACTACTCCTTGGTGAGTTGCTAAAGTAGTACTGACAGGTGTTTGCTGTGAAGTTGCTGACTGAAGCAAGGAATGAGCATTGGGCCCTAAGACAGCACCTGCAAGATTGTCACTCAAAATTGTGTGATTTGAATTAGCATTTTCCCTTGATCCTTTATCCTGAAACGAACTGGTTTGTGTTTGTTGCGTGATACTGACTGGCTCTGCTGCTAAATTTGTATTCTTAGACACCGGATTGACCTGAATCGGTGACTGTTGTTGTAACATCGTTGGATTAGCCACAAGTTGTGGTTGAAGTTTAGAATCAAGCGGACCGTTACTAGCTAGGTCAGTTTTAACATTCACTGTGCTCCCATCATTTGGTTTTTGAAGTTGAGTTTGACCAACCCACTCGCTTTGCATATTCCCATTTTTATTAATTCCTGCGACAAAAAACTTGATCCCTCCACTACCTTGATTAGCTTTCTGATTGGCAAGGAGTAATTTTTGTTTCCTCGCGGTCTGCCATTTTTTAGCATAATCACCGGCCTGGAGTACTTTTCGTGACCAGTCCTTAAAGTGCGTCTTATGAGGATAGTAGTACGAGATGTACGGTTCGTGAGGCCGTGCACTTAATGTCTGCGAGTATGGCGATGAAGCAACAAACGGTGATTGTTCTGATAGCGATGGTTGCAATGTGTGTCCAGAATTTCTAAACGATGGATTGTACTGAGAATATCTTGGAGCTGGGAAATAAGCTGGATATTGAGACACATATGATGTAGCCTGGCGCTTATCATGAATTTTCTTTCCTCCTGCAGCGTTTGAACCTATCAATGAATTAAATTAATAGTTAATGATATCCAAAAATCGCAAGATAATGTACCATTCGTCGGCGATGGTAATGGTAACAAACATCATCGACTATAGTTCCTTTTAACAAACAAGATTTTACAAATGTGCAAAAACTGTGGGCTCGCCAACGTTCTTAACTCAACCAGAAATTCAACTCCATACCAACAGCAATTCCTCTCGGCTAAACAGCAGCTTTCTCCTTATTGTCCGGCAGCACTTTTTTTCACTCCCATATTTGATCTTACATCCCGGATTTAGCTATCATTGGCTGAGACTGAGTCTGATATGAAGTATCCTACAGATCTCAGAGAGTGATCCACTGAGGCTGCAAGCAGAGGTGAATAAACCCGAGATCTGCTGAATTCTTCAAAGCATTCGAGAGTCGAAATCAATCATTGCTTCATTAACCACTCAAAATATTCCCAACCTCATACAATCCGCTCTACATCTTCTTAAAATTTCTTTAAAAAAATTGCCTGTTGCTTTGCAGTTTGAGAAAAATATACGCATGGTTTATTTCAGGTAAAATTTTCTTGCGGCTCTCTTAAAGCAGTTGACATCCATCGAGTGGTAGCTGAACGTGTTCTTTCTACTACAGTTTGTCATTGTGCTACATTGTCTTCGCATAGCTTTGAAATCCTCGGATATCTTCTTGAGGTCTGTACTGCCAAAACCAACAAACAGCTTAGCATCGATTAACTACAGCTCCGCTTTCTCATGTGATGTCAGTTGTTATTAATTCTGCAATTATTCTATCACTGACTTCAGTGATGGAATGACAGCAATCATGGTTGTTCCAAACTTGGTCAGTAATAGCTAGCGCTGTAATAAGAATAGTCGGGGAATCAAAGAAGATGAAGACTACGATCTCTTGAAAGCTCCCTTTTGAAGGTCTGATGTAAATGCAAGGACACTCGAGAAACGAGACGAAAATTAGGTCGAGATAACTTTCGTAAAGACTTTTCGGACTGTTACTGGGGATAGGGAAAAAATTGGCCAATAGGTGGTGAACGACCGCGCTTCCCCAGTAACGATCCCATAAGTCTTTGGCAAAGCTAACTCGGACCAGTTCCCCTCTCGTTTCTGAAGTTATAACTGCGAGGATAAGAACTTACATGTTGCTAGGAAAACAAGTGATCCGAGAAGCGTTCCAACCAGGGTATTGAGAACTGACTGCGTTACCCGTACCATGCCTTTGTTGACTTTATCTCTGAAATCTGTGGCAAAATGTACTATTCAGTAATGAAACCACTATTTATGTCTTCATATTTCTATGAAAATTTAAACTTAAAAATGCTGAGTATATACTTCTATGCTAGCCGGTCAAATCATTCTATATGTTCTATAATTCAAGTATATTACCTAAAGTTCAAACAAAACTTAATAAATGTATACGCTTCATATTTTTTAGCCATAACAAAGAAAGTAGTGCACCCTACGTCAAACTTCTAGAGTATACTCATAACATAGATATCATTTTTAAAATCAAAATCTCCTTGCTAGCTCACAAAATCTCACAAAATGAAGCCAATATCCCTGAAGTGTTGCAAAACTACCTCGTAAAGGTGCCTGATATTCACTCACACAATACCAGATATGCCTCAGATCTTAACTTTCATGTACCACGCGTAAGGTCAAATTACGGAAAACACACATTTAAGTTTGCCATAACCAAAACTTGGGAAGAGATTCCTACTAAGATAAAAACACTTAGCTACCATAAATTCAAAAAAGAATACAAGCGAATTCTAGTTAACTCTCAAAGGTAACAATGTAATATGCGGACTGTTTCACATAAAATGCCGACTGACATAATCGTCCATATAGTTGCCATGGCACCAAGCGCACATTCATTATGTGTTTCCACTCATAATATAGCGGTGGTTAGCTCGAAAGCTAAGCTCCTCTGACCACCGTACTTCTACCCAAGCCATTAATTTTCCTTTTTCCTTCTTCTTCTTCTTTATTAGTGTATTCCTACCTTACTATATATAATGTCAGGTAGGAATATATAAATTATGTTATTAAGTGTGAATAAAATTGAATTGACGGTACGTTGCATTCGAGTTCCCTTCCGCGGCTCTATGAGCACGGTCAAAAAAAAAATTAGATGGTGCACTAAAGGAGTTTGCGAAATTGTATAAACTTTTCCGTTTTCCTCTTGTAGCGGTACTTCTACAATTTAATTACCTGCTGGGAGGTTAAAGCTTAAACAGCTGATTGATAATATTGGATATGACGAGTTAACATGTAGTCTTTGTTCATTGCCAGTTCTGATTCTCAACTCAAAACCATAAGTTATGCTAAGGCGTCACTCCTGTTTACATTTATCGTTTTAATGAAATCTGTCTCTGCTTTGTAGTATATACTGTTGTAATCAGTCCAAGTCTTTGTCTTATGTAAATCAACAGAGTCCTCTCTTGTGGCCATTATTGAAGTTTACCTGTACACACCGGAGTAAGAAAAACAGTCACTTACCACACTTCTTCGCAACTTAGAAGAATTTTCATTCCCCTGGACCCATTTAGGATTATTTTCTTTCAGTTCACTAATATTTTTCTTTCCAGAATTCAAGAGAAAGAATTTACGATTACGCCATAATTGTGTTGAGGCTTTCAATAGCGGGTTCCAAATAACCTGTCAACCCAACATGTCGCTTTATTCATGGTCTGTTAAGCTTACTACCCGTCAATACTTTACCACAAATCCAAAGACCATTCATTATAACAAAAGTCTTTATTATCAAAACTATTTTGAACCAACAAACTTTGCTAAGAACAGAACAACGGGAAAATGTTTTTTTTTCTTTTTTTTTTAATGAGAGTCTATCTCGTGGAGAAGACATAATTTAACACCCGCTTTGAAATTACTCGAGAACTTCTTACTCTTTGTTAACAAACAAGACTTAGTACTGCACTGTTTGCTAAAAAAAAGTCTCTGCGGGTCAAAAGTTCTGGCTTGCAATCTCTCCTTGATGTACTTACTACACAACTCTCTTACGGGCAAATTTCTCCAGGTACAACAATTTGTGCTTTCTTAATTCCCCAAGGAATTGACGAGGAAGGCGGTCCTGACTTAAATCAACGATAAATTCAAATAAAAACTCTTTGGAAGTACTTTCATGGTACTATATTTGTTTTTCAGCATTTTACAAGGAAAAAAAGATTGAAAATTTTGCAGAATTTGACTTTGACCGGTTTTGGACGTGTGTCAACTAACATAACTGAAGTCACAAATCACAGCCTGCACAAATCTTACCAGTTATTTGTGGCTCAGTAAGGATTGTTACCAGCAACATCCGGGATCGACAAGCTGGCCGGTACTCCTTGTGGTTGTTTGGGAGATTTCTGAGCTAGTGAAAAAGCGCTGTTCTCACAAATGCCACTCTGTACTCATCTTATTTTTCAACAGAAACGGCTGAAGTATCGTAGGGGTTTTAAAAGAATACGTTCAAACACGTCACCGCATTTAGAGTGAAATCTTTGCCAAAAAACCTACACGTCATGTTTAAGTATGCATGGGTGCGAATTTTCTGGGTACAAAGATTGGAACCTGTTCATAATATTGGTTTTCAAACGGTGGCGGGAAGACATAAAAATGTACAAATGAGGCATAAACTACCGAAACTAATCACAGGGCTCGCAGAAACTGGGGTTCAGAATGTTTTTCGGATCTGAATTTCAAAGCACACAATAAGGTGGAATATAATCGTCCGGTTGTCCTGAATAGGACTGTTCTTTACAATGATTGACGTTTCGGCAAACTGTGCAGTAGTCATCTCGGTTGTATCTTGTCATTTGGTTATGTAAGTCACTCCTTTGTGACAAATCACACACACACACAAAAATTTTCTTCAAAAAGCTTATAATAACTTTATTCGACGAGGACAAAGGTCATATTACAAAATACAGAGTCCTTCTAAAGCTCTGTAAGAGTGTCAGTCGGTAGTTACGCTTAGCTTATCCCCACCGAGGGAGGGTTAGACCTCTATCTGTGCTTTGTAAGGAACGACTCCTACAAAATACTTGACAATAATCCGTACGAATCTTAACTAGCGTCAGAATAACATGAAGACTGGGACACACGCAATACACAACAGACAAAAATACTTTCTCAAAAATCACCCACCTTTATTGAAAAATGCTTCGAATCAATTTTTTTTGGTCTGCCTTTTTTAATAATGCAACTATAAAATTACCAAGGGTGAGATGAGAACTTGCAAACAGTTCTAAATACAGTCACGTGGTCGTTCAACAAGAGACTAGAAAGATGCAGACAAGTCCAAGTTTATTGATACGTTATGAGCAACTTGACTACCTTTTCAGTAATAACCTCACACACCGTTAATACACAAACACACTGGTTTGAAAGGTTTCTTTTGTGACCAACGGTCACAGTCACTCCAGGTACAGTCAGTTATTAATGAGTTTGAGAAAGACCACTCCAAACCCAGAAGACATCCTCCAAATGAACCAACGCCAAGATAATCAGCTTAAAAACGTGTGTTTGCAATAAATTGTTACGTTTTTTGTTTTTAAATGCAGCTCTCAAGCCTTCTTTTTGGTATGATATAACAGGTTATATTTCATCAAGACAGGAATTGGTCTATTTAAAGTTTCTATAAGCCCTTCAGTCCCTGTTAACTACCCGACACAAAATAATTCAACACAAAGAATCAAATGCGGATGAAACACTTTCCTGTCAGTACATAACTAAACTGAGACTTGTGTTGGAAGCAGTATGCTGTAGCTTCAGTCCCATCTTAAAGACTTGCTTGTGCGGAAATTCCCTTGTGCTGAAATAGGAAAGACAACAATTAGCCTCTTCTTTCTCCGTTTCTTCACGTGATTTGTCTGCAAGAGTAGTCTCCCTACGTCTTCACTTGCTACTGCCGTCACCGCTAAGTGTTAAGACAGGACACCAAACACCCCACATCACCCTCCGCCTATTACTGTGGTTGCAATTTTGGAAGGCAATAGAGCTTTTGTTTCGTATCTTCTATTTTGAGACGGGGAGTGGTGTTCGACTTTTAATCGATGTGATCGGCTAAGTTTTGGTGTGACATTCCTCACTCATATCGGTCTAGTTGAGGGGGGAGGGGGAGTAAAGAGGGACACAAAATGACAGCGGTTGGGGAGTTGACGCACCGTGTGACACCGTGCGGTAAGGATGTATGAAGATTTATTGACCACGCCTGGGGCAATATGGCTGAATACTGACCAAGTTCTTTTTCTCGCTTTTATGGACCGTGAGGTCGAGGACAATATAAAAGCAAAAAAGAACTAAGCCAATAACCAGTCATCTTGACCGAACGAGCTTGGTCATTAGGGAGATCAAGCAAAGGCGTTTTTGAGCAACGAACGTCAACCGGAAGTGACATCTTTTTCATTTTAAAATAAATTGACAATACCAAATATGTCTTTCTTGGTCTCTTTTTTATTATAGGGGCGATTTGTCCAAAAATTTGGGCAAAAATACCACTCAAGAATGAAAAAAAGTTCACTTCGGATTGACGTGCGTCGCTCAAAAACGTCTTTGCTCATAAAGCTTATCTTGCCCGCTCAAGTACACAGTCACCAATCAGAACACAGGATTCGCCTCACCTTGCCCACTGGCGGATTCAGCCATAAATCATAATAAAAATAAATATTCATTCATGCGATAAAAATAAGTTCTTCGTAAGGGTTAAGCCTGTTGCAGATACCTACCGTCTGAAACTTTAATCATTTAAACCTCCTTTCAAATTTCCCGAGGCTTTTGTTATCGGATTGAAGCTTAGAAAGATTCGGGCCTCAGTCAAACGGCGACCAAACTCAACTCGGAGAAAAATAATGGCGTTGTTTGCTTGTTTCGTTTTTGTTCTCATTGTTTTTGTTTGCTGGTTAGATTTTTTCGCACCTGAAACAAAAGCACAGATCTATAGAGCCTCTAAAGATGCACACTGCATAACTACTTGCACATCACAACTACCAGACACTTAAATTTTCTACACCTAAAAATTCTAAAAATTGTTTCACAGGGTTACGCAGTTTTCGACATCAAAATGGACTACACAGCAAAAGTTTTGCAGATCTAACCTGAGATCAGGCTCAATTTTCGTTTCGCTTGGTAAGTAAACTGATTTCCGGCAGGCGGCGCGACCACGTTAAAGGAGAGAATGTATTAAAGCTGCTAAAATTGGGCATGATATCAGGTTATTTAAGAGCTTAAATACTAGAAATGATGAATATATGACTTTCCATAAACACTCTTGATAATGAAAACTGTCGGGGTTTTTTGGAATATTAATTTTGAGAAGAGGAAAAGCAACATATAGGTTTCCGCACTTTCTACTCGAAACCAGGCACCTGCTGTCCTCGATATCATGAAAAGCGCTAGCGATCCTCGATTCCTTGCACTTCTGGGGCCGGTTTCTCGAAAGTGCCGGTAATTTTTCGGGCCGCCGAAATCAAATATTCAAATCGAAATATCAAGAATAAAAGCGCGGGTCCTGGCTTGCACACTACTGCATTTTGTTTCATTAACTGATAGTTTTTTCATGTTAGATGCCAAGCTATTGAAACCTCCATTTTGCATGTAAACAACAACAGCTTTGCAGCCCGTTAATTATCGGGACTTTCAAAAAACGGGCCGATAATCTCTAACCTGGGGTTAAATTTTAATCCGGGGTTCTTTTACTTTCGTTCAAAAGCAATTTCTTGGATAATTTTCCCATTTTTTTAAGAACATCCCATTGTGGAGGCGTGTGTGGTCGAGAGGTTAACACTTCGAACTCCAGATCCGGAGGTCCGGCTTTCAAGCTCTCTCTTCACCCAGCCCTAGTTGTTCAAAGGCCGATTAGCGCTAACCGGTGGTTAAATTTCAATCTGGGTTTACTTTTCTTTTGTTCAAAAGCATTTTTTCGGATACTTTTCGGCATTCTTTTGAGAGCTTCGAATCATCAAATTGTAGCCAAAACGAATTAAGCTTAATTTGCTGTTGAAACCTGTAAATTTGAATTAAAATTTCAGACTAACCCTAGGTTATCTTCACCCAGCTTTGAACAATCCAGCCCAGGTGTGTAAATGGGTACCGACAACATACTGCTGAGGGATAACCCTGCGATGGACTAGCAATCCGTCCAGGGGGGGAGTAGCAATACTCCTAGGCATGCCTCATGCTCAGGAAACCGGTATAAGCTCCGGCCGTTTGGGACTTTGGCTCTTGTGTGCCTTTACCTTACCTTTTTTTATCCCATCATCAAATCGTAGAGAAAGAGAATTAAACTGAATTTGCTTTTTAAGCTTTCATATCTGAAATCAAAATTCGCACTCACCCACGGTTATCTTAACCCAGCTCTTAACAACCCCTCCCTACTCTCCCATATGGTGTTGTAATTACATTGCCTGGTTTCCAAGACCACAAATCCTTCTTACCCGGAATGCATGTACGAGGATGGTTAACTTACCGCTCTTTTTTGAATGAATTCCTTAGCGTCCTTAAGATGTCCTGCAATGTTGTTAACTAGTCTTGTTCTCTCCGCTTCATTCAGAACTTTGCTCCAAAAAGTTGTCACCTGCGTTCAGGAAAGCAAAACAAGTCATTACACGGCATTAATGTCTGTTTCTGGTAAATTCGAGTCAATATCTACTGCAAATAACAGTTTAGACTTTCAAACAGTCCTTTAATTTTTTTCTGGTTGGTTATGCCATTCTAAAGGACTTTTTACACAAGTTGTGCGAAATTCATTGGTTGAAATTTCCACCGGTGACGTGATGACAATTCACCAATAGGAGGAGTGATATCTGACGCCACTTCCGACACAGCATATGTCAGTCATTTTTTCCCGCGTGAATTTAAAATATGATCCAAATCCATTCAGGCAAAACAAGGTCGCTACGCCCTCTTATTGAAGCTCGTTACGTTTCGCTCGCTTTTAAGAACTTATGAAAAGTCGACTTGTAGCAAGTCTAAAAACAGTTGTGGAAGTACGAACCTGAGAAAAGTTATCATCGTCGGCTGTGTTATAACGCGCCACGTCACCTGTCACCTAAAATACACAAATAAAACAAAGTATAGTTTACTGATAGGAATCATACTGGTGCTTCCTTCAGCCGGGGTTATGGACGCTATTCGTATAAGGCTTTACCCCAATAACATCAACAGCGATAGCCGGTGCAATTCTCGATTCTTGTATCTCCCAGAATTAAAACAACCTTCTTCTGTAGCGATACTCACGCTGACATCATCTATTGATATGAAAGTGTCAACCAGAAGCGCCTTGGTTCTTGTAACAAAAGATTTTTTTGTTTCACTTGTTGTAAAGTTGAAAACCAAAAACAACATTTGCAAACAGTGATGTCTTCTACTGCAAGAAATGAATTTATTCCACACAAACGGGGTTAAAACTTTCGTCATCACTTTGCCTTTTTCGAGATGACGACTGCATTAGGAAACACGAACCATTTGGTCATGTGACAGGGGACTGAGCAAGGGGTGCCTTTCTAGACAAATGAACTCGGATAAAAATGTGAGCGGCAGCATTTATCACTTCTATACAGCTCTAACTTGTACCTTAACAGTTTGAGGTGAGTACTTTAAGTCATCCAAAGGACCAGTAAAGCTGTTAGGGAAGTAGTTCGGGGCACCCTCTGAGATGGAAAAATAAAAACGAAACAGTTAAATGTACTGCAAATCAGACGACACATGTTAATAGCGCTTCCAGGCCTCACTTTGAATTCTGCTTCGCAAAGTACTCCGGTCAACGTTTAAAATCATAAAACGTCTTATTCGTAAGACACACAATCTTCTGATGGCATGCGCCAATATAATACTATGCCCCATTCACACTGCCTATACATGTTTAAGTAAACTACATTAGGTTTAAATGAATGAGAAACAGTAATGCAAAACTTAAACACAAGCTTTTACAAATTTAATAATTCAAACGAATTTTTTAATCACGTTACATAATTGCACTAAATATGCGATAATGAAAGTACAGTAAACAGCTTTATAGAGAAAACAAATTTGAGCTGGTTTAACTAAACAGCTTTGGTGTGAATGGGGCACTACTTACTATATGACGTGTCGAAGAATTTAGTTACCTCACAAGTCTTTGTTTTTGGAAGGGAACAAATCTTAGCAATAACATTCCAGGGCCAAGTTGTCCAAAACCCTGTCAGCCTCTAATAATAGGCTAACCACCAACAATAAGAAGATACGAGCTTTCATGGCAACTAACCCGAGATCTATTATAATCGTCCCTCTAACAATACGGCTTTTCAAGCCAAGAAACTGCAGAAATCTTTTACAGCCGTACACAGTCGCACAGATAAACCAACATGAACCAACTCATTTGAAAGTATAAATACAACTGAAAATTGTACTGTTCTGTATACCTTGGTTGTCAAATGTTTGTGGTCCATCCCTCTGGTAGTTAGTGACTCTGGTCCTGTAAGGACAGTTCACTGGCAGCTGAAGGTAGTTGGTTCCCAATCGGTGAAGATGAGTGTCGTGGTAAGAGAACAGACGGCCCTGAAAGGCGTAAAATATATGTCTGAGTACATAAGATAGCTTCTTGTGCTGATATGAAAAGTTAGTCGGTAAAGTGTGAACAGCAACGGTACAGAACTAGAGCAAGTCGTTCAAACACATTAAACATCGTACCATGGCGGTTAGCCGAGTTGGTTGTTCTGATTTTGTGCAAACACGACATATTTTGCCGCCGAACATTTGAAGTTTGAAGTAGGCGGCTGTTGTCGGCTTGATTGTTTTCGCTCAACAAAATATTCTTTGCAAGAATTTTTTGACGTTAAGAATAATCTCTGGAGGCAAGTGTGCTGTTTCTGAGCGAGAAATATGCCTGAAAGTTGAGAAAAATGAAATATGAGCGAAACGCGCTGATCAAAAACTTATAAACAACTTACCTTTGGCACGGCAGTTTGCTTTAAAGGCTGTCAAACTTCAAATGTTTGGCGGCAGAAACCGTCACGTCTGGCACCCTATTAGAACATGTTTTTTTTGGTCTCGTGTCCACCCTTAGATACAACCGACGGTATATATCTCGCCTCCCACGCAGACGTTCTTAGGGTTCGTCATGTGTTCCTGTCTGCGTGGGAGGCTGTGGTAAATCCTAATCCTCACTTTTGAATATTTACTTCCGTCTCAGCAAGTTCCAGTTCTCGCTCCCGCTAATTTAGCCTGCAAAAACCGACGTTTCTCCTCTCTCTTGACTTCACCGCTGGGGACGTTTCGCGAGAAATGACGTCTGCGACTCAGCGACAGAAATTCCATACTGATGACCAAAAATCTGTCCAGAATCCGGTCAGAAGCGCTGATTGGTCGACGGAGTAGTTACATTGTTTTAGCTATTGTTTACGAATGACATTCAAAAGGCCACGAAGGTCAAATGAAAACGCGATGAATCTCTAACAAAACAGTCAAAACTGGGGGAATATATTCTTCTCTGGAAGAAGCATTTGAGTTTTGCTGGAGCTCGTTCGCAGATGAACACAACACTTTAGTAAAATCGACCAGGAGAAAAGTAAAATTGAACAAATTTGGATGTGGAACCTCATGACTACCGGATATATTAATATTCAAACATTGATTTACGTCATCAGTATGGAATTTCTGTCGCTGAGTCGCAAACGTTCCTCCGCGCGAAACGTCTCCAGCGGCGAAGAGCGAGGCGAAACAGCTGTTTTCGCAGGCTACCACTTATTTACTTCCGGTACGGTCCAAATACCTGTTCACTTTAACCTATCTGATATGTGACGATCCAGTTTCAAGATAAGCGCAGCCCAGCTTTGCTCCGTTACAGAAATCGAGCCGAAACCACCGTTCCTTTGTGTGAACAGATGCCCTATCCAGCATGGTTTTCGTGTCGGTGCAAGAGCTATCAGGTACAGCGTCTAAAGAAAGTAGTGTCCAATAACCCGGGGGTGGTGGATTTTGCTAAAAGGGCTGATGAATCCTGTACTTAATTTGCCTCATGGTATCATGTGAATAGTCCCTGGGCCTCATCGCACCCCTGCCAGCTAGCTTTTCATTTAGGGTAGCTATAAAACGAACACCTTTGCACTATGATCATAATAATTATACCTGAAGCATCTTATCCGGGGATGGTTCAATTCCAGGAACCATGCTGGCAGGGTTGAAAGCACTCTGTTCAATCTCTGCAAAGTAGTTCTTGGGGTTACGGTTGAGCACCATCTTGCCTACAGGGATCAGAGGGTACTCAGAATGTGGCCAGATCTGAAAACCAACAAAAACAAAGATCAATCTCAGCAAGGCATCAGGCAGGATCCCTGACCCAATCCCTGTATAATTATAATATTATCACCCAAAGGGATATTGAAGATGCCATTTAGACCTGATTAAGGGGTTGGGGTTGTTGTTTGAAGGTTCTAAGTCTTATACATGTAGTTTTTCCTTCAGCGGTCATAAGAAACAGAGTAATTTAAGATGATTTAAAAGATGAATTGTCTTGTTCTTTATGTGAGAAATCATGGGTCTCACAACTAAGGTGTGCACGCTAGAGGTCAGAGGGGCACTTGTGTGCTATATAACATGACACTCAGACATGGTTTTACCTTTGTCAGGTCAAATGGGTTCCATCTGAATTTCTCAGCTTCTTCAAAAGTCATCACTTGAATGTACATTGTCCACGATGGCTGATCAACAAACATAAGAAATAAAATTTTTACATGAACCTAGGCCACAATAGCTTGTACATTGGAACACATAATGATTTAATTCTTTGACAAAGTTCTAGACAATTTTGCCAGTTCAGAGTCGTTGTATAATTCTGGTCGTTCTGTCCCATATATTTCACTGTAATTACAGCAAAGCTTGTTGTTTCTTGCACTGAGGGATTTGTTAAAGAGGCTTTCTTTTACCTTGGTTTTCACTAACATTCAGTTCAAAGATAGAAGAAAGAGGAGACAACAAAACAAGAAGAACAAGTGCAAGGAGATAAGAATACAGCAAGAAGAAGTTCGGCCATAAACGTTTCTTGAAAGAAAAAAAACTTGCAGACGATGATTCATCTTCAAACTTAACGATAACTCTTCCAGTCCAACAAAGACTATATAAGTCAGCATAACAACTCATCCCAAATGTTAAAGCCCTCCCTCTGTCCTTCCATGCAACTCACAGGATCTCCACTGGCAATGGCATTGAAGAGTTTTCTGTTGTTATAGTCAGGATCAGAACCAGCTATCTGTTCTGCTTTATTAGTAGGCACACATTTCACTCCCTGGTCAGTCTATGAAAACAAAAACAAACAAACATTTAATATCTCAAAAGAGAGTGTGTCAATGTATTTAGCACATTAAAGTACCAACTGAGGCAGCGGCAGATCCAGACCTTGAGATGAGGCGGGGCCGGTCATCCAGACCCAGAGATAAGAGAGGGAGGGGTGGCCTAAAAAAATTTTTTGGGGGGTCTAAAAATAAGAGGGGGGGGCTCCCCTGGATCCGCCAGTGTGAGTACACTAATTTTTGATGTCTCTTACTGGAGAGGGGACCACTACATGGTCACCCAAGCTAGACAAAGGTCAAAGGCAGTATATGTATCTTCATTTCTCAGTTATTTTAAGACCCAGAGTATTGGTCTGGTCCTGGGAATTGAACCTGAGACCTCCCGCTCTACAGTCAAATGCTCTAATGACTAAACCAGTTCTATAAAAGGAGTGCCATAGAAAGGACAAGCAAGGAAATGTTCACTTGAAGTAAAATGAACAAAATGGATTGTTTTGTTTTCCAAATGTTTTGGGCCTGGCCATTCATCAGTGAAAAGTTCAAGTACATTTAACAACCAATGCAGCTGTACATTTCCTTGCTTGTAGTACTTTTCAAAGTTTTGGTTGAAACAGTTGGTCTGAAATCGATGAGCACGCAAGAGCGAGCATTTCCAAACACACACACGACAATCCCTAAAGAGAAAATAGAGGATCTGTGAACAGGCTACAGGTCCCTGAAGAACATGACCTTACACCAACTCACTGCACAGCTGAACACTTATTGCAGCTATGCATGGCTTTGATTCAACTGATAACACGTACTACATCTAACTCAGACACTGTACCTTCACATGGAACTTGCAGTAGACAGCATCTCCTTTGTCACTCAATAGCTTGAATGTGTGACTTCCATATCCATTCATGTGTTGATATCCATCAGGAATTCCTCGATCACTGAACAGGAAGCATACTTGATGAGTTGTCTCTGGGCGCAAAGTTATAAAATCCCAGAACATATCAGGATCCTGCAAACATTTTTTTTCCAAGTTAACTTTTGTTGTTACTTTCCTTTCTTATCAGTTTTAACGGTCAAGGACAACTTTCTTCGCTAACTTGTGCAGAGTGAAGAGATCTTTCAAACCATACCAGAATGAGCACAATTCAGTCAAGGACACCGAGAAAGAAGCAAAAAGTGAAAATCTCATTTTGTTCCATTACCCACCTATACCAATCTATTTCCCACCAAAATGAAGCTACTAAATGCCCATGAAAAAAAATGAGGCAACATTGGACAAGACTTTTAAAAACCCAAAAACTATCTTTTTGCTTTCTGCGGTTGTTGATATTTTGCATCTGGATCAGAAAAAACCAGATTGAATTTGAATTTTGTTTGCTTTAAAATCTTTTGAGTACAGACAGAAGGAAATCCATTTTGCTAGCCATTACCAATATTTTTTTGATTTTCAATTTTTTAAATCATTCTTTTTGTTGGTTCTTCTTTAACACTAATTTTTTTTGTTTGCTTTTTGGGGTTTTTTTATTTTCAATTTTTAATCATTCTTTTGTTGGTTCTTCTTTAACACTAATTTTTTTTTTTCACTTTGGGGTTTCCTCTAAGTCCTTATAACCTGTTTCTGATTTTTTTTACTAAGTATATCCATAAACATTTCGGAAAGTTTTGAATCAGTGATAAGGATTGAAGTCTACATGTATATGCTGTAGATAATTTTTATTTTTCCTTTGTCTAAACTTCACTAGCATACATCGTCTCCCTCGCAGACGTTTTTGGATGTCACGCAACGCTCCCCCAAATAGTGCGATCAGATGTGATTTGAGGTCAATTGTGCAAAATTGAAATTGGGAGCGTTGCGTGACATCCATAAAAATAATGACTGTGAGGGAGACTATAGCATACATTACCATAAACAAAAACAAAAGAAAAGCAAAAATTACCTGAGATAAAAAAATAACTGCAACATGTATTAAGATCTTTTCAAAGCCAGAGTAAGATCTATGAATTTGCTCTTTTTGATCATTGCAGTCTGTGGTTTTCAGTTTTCTTGGACTTTACTTGCATTTCTGTGGTCTTCATTAGGGTTCTAAAACCCCTCGCTTGAAACTCTTAAATCAGCACTATGTAGTATTTCTTGTGGTCTAATTTTACCCTTGGTTTAATTTTCTTTCCCTTTGTTTTGGGGTATGGTAATGTATGATATGTACGAGTTTAAGACAAAGAAAAATATAATTTAAACCATCCCCATAACATACATGTACGATACTGGCGAGGAGAATGATCTGCTAAACAATCATAAACTTTTTCACTTGTTGATCATTTCTTTATTTCTTATATGTAAAACCACTATTACTATTTGATTGATCTAGCAGTGTTATTAAAAGGAGAAATGAATTTAAATGTTGGGCACTAAAATGTTGAATTGGGTTGAAAAGGCTTAATTACAAAGGGTGTGCTTTTACGAATTAATAAGACACTGCCCTAATATTTATTTATATATATATATAACTGATACTTGGAGACCAATATTGAGTGAAATCTAGGGTATATGCTTGTACTTTTTTATGAAAATTACATACTTTACCTTAAGGTGAGTGACTGGATTCCTCTTCTGAGTGTGAATGAAGCTAGGGAACTATAAGTGAAAAAACCAAAGTTATTACCTTCATATTCATAATTATGATATGCATAATAAATATTTATTATTAATAATTAATTATTTAACAACAGTTGGCTACAGCTTTGGCAAGTGCACATTAACTTTCTTCACTTATTAATTCTAAGTAGTCTCCATTGCATAAGCAGTGAGACTCATAATCTGCAAGTGTTGTGGTCCCAGGCATTCCTAGATGGGAAGGTGCAAACTGGGAATAATAATCGTTGTGTGACTGCAGTCATGCATGTTTTGCGAAGAAAGCTTCTAAGGTTTAGAGCTTTTCGAGATCGGGACTGTCCACAAAATTAATTCTATCTCTTGAAAGCGTTGATTAGTTTGGAACAAGTGAACACTTCGGTGGTCAAAAAAAAGAACCCCCCCCCCCCCATGGAAGACTCTTTGATTTGCACCCCACCCCCCAGGATTTTCCGTTCCAAGGGGGTCTTTTATGATCCCCCCTCCCCCCAGGAATTTCCAGGCAATGACAAAATCTCTCTGGAATTGAGGCCCCTGAATTTTCATGTATTTATACACACGTATAGCCTACGACCGCAGACGTATTTCCGGTCGTTGCTAACATGTGTACTTTATCAATTCAGAAACAAAAAGTAAATATCCAGAAGAAGGGAATGAAAAACCTTTAAAGAGTAAATCCTACGTCGTGTAGAATTAATTGCCTCCTCATTTCTCGATCTAATCTTGAAGCAAGTGAGACTTAAATGCTGCTGTAAGAGCATTCCTGTTTAAGAAATACTTGAAATGTCCAAGTCTACCGTAATTTTTAAATAGCATGCCACAAAAAGCAAAGACCTATAAGAGTTACAGATCATAAATATTTATTTCATTTGAATATATGTACCAGTATTGGATCTCTGATAAAGAATATTGGAGTATTATTTCCAACCAAGTCCCAGTTGCCTTCCTCTGTGTAGAACTTCATGGCAAAACCACGAGGATCACGAGCTGTGTCAGCACTTCCAGACTCACCACCTGAAATTATATATATTGTACAGTTGAATCAACAAAATTAACCCTCCCAGGAGTGTGCTTAGCTGGATCACAGAGCATGTATGTGAGGATCCAGGAAAAAAAACCTGACTGTTAAATCCAATTACACAAGTACCAATTGAACAAGCACCACTAGGTGCTAAATTATTCAGTGTTAAAAAGAGAGGGATCAAGCTGGGTTGTACAAATGAAAAAACATCATATTTACACTCAAGATTTAATGTTTAATATGTCATTTTTTCCTGCCAGAATTCTGACCCTATAGTACAGCTGAAAAATAAGCAATTAACAGACATACCAACCACGCATTACCTTGCTTGCTGAAAGCTCATTTCTGAAACTTAGCTTTTCCTTTCATTATTCACTATTTAATGCCTTTTTGGTCCCACTTTGTTTTTCTAAACAAAAGATAAAAAATGCTCCCGAACTGCTGACATGCATCAATAGCATTGAAAAATGCTGTTTCTTCAATTAAAACACAGTTTATTGACTGACAATATAGCTTCTGAATTGTGTACATTTGAATAAAATAGAATAGAACAGAATTATCTTTATTATGCTTTTATCGACACAAATGGTTGATATTACCATCTTGTAGAGGAACATACTAAGAAAAGATCATTAATCAAATTAAGTGAAAATAACTGATGAGCAAGCTAAGAGGCTAAGTTAACCAACTGGTTGTGTTGTTCAGCTCCCTGAATAATTTACATTCTATGATTAAGCAGGTAAATGATCAAAAGAAATAAACCTGAATATTATTTACCTGAATTTTTTGACTTTCCTTTATAATAACAGTATAATATTATTATACCTACCCACTGTAGAGAAGCGTACAACACAAGGAGTTCTTTTGCCAACTCTGTCAAATATCTTTGCCTTACAGTATCGGCTGATATCATGAGTGACTTCAAAGTAGCCAAATGCTCCACCACCTTTTGCATGTACCACTCTCTCAGGGATTCTTTCCCTGTCAAAATGACTCATCTCATCCAGGAATTGGACATCTTGAAGTAA